TGGCAGTCACACACACACACACATATAAATTCCAGGCAGTATCTTGATCACGTCATAAATGTCATATACACACATTCCCACACAGCTGTGATGAGGGGACAGTGTCTCCAGTTGCTGTGTCCACTAAGACTTAACAGGATGTTTGACCTCCTCTGACCGACAGAGAAGTCCGCCTCGAGCCAGACGACACTCCTCCACTATTCCAAATATCAAATACCAGCATCAGCGATAACCACAGAGCTGCTCTGAGTAATGAACAACCTTGTGTGTGTGTGTGAGAGAGTGAGGGAGAGAGAGAGAAAGGAGAGAGTGTATACTGGCTTACTGAAGACAGTTTGAATCTTCATATTGTCTTATTTTTGCAATTTAGTGTTAAAATCTGGAGGATTAGGAGCAAATGGAAGGAGTTTGACCCCAGATGACCCCAAGCGAGCGCACGTATCAGCCATGAAACGTTCCTCGTCTCTCGCTCCAACACTAATGTCCTTCTCTTCTTTTTCCCTTCCTGATCATTGTTGAACCTTTTATGTCCTCATTCTTCCCCTAGTTCTGCCCGGCATCCTTCCTCCACATTTAGGGTACTGAATCATTTTAGTATTGTTCTTAATAATTCCCTCGACATTTGTGTTCATTTCTAAACTTCTAAAAGGGATGTTTTATTTTTATTTTGTTCTATATTTGGGTTTTTACAGTATGTCTTTAATGAGTGCATACAGCGGTGATAAATGAGAAACAAGAGGAGATAGTGAGGTTTGACATGCAGTACTGAGCTGAAGGTTGAAATCAAACCCTGGATCAGGTACATGATTTAACCGCAAGGCTAAACCGGCGCTCCACCGATGGGATCTTTAATAAAGTGTCCAAATCTGTTATGAGAAGTTGTAATTGAGACCACGAACCAGAATTTGCCATAAATGCCTCAAACTTTTATGAGTTTGTGATGAAAAGTGATTTGCAATACGTTCCTTTATGTCTTAAAAAAGGAGAAAACAGTAAAAGTAAAGGTATGTTGTGTCTCTTTAAAGAGACCAAATTCTGATATTTATTGTTTGGGCCTGAAATAAGTGATTTTCTGCCCCATAACTGAGCTGAAATTTCCATACAGTCAGTTCTGTGGAAAATTCAGCAGTCCACATCATCAGTTTTTTTAGTGTAATGTACCAGAAAGTGAAACAAGTAATAAAACGAGGGAAACAGAGAGAAGAGGAGAGGTTTGTTGGTGTTGTAATGTTAGAGGACATGAAGATGATTTCCACACCGCTGAGAATACATGATTTATGTAAACCTACCATCTGCTGCAGAATACATTGCTCAACTACCAGTGAGTCAGACTGGCTATGTGGACATCTACAGTTTTACACACAAACACACACTGTGAACACACACACTTGGGCTTCTGCATATACACATATATTTATATATAGTAAAGAGGATCCGGGCGGTCGGCTCAGAGAGGCTCATGTGAACGATAGATGAGGTGAGAGTGAGGACCGCTGATCTCTTTACTTCCACTCCGAGAATCCTGAAAACATCCCAACACTCACACACACACACACACACACACACACACACACACACACACACACACACACACACACAAACAGACACGCACACACACAAACCTGGACACGCTCACATTTTACCCACAAACTATCTGCATTTACACACATCCTGCTGCAGCTGACAGCAATTCATTCACTTCAGTGACAGGCTCAGGCTATAACTAAATGAGGGGCTTTCTCTGAACTCACACACACACACAAACACACGCACACACACACACACACACAAATTCACTGTCCTATTTTAAAAGTACCAGTACCAACTTTTTTCTGCATATTTCACAAGTGAATTTCGTAAAACTGAACGTAAACACACACACACACACACACACACACACACACTGCTTAGCCTCTCTGCTCCTTTAGGCTGGTGACACACTTCAGTGTTTGTATCTTTGCTCCCATCGACCCCCCACCCAGAAACTTAAAAAAACACAATAAAACCCTGCCACACCTTCCTCTGACACCGTGACCTCTTCACACACACATACACACGCGCACACACACACACATATACACATACACACACACACAGTTACACTTACACAAACATACACGCTAATCAGCTTGCGGCATGTTTGCTCTTATATGATGTGAAAGCCGTCTCTCATTAACCCAGAGGGCACCCCCAGTCTCCCATTGTGCCCCTATCTCCCGCAGCATTCTGGGTAAAGTAGTTTAACAATGTCAGCCTGATAAGCCCAATGCAAACGCACTGATAAGCTGTCAAAGAGTGCACTTAATGTGTGTGTGTTTTCAAGGCGGTGGTTGATTGAGGAGCCAATGAGGAGGATGTAAAAGACCAACTGTGAACGGAGTGTGTGTGTGTGTGTGTGTGTGTGTGTGTGTGTGTGCATGTGCGTGTGCGTGTGTGTGTCAGGCATGCTGTTTCATATCTTTGTAATAACATGTTAAATGGTCGAACCAGCTAAATGCATGCTACAAAAGCAAAGCAAACACACAAACACACACACACTCATACCACGAGACAAAAGCCTAATGTGAGTGTGTTCATGTGTCAGTGTGTGTGATTTCAAGCTATGTGCAAGGACCATTAGTAAAGTTATTCATGAGAAAGGTGAGTCAACTTTTCCTGTATTGACAAGCAAGGCAAGGAGAGATAAAGACGCCTGTTTCAGCCAGTTAAAGACGAGGAAAAAAGGTTCATGTTCAGTAAAAAAAAAAAAGATAACGAATCATATTTACGATGAAAACAGTGACAATTATGAAATCAAGTTTAAGATGAAGAGATGAAAGTTATATTTCAAGAAAAACTTAAAATTATGAGAGGAAAGTTAAGGTCATGAATTAAAATGTGAAGTCTGAGATAAAAACATAATTATTGTAACATAAAAATTGGGAGATGAAACTTATAAATCATGAGACCAACCGCTGTACTCGAGAAATTTTAAGTTAGTATTATGAGACAGTAAGCTTTTGATAATTGACCTTATTCTGACGTGTTTTTTTTTTTTTTAACACCGAGACATAGTTGTCACTTTTCTTTCATTTCAGCGGTGAAAACAGGCCTGCCTCAGTAGAGAAATAAAAACATATACATTATGTTTATTGAAGCTGCAGGAGGTGCTGACATCAAAAAAAAAAAAAAAAAATTAGGGTTAAATAAAACATATGGCTGACAAGACAACACCTTGTTCAAGCTGTATCTGCAGGCTGCCAGAAGGCAACCGTGCTGTAATTTGAGGTCAAAGTTAAATCTTCCACCCGGACTTCAAAGTTGCCGTAAGCCGCGTCACAAAGGCTCCGGTTGCAGCGCGATAAAAAAGGTGTGAATATTTTACAGGAAGTCTCAAATAAATGGCTGTAAAGTTGCACACTTTGTTCCGGAGAGTCCACACCCTGCTGAGGATAAGCTCAAGTGTCCTTCCCAGCACTCACATTACACATATACACACACGCACAAACACACAGAAGCAAGACGAAGACTTGTGAAAGTGCAGGTGTGCATGCAGAATGAGTGGTTTTATAGTTATAGGGGAATAAACAGGTGAAGTGACGGCGGCAGATACAGAGATTTCACTGCAGTGACCAAACTGGGGACTAATGTAAGGGTGTCATGTACTTTAAACTTTAAAGGTACAGTCTGTCTTTTCTTTTACTCAGAATGGGGCTTTAAATCTACAAAAAAGAAGGTTCCCTTTTGTTTGTACAGTAGCAGAGGACAGACAAACTGGTAATGGCCATACATGTATGTGTTTTTGTGTTCTGTGGGTGGCCATGAAGAAGGCACCGGTTGGATGACAAAGAAGAGAGATAGAAATTGTTGTTTTTGATGGTAAAAACTTGATAAATGAAAGATTATACTAAGCATACATCACAGGAGCTTATCATCTACCGTCGCTTCTTGAGCTTCCTGAATGGAAGTGGTGAGAAAGAGAGCATTTCTCTCTATGATCAGACTTTTAGATATCGCCAAATACTCCCATCTCTATATATGCTGCCTGTATGAGGTAATACAACAAATCACAATATTATGAATGTTGAAATGTATGAAAATTATCAGTCATGGCAGGAAAATTTAAAACGGGGCTGTATCTGTCTCTGCCCTAAACCACTTTGGTTAGGGTGACCTTATTCTGAATCCTCAAAAAGAAGACAAGACTATGCAGGGGCAAAGTCATGGAGTCCCGTGTAATTTTGAGAGTTTTCCAGGTTGGATCAAGTGTTTTTTTACGCGCTTCTGACTCAGTAAGTCCACACAACACAAACTTAGATCTTCCATACAAAACCCTGGACATTTGAAGGATTTTATAAACTCCCCAAGACAAAGATGGACAGCCCTCAAAAAAAGAGGACATGTCCAGGTAGAAGAGGACGTATGGTCACCGTAACTTTGATTGACACCTACACTGTGCAAGAGCTTTCAGACATTTAGATTCACTAAAAAGAGTCAATCTTTTGGTCCAATTAGTCTCATTGGCTTTAGGGGCACATTCAAAAGTGTTACTATCAATCTCAGTGTTTTTCATAACCAGCTAAAACTTCTCACAGGAGCTTTATAAAGCAAACAGAAGAACACATACACATCACATTAGTGCTAACTGCCTGCCTGTGCCTGTGACAAGGTAAAACTGTATTTAATATCTGTGCATGCAGAAAGCTGACACTCTTGCTTTTCCTCTCAATGGACCTGTGCTGGTTTTGTTCTCCTGAATACCTGACCCTCCTGCACAGACAGAGCAGCTTCTGCCCGCTCTTGCCAATGAAACAGTCCTAGATTCAGTTTCCTTTTCTTCTCCATCTATTGGCTTAAGTTGCAGTTTCACACAGCTTGCTCTTCTCCTGTGGTTCTTATCTTTTCATGCTTTTTTCTGTGGTTTATTTTTCTCAAGCACACAAATAATTGGCGCTGATAAACACCAGGCTGCATTCAGAAAACTCACACTCAGGCCGGAAACAAAAACACAATCAAGATTGTTTTTTTTTTTTGTAAGAATCTTTTTTAATGAAACACAAAAAGGCAATAAAATTAAGATAAATAATTTTTCCTTTTGTACATGTGGAAATATTTGAGTCATATTTCCAAAGAATGACTGAATTACATAATATATTTTAGTAGGCTATCTCAACCTTACAAAGCAGGTTCCAGTGGGTCTAAAAAAAACACAATGATGTTGCGTCTTTTAAAATGTGATGGCAAGAGCTGAATCCAGTGTTTCTCAAAGAAAGTACAGCTATAGAATAAAAAAATAATTAAAGACCCATTAAAGTGATATTTTCAAATTGAGTTTCACATTAGATTCCTTTTAAAGCTTTTGCTTTGCAGTGTAACAGCAACATGGTTGTTAAAAGTCAGTCAATGTCTTAAGAAAAAGAAAAAAGGCATTTCTGTTATTCCCCCCTGTACATCCTATACACTGACAACAAACAGTCATCACAGGCTTGCATAAACAGTAAGACAATGGTCAACAAAACAAAACAAAACAAAAAAAAGCAAACATAAAACATAAAGAAACAGTTTTTTTGGCAAAGCAGGAATAAAAGTGACAAGAAGCATAATTTGTGATTTGATCCTTGTTTTTTCATGTCCCATTGATTGGCTCTGATTGTCCTTCACAGTCACATGATGCCATTCTGGTTGCCATAGAGACCTCAAGTGCATCAGCTGGGCGGTGTGCAGACAATGTTGCTGCACCGTTTCTCAGAGGCTGTCATAGCAACGCTGGATGAACACGAGCAGACAACGAGAGGAACTCTACTTGAAATACCTCTGTGATTGCAGGGGTCCCGGATTCAGATTTGATTGAATGTTTTTAAGTCTTTTTCATAAAATTGTTTTCTTCTAATGCGATGAGGTGTAAACTCACAGGTGCTTTGGTATTTTTGAAGCCAGATAAATATCTACATTTCATATAGGAATACAGGCTAAAGTAGATAAAGATTCTTTTAGGATCATAAAACAGCAGAAACTCAGTTTCTTTTCCAGTATTTTGTTTACAAAATGCTCCCTACTGGAAACACACATTTGAAGCCCAACAGAGTGAAATAAAGAGGAAGAAAAAACATTTGGACACATGTTTAAAAAGACCTTTTCTGCTTTTCTTATAAAAAAATCCTTTCTACATATCTACGCTTGGCCTTAAGCGGGGCTTATGACCTCAAAGACTTCACATAAGTTTGACCCTAAATCCAAACTTCTGATCCTGTTCAGTGCAGTAAGGGAGCAAAAAAAAGAACCCCCTCCTCCCTCTGTCAGACCCTCCCAAACCCACCCACCCACACCCACTCTAATAAAATCTAAATAAAATAATCTTCTCTGAAAACAAACAAACAAAAAAAGAACAAATATATATGTATATATTTACATGTTATATTACACATAATGCTGTACACCCACGCCACACTTCCATTCGAACCAGCACACATTCACCGTTCAAGCTGATAAACCAATTTCCTGTACATGTCTGTTCGCACCTTAAAAGGATACAAGAGAGAGCGAGAAGAGGTATTGATGTGTATGGCTTGACAGGAGAAGTTTTGTGTTTCTGCACTTGAAGTTCTGGACAGATTAATACTCCGAGAGACAGACCGATCGTGTGTCACCACGTCTTCTATGCTTCATGAGCACAGGTGTTCACGTGCATGAGCACACACGCACGGTAAAGCACTATTTACTTAGAGCTCATTAAATGCTGAAGAGGGCCACCGCAGCCCTGCAAACACATACGCACGCACACACACACGCACGCACACACACAAACTCACACACACACATGCTTACACAAAGTTTGAACTACAGTGTTTTTTGGTCCTGTTAGGGTTCTCCCAATGTCTTCGTCCAGGTGTTAGACCATTTAGACCACCTAAACCAGTGTGGTTTACATCAAGCCTCTCCCCACCACACAGTCTGTCCTCTCTGTGTTTTAGAGGCCAAGTCTGCCTCTCTGCCTCCAGAGCAAAAATCCAAGCGACTGTACTCCAAAGTGCTCATGTCCTTGGTTCCCGCTCCTTTGTCGCAGTGACAAGATACTCCACTTTTTCAGCCTGTAGACTCCAGGAGCCTCAGTCCACATCTGATAAAGAGTCTAGGTCTGAAATGGATCAGACTTTTCCCCCAGATTAAACCAGAAGTGCCAGTACTGTTGGGCTTTATCCAGGGGGCGAGCTCCTTCTCTTACAAGGGACGGATCGATACATAGAGCCAAAACCTCTTTGTCTTGCTTTGCCTCTGTCCCCTGCTCTGTTTTGACGGACCGTCTCAGAAGCCATCCTCCTCAGACTTCAAGTAAATATTTGGATTTCTCTCTATAGCCTGGCGTGCTAGGACACGATGGCCATGCCGTCAGCGCTGATTAGTTGGCCCGTCGTCGGTTCGTAGGTCCCTGCCAGGTAGAACAGGTCATTTGTGGTGTTGCTGGGTTTACGCTCACGAATCAGGTGATCATACTCGGCCTTGCTGACAACCTGGCAGCGATGGGAGATGGTCTGCACATCATTCTCGTCCTCATGGCTGGACTGGTACAGGGCGTTCTAGGAGAGAGGCAGGGAAATCAGGACAACCCAGTAACCAGCTGATAATGATGCCTGAACTACTTCAATCACTGTTGATCAGTAAGATTGTGTTTTTGTTAAATGGTATTTTTGACTCTCCATGTTCCACTCATCTCTCCTCGATCATGCTCTAACTGTGGGGTATTATGCTGCGTTCCAGTTGTTCTCAGAAGTCGAAACTTCCGAGCTACGAGTCGGAAATTCATCTGGAATGCCCCCCTGAAGTCAGATTTCCGACTCGGAAAGTCACTAACCCCGACTTGATGACAACGTCATAATCCAAGATGGCAGCGCAGTTCATCAACAGTAACGAGTAACAGTGAAATCTCTCGCATTTTTTATTCATTAGCACTTCTGTTTTGTTTTTGTAAAATTAAATGAGTGGTATATGTTGTACTGCCCAATGTCTAACTGTGAACACGGTGGTACGGTGTTTGTAAGAGTAAAATACTGTGTTATGCATTGTTTACAACTGCTATGGCTAACAACCGCTAACAACAGCTAACAACAGCTGAAAATTGCTGACAACAGCTAACAGGCGTCCATCTTGGTTTTCCGACTAGTTTACCGGAACGCTGTCAACATCGGGTGTAATGTCATTCCCAGCTCCCACATCCGACTTCCAAGGTAATTGGAATGCAGCATTACTTCTCAGACTAAGGGGTTTGAGCTTCTGCATGGCTTGAGTTTTTAGGGGGGATGTTGCTGCTCATATCAACCATCCAGCTCTTTTTGAATTTATTCCTAACAAACCCTTTTTGTTGATGCCAGATTTGCAAAATGCATGACAACCTGTGTGGCAGAGACTTTCCCTGGGAGAGACCTACCCTACACTGAGTATTCAGAACTGCTAATGGTAACGGTCCCCTGAACTAAGTGGAGGTGAAATAAATCATATCAGCTGGGATCAGGAAATAAAAGAAAGCAAAGTGGTGATAAATTCATACGAAAATGTCACAGGCTGTTATTTTGGCCGTTCCCTCTTGCACTCGCTGGTCTTTACCTTGCCATCACGGTGTCGCTTCCCGAGGCGAGTCTCCTCTGGGTGGTAGAACCACTTGACCCTGACCACCATACTGGAGCTCCACGACTCCCAGAGGCTCTCCACTCTGCCCACGTAGGGCAGCTGGGGCCGGCCGGGTGACAGGAACACGGCGCAGTCTCCGACACGCACCGTCTCCTTGCCCCGCACGATGGCCTTGTAGAAGAGCTTGCGGGCTTTGCCCTTTAGACCTCTCCTCTGTCAGGGAAAGAGAATAAAAACAGCACTTTGGTCAGTTTCTTAAAAGATGAAGGATTTATTCACTACCAGCACAATTTCAGAAATATAAAGATTTTGGTTTGTACTGCTTAGAAAGAAAGTGAAGAAATGTTTTGACCTCCAAAGACGAAGATGAACCTCTTAAAAAGATATCTAAACATGTTTGCTCTACAGTTTCAGGACCATCACTTGTATAAATAGATGATAAATTATGTGACGAGCTACAGCAGATCAACCTGACTGTGTATAAAGTCTGAGACAGGAAAGAATAGGTCATATTGTTTCACTGCATTTACTGTATGTAATCAAACCATAAAACTGTAACAGTCACTTTTTTCTTACTTGAGTCATGAGCGAAGGTGTGAAACTAATGCCCAACAAAAACATTCTTGAAACCATGAAACCAAGATAATACTGTGAGATTACAGAAAATCCACCATCTCATGTAGTGATGGGTTTGAGTCATGATTTGGTTTGGCAGACTTGTTTCTTACCTGTGTGGGGTTGCCTGACCACCTCCAGAGCTGGCGCCCTGGCACATGTGAGGCGATGTTGGGCAGAGGTTCAGGTGAAGACATCCTCTGCTTCTTAGCTGATGTTAGGTCCTTGGAGGCAGGTTTGGGCTGCTGGCTCACAGGACTGCTTTGTCTCTGATGGTGGCTGTTAGGGATCCCGTCTTTCCTCTTCAGCTGGCTCTTCACTGTGCTGCTGTTCCCCCCCATGTTTCCTTTTGACATGAACTCCTTCCTGTCTTCCGCTCTGTCAGTCCTCACCTTTGTCCCTGAGACCGCCATGCTGGCTTTGGCTACAAAGCCATGAGCTGGTGCGATGGCAGAAGTGGGAGAGTTGGAGGTGGTGGGATCGGGGCTCAGGAGGTCAGAGGTCATGCTCTGCCTGTGCTTGTGTTTGTCCTGTTGGAGGAGGGCGCGGCGCAGCAGCACAGAAGAGGACTCTTCATCAGAGGAGTAGGAGGAGTCGTTGTCGGATGAGCAAAGCGATGAGGAGGAGATGGAGCCGGATGAGGATGAAGAGGAGGAGGATGAAGAGAAGCAGACAGAGAGGCGTGAGAGAAAGCGGCCACCGCGATGGGATGGTGCAGCTGCACTTTGTCTGCGCTCTCCAGCATCTTGGCCATCATCCTCATCATCCTCATCAAGCTCAGAGTAAGAGCTGGGGCAGTCACTCGGGTAGTCCAGATTATAATCCCCACCCTGGACGCCGATACCTTTAGACAGAAGATCCTTTCTCAGGATAGGTTCAGAGTGGGCCCCTGTAGTTTCTCTCTCTCCTCCATCCTTCTTCCCATCCTTCACAAGCAGACCAGGCTGGATGTATCGTAAAGGTGCGCCTGCAGAGTGGAGATATTTGCTTCCTCTGACTCCGTTCCCTCCGAGCCGGAGCAGGGCCTTCCCATTCTTAGTTTTAGGAGAAGTCACTCCTTCATGGTCAAGTTTAACTAGGTACTGTTTCCTGTCACGTTCACTCACTGGCTTCCTACCTCCCGCTGTCATTGAGACGGCAGAGGGACAGGCAGAGGACAAGGAGTCCCGGAGCCCCACGGAGGCTGCTGTTATAACTGGCCTCCCCGCTCCAGAGCCTCCGAATGTAGAGTAGCCGTTGGCGATGCTGCTGAAAGAGTCACCTTCAAAGGGAGAGCCGAAGATGCCTTTGAAAGGCATCGGAGGTGCGATGTGATGGGAAGCAGGACGATGGAGGAATCCTACGTCCCGCTCTCGCATCCTCCTCTGGGTCTTCCTAGACGTCCCGTTGAAGAGGAAGAAGTCAACAGGCGGCCTCTTCCTGGGCGCTGACCAGTTCAACAAGGAAGCGTTGCCTTTGGTTGTAGTGTCTGTTACTGACGGCGCTGTGCTGACAGTCTTAGGCACTGAGTGGATTTTCTTCGGTCTGCCAACTGAGAAGAGGAGTTATGATTAATATGGACTGAAGGGTCTAAAGAGCAGACTGAGATTAGATCATGAACAACCAGTGTCAGAGAAACTTAATACCTTTATCTATAACATCTTTAAGTAGCCAGGTAAGTTTCAACATGCTCATTACTCAAACTACAAAACAAACCTGGTAAACCTGTCTCTGCCTTCAGCTTATTGTCAACCTGAGTTTGTGATGAGTAACATGTATGCTGCTAAACAACAATGATGACACGACATAAAGTCATGATTAATGTGGTCACACAGCGGGCAAATGAAAGGAAGCACACAGGTAATTTTAATTTACGATCCTTTTGGTTCATATACCTTAACTCTGTGCTATCTTCTGACTTGGAGGCATCTGATTATTGGCTGGCAGTTGGAAATGTAAATGAGCTTTTATTTGGAAGATTTTAGTGTGGCCTGAAGGCCTGTGTGCGAGTCATGTTACCAGAGAGACAAGAACTTCTCAGACGTTTATTAAAGCCTCTCAATCTAAGTGCTCTTCAGTGGATTCCTGAGGCTGTCTCTCTGAAGAGGTAGTCTGACATTCTTCAGAATTTTGAAGTCAAAAAAGTGTACTAGTTCTCTTCAACAGACTCTGAAATTAGCAGATCTTTGTAAAATGTTTGTGTTGATGAAAGATTAACTGCAAAGAAGAAGGATTGTGAATTGTGAGTGAGTGGCAGTCGCACGAAAGAAACATAAACCAGATGCAAAAGTTCCTTGTGCTGAGGTCGGATTTCTTTATATTCTTCCTCAATTCCCATGGTGTTTACAAACTTACATAATAAGGGGGACGACAGGGGGTTAAAAGCCCCCCTTAAGCTCCACCTCTTTACCACAATCCTTGTGGTGGCATCAGCCAAAGTTTTTGGAGAGGTGTTATGCCACCACACTCATGTTTTACTCCGCTTACAGCCGTACATCCATGCTCTGCGTTGTTTCTCACCTGGTCTTTTCTCTTGAGGTTTCCCAGCCGGATCCCCATTGGCTGGTTTCTCAATGGACAAATCTTTCTTCTCCTGGGTGGAGCTTCGACGACCACAGCGACCAGGTGAGATTAGGAGTGCTGGAGAAGGTTCAGCACCTAACAGTGGCAAAAATGTAAAATTAGAAACTCTTTCATTTTTTCCGTCTGTATTATTCAGTTGTTTTTCCTCTTTTCTCTTTCTGTTTTTCTTTCTTTGGCCAAACTCACAATGAATTTGATATCCCGGTGGCAGAAGCCTGATGTTCGCCAAGGAAATCCTTCCTCTGTCTCCATCATCAAACTCCACCATGACACTGCCCTCCTTCTCCTCCTCGCCTGGACCCCCAAAAAAACAACACAACATGAAATGACCGAGGGATTGTACCCAATGGTGTTTAATGACTGACTTTTTCAGTGTGTTCCTCACCTCTATGGACGTATCCAGGGTACAGACAACGAGATCGCTCACTCCAGTAGGCACACACTCGCGTCCCCTCAGTCAGGATTGCTTCAGTCTGGGGCCGCACATCCAACACCTGGGAAAGTCACAGAACTCTCTGTATTACTCGTGTGGAGTTTCAGTCAACCAGCAAATCCGAAAAAATGAGGAAGATGTTATAAAGCCCCAAAACTGAAACTCACAGCTTCCTGTAGCAGCTGCTCCAGCGAATAGATCCGAGGTCGATTCCCCCGTTCTCCTTCGATGACAACACTGAATCTGAAAAAAACAATAGAAAAAGGAAAATAAATGAATGAAAAGGAATTTATTGAGTCACAATGTAAGTGAAATTTTGTGTTTTGGTATTTTTTTCTCACTAGCATGGACTACTATTGCATTTCAGTAGTCCAGACTTCATGGTCCTCATAATTGACTTGACTTACACCAAGGGTTTGAACTCTTTTGCAAAGCAGACAAGATCTCTTATCAAAGTAAGTCTTATTAGCATTTTTCAGATTTCCTCCATAGACTATTTAAACATGAACATAGCCTCAGTGGCATCCACCATCAGTTTCTGAGGAGGCGTTTTGCCTCACAATGGTGATCACCATACTGAAAATGATGACTTAACCAAACTTTCAGTCAACTGAGCAACATAAAGAGAGGTGGAGCTTACACCGGCCTCAACTCTACAGTCCCCCAAGCTACCCCTGATTATGGAAATAATACCCGGATAGCTTTTACTGTATAGAGTGTATGATTTAGAAAAAAATAAGCTTTTTCAGATCAAAACTGTTTTTTCTTTTTGACTAGCCCTTTTGACAAAGAGGGGACAACAGGATGTCCTTGACTTTGGAGCTAGTTTCAAACAGACACTTGAGTATCTGCAGTTTTTTTGCACTTCTGTATTTGCTTCATTTCTCAACACCTGAGCTTTCTGACCATTTTCCCCCCCAAGGCAGTTCAATATCTCAGTTAAATCTAAATCTAAATGTGATGTCTTCAGTCTTGGGATAATCAGATGACAGCCTCAACAATGGTTATGCACAGCAGTGCAATAATGATGCTTTATTTTGAAAGAAGTGTTAATTTAAGGTGAAAGCGGTCCTTCTTTTATGAAACGCTAAAGGAAACTCTGAACTCTGCCTTGGGTTTGTCTTCTTGGTGAGTCAGAGAGAAAGTAGATCCTTACATGTCGGGCAGATCCAGAGTCTGGACACAGGCAGCGTACAGCAGCTCATCCTCCTTGGAGATCAGGATCTTCAGCCCATCCACTAACATCTCTTTACTCAGCACACAGTTTGGCAGGGCTGAGGAGGGAGGGTGTGGTGGAAAGATGGATGGAGGAGATAAAGGGGGAGAAATACATAATTTGTGAGTGTGCTGAATAATTGCCACGTGAAGCAAAAAGGAGGGACAAAAAGGCCAAGAAAGAGGTGAGTGTATGTGTGTGAAATGGATCTGACATGCTTTTAGAGCCTGTGTGAGTAATTGTGACTGATGTGTCACTGCATATGCCCACCGGGTATTCTGCAAGGCATGTTGGGAGGGAGGTGCATCAACATTTTCTCCCTCGACTCCTTCTCCTCCTCCTCTTCCTCGTCCTCCTCCTCCCCCTCTGAGAAGCTGCTCTCCTCATCCAAATGAAAGTCGTCATCCGTTGCAAAGCTCTGCAGGAGTCGGCTCACTGCGTGGCCTTTAGCCTGGACGGGAAACAGGAAGTGACATCAGTCGGCGCGGTCAGTATCACATCATTATAAAGCCAGATTATTCAACAGTAAACAGATCTGCAGATGACTGAATCAAGTCTCATCCAGTCTGGACCCATGAGTGAAAAAAACCCAGACAGAGGCGACTATTGAAATCTGATACTTCAATTAAGCCTCAAGGATGTTTTTCTCACTTGCCATCTTTCACTCTAAGGTCAAAGGTCACACTCAGTAATAACTGAAGCTCTTGAACTGGTGGGACTTCAGTGAGTTGCCCAAGGACACTTCAGCAGGATGGACGCCTGCTCATACAGAGGCTTGAACCCTAATTAACGCTCTCTCTCTCACAAACACACACACACACACACACTAGAAAATCTCCATCTCAGACCGGTTTAAGCCGGTCTCGCCAAAGATGACTGATGATGGAAAGTCAGCTCGCCCAACAGGTTTCTGCTTGTATTTCCAAAGAAAAGACCATAATATTGAGTGCATAAGAGATGGTGTGTGTTTGTGTAAGTGTGTGTGTGTGTTTGCGTGTGTGTTGTCTCTTGAAGTTTTCCACATCAGGAGACCATATATTTTAGTGACAGAAGTTTCGTCACCAGAGGGCATGGGTGATTATTTCACTTTACTGCTTGTGGTGTGTGTGAGTGTGTGTGTACAGGCACGCAAGGGTGTGTGTAGTGTTTTGGCCGATGATTGTCTTTCTACTTCTGTGTTGGTTTTTCAGTTGTTGTTTTTTGGACATTCCCTCACAATGACTCAAGGACCAATCAAAATTTAGGGGGAATTTCTCTGTAAAATAAATATGCGTGTGTGTGTGTGTGTGTGTGTGTGTGCGTGTGTGTGTGTGTGTGCGTGCGTGCACACAAAAACACACTCAAAAAAGCGCAAATAGTGTTTTTGACAAAGCAAGTGATTTACAGCTGATGCTAAGTATCTCAAAGTTATTGGTGCTGTCAGCTGTAATCTGCGGGATCTTCAAACTTCCTAGCAGGGTGTGTCTCACTCCTACGAGGAACGAACGATCTTGAGGTGAGGGCTTCTCCAAAAAATTCCTCCTCCCGTCTCTTTTTCCCAGCGTTTATTTGCATGCAACAGAAAGACAAAGGGAGTGACCTTCACTGAGTCACCTGTCTTCTCTGCACACACAGCCTCTAAGTTCATAACCTCTTCCTCATTGCTGTTTGCTTTTTTTTTCCACCTCACATAACAACATATGCTTCTTTAGGCATTAACTCATTTCAAGAGTCATGTAATTACATTCCTTTTAACTTTTGACAGCAGTGATTTATTGTCATGATCATTACACAACCTCTCTGTCACGCCTCTAAAATTAGAAAAGCATCTCACCTTTCCTCCTATCAGTCCCTTCCTTTCGTGCTCTTGGTGCAATTGATAAAGGTAATCCTCTTGTGCAAAAGTTGATTTTTGGAAAATGCATTTTATTAACCATCCACTTGCTTATGATTCGCTGCAAATAAAACTTGCTTCTAGCGAGGTTTAACTACTAGAAAAGAATATTTGGTACGTGTTTCTGTAGCCTCACATCGTGGTCAAGCAGGTGTAGCAAAAAAGCAGATAAAAAATGAAGCAGGTACGATGTTTAAGAAGTTGTACAAAGTTTGAAAATGCTAAAGAAGATGTCAAGCAGATTTGAAACAGGATTTCATCACTGTCTGCTTCCCCGATCACTTACACACAAGTGACCACAGAGAGAAATGCAAGAAGCAAATGCCAGTTTTGAGGGTGTAACATAACGGTGTTTGAGTAGGACTGTAACTCACCGCGGCTAAAGAGTGATTTACGTTGTTGAAAAGTTGTCAGTTGCATAAGTAAAATACTGCTGTGTCACTGTAAGGTTTCAAGATAGCACCCGACCTCTTGAAATGTCTCACCTTTCCCAGAATGCTCTGTCCCGCTGAGCTCTTCCTTGCAGCCTCCTTGCCGGCTCTGTTTGCTTCTGTCAATGCTCTGTGGTGAGCCCGGCCGTCCACAAAGCTGCAACCCGCTGACGGCGCTCCCCAGCTGGGTAGAAATGCTTTTCTGTTCCCCTGGTAGTCCAGTCGTCCCATTTCTGTGTTGGACAGACTCGGTCTTCTAGGCGGTTTTCTCTGATCTTCAATGGGTCTGCTCATTGTACCTGAAAGTCAGTGGGAAGATATTGAAATAAAATCCAGCGGGTGCAACAGTGTAGATGTCTAACATCAGTGACGATCTGAGGAGAAACTCTGTTTGCTTTATCTGGTCTTTTGGGCTTTGTAATAGACATTTAAAATTAAAAGCCAGTTGGATAAAGACAATCTATGTTCCTCTGTTACATTTACAATTTTGTCTGTTAATGAAACGTGTAGCCCAGGTTTATTACAGATGGTAAGAAAACACACAAAAAAAGATGTTAGCAAACATTCATTAAACTTCCCAGAATAGTTGATGTTAATCCTGATTATTGGTAAATACCAGAAAACAGTGTATGCTGTCTATTTGTAACACCTCCAAACAGCTGTCACGTTGAAGCTTATTGTTAAAGCACATGTGCTGTCATCATGAGTAAAACTTTTGTGTCACCTTATCAGTTATACAATTCAGGAGAAGTTTTCAAATCTGCTGATACTTATAAGAACTTTTTCAGCTGTTTTACTGAGCTGATGATACCCAGCATCCCTTATTGAGCTCTCACCAAGAGGTCCTGGTCTCTTATTCCTTGCTTTCTGGTTTGCTTGGACTTTGGAGGCCTGCGATGAAAACGCCGTAATCCTGGCAGGGTTTGCAGAAGCATCTTTAGAGGACGAGCTGATTTGAATGTCACCAGAGCCATCTTCACTGTTGTAGCTGCCGTCCTCCTCCTCCTCCTCCTCTTCCTCCTCCTCTGTGGAGCCATAACATCAATACGATCAGTCAGAGGGATTCAGGTGAGCTTAATGTAAACACTGCTCAACCTAAAGACAGGGACTCCCTTGATGAGACGTATTGACACCTAGCTCTCAATATTCTTCGAACAGGTCAGTTCACAGTCATGTGGTTAAATCAACATCACTGAAAAATGGAATAGTGAAATATTGTTGAAGGCCCTCTGTAGATTGGATCAAACCTGCCTTAAGAGCGGCCGCACTGATTGTTCCTTAAATGCAATCACAGGATAAAAACACACACATGCAAACACACACACACACGCGCTTGCATGCGCTGATCGGGTTGTTGGCAGCTGTGTGTCGATGACTGCGGGGGTCGTGTCGGGTGTCGACACATCTCTGACACACTTGTCACTTACACAGCGCTCTAGTCAACACTTAGCCTCAGTCACACACCAACACAAACACATACACACACATCCAACCAATTCTCTGTGTGATCAGGGCGGCAGGGTCGGGCAGATTCTTAGGTTTACCTGCAGATTTGTTTCTCTAATATCAGATGGTCTTTTCAAGCATTTAAAGAAGCAAATTTCAATGATGTTGGGGTGTAGAAAGAGTTTGGAGGACAGGGGTGTGACATTCTCGCAGGGACCACAGTCGGCTCATGTTACCATGTGGCATTAAGGGCTGGGGTGACTGTGTTGCATGCCTTTGGCAAGTCGTTAACGATTTTAACGGTTTGATAAACGAGCTGGGAAGTGAGAGGAGGCCCCCCTGATGACGGCAGACAACTCACTTTTGGACACTTAACATACACATAGAAACATGGTCGTGCACTTGTCGTAAAAATGCACAATGTCCGGTTGATGTTTTTTGACTCTTTGGCCAATCAGCTGTTAGCTCAATATATCTAGATAGCATAGATAGTAAATAATATGAGGCTTTGCATTCACATATGGGCTCATTGATAACATTTCTTTTAAAAAAACATAATCAAATTAAGGGTCAAAGAACTGTTTCAGTAGGTTTTACACCTTACTTTTCAAAGCAAAGATTCCTTGTTTAGCTGGTAGACCATTTCACAAGACAAAACACTGAAAGCCTCTCTGTGTCACTCACCGTGCTCTGAGCTCACGCTGTCACTCTTCTCCTCCCTCACTTCCTGTTTGTCGGAGGTACGGCTGTCCTTGTGTTGAGCTCCGTTTGTGTTGACTCCCATCAGCACCTTGGGTTTTCGACCCCTCTTCCTTTTTACTGTCGGACCAGCGTCCCAGTTTCCCTGCAGGTCTACAGGAAAAACATCCAAAGACAGAGAGATCAGTTTCATTGGCTTTAGGTAAAGAACAACAAGTGTTTATCGTTGGCATATTCACGATGACCATCGCCACATTAGGCCTACCTAGATTTTGGCTAATCTAGAAATCCGCTGTTTAATTCTACTGTAAAATCTGGCACTGGGCTTTAATGGGAGTTTTGGAACCTCTATCCAAGTGGGTGCTCAAGGAATTGCATTTTTTTTGGCATGTCTGCATTGGCTTATCTTTTCAACACACGTGGTTGGGTAAAAGAACATATTTGATCAGTGTGGAGCTAGGCAGCAGCTACCACTGGTGTTCAATCATCTCTTATCTAACTCAACCTTTTGAGGATGTTGCAGGATGCAACAGAGAAGGTGCACGCTGATTATAAAACTTTGAAAAACAAGAGACGTTAGCTAAGAAGCAGTTGCATGCTAGCGTTAGTTGTTGTCTGATAGTGGCTGTAGAGTTGTCAGATATGTTGTTTTCAATGACTTGTTTCCTTACCAACATTTTTAGTCTTCGTTTTTTTCTACAGTCAAATGGATCGCTCACTGTGAATATTTCTTGAAATAAATGAAAACAATGGTTGTCTTCACTTTTGCTTTTCCTGTCAACCACCTGATGGTATTGGTTGTAGGCATGAAACATTACAATACGCTTCTGTAGCTCATATTCAGCCATCAGCATGGATTTCAGTTTGTTTTAAAACCAGCTAAGGAGTCCTCGCAGAAGCTTTAAACTAAATAAAGCAGAACTAAATGATCGTCTCTCTCACAGAATTTTCCTCCCTTATCTAGACGTCAAAGGGAAACTGTAGCCACATCAATGTGCTGCTTATACCGTACTTTCCCTTTGTTCCCACCTTTTCTTCCTTGTCTGCTGTGATTCTTAGATCTGTCCCCCTCACCAGGGGTCCCTCTGCAGTGCAGCACGCCTGCTGATGAAGCACCACGCTGGGCTGCAGCTTTCTGCTTCAGCTGGGTCACCCGTCTGGCCAGCCTGGAGCTCAGGGCGCTGGGTCGACCTCTGTGCTTACAGCGAGCTTTCATCTACCGACAGGGAGCGGAACAGCTAATTATTGACTAATTTCTTTCTGTTAATTGAAATATCCTGGAAAGAAGAAATAACATTAGCAGCAGGAAATGGTTGTCAGTGTGTGAGAGAGACCGACCTGTGCAGAGCTGAGGCTGTTGAAGCCGTGATTGGACATTTTCTTCATGGTTTTTTCCTCCAGTGAAGTCAGGCCAGTCCTGGGATATAAAAACACAGCAGAGCCACACTTACATGAGAACTTAGTACACACGAAATTGTTCACAGAATCAACCTGATCACACGTTTTTTTCCTAATTAAAGAAAATTTCTTCTTAAACTCTTTGCTCTCTTCTTTAGCCTTTCCTCCCTCTCTCTCCTAGATTCTCCTATTGTCTCCCCCTCTCCTCTGGATTCTCTTATTGTCTCCCTCTCTCTTCCCGATCTTTTTCTCTATCTCATAACTCAGATGACAGGCCCAGCTGCCAGTCTGAGCAGTTTGACGGCAAACACAGAAATATTAAGCGTCCGTGCGAATATGAAACTCATCACATGAAAGGATGAGAATTATCCAGTGTGAAGGAGAGGGGAGTAGAGACAGAGAGAGAGACAGAGAGTGGTGGAGGAGGAGAAGAGTAGAGGGGGATGGGGGAGAGACAGAGGGAGAGATGAAGCAGTCTCGGGGGAGTCTGTCCGTTGACCGGAGCTTCAGGGCTCGATCAATAAACACTAACCTCTATTGAACACTACTCCTCCCTTCCTCTCTCTCTTTCCCTCTCTATCTCTCTCCGTCATTCCTTCGTTGTATGCATGCTCTCTCACACCACAGGCAGCCTACACACGCGCACACGCACACACACACACACACACACACACACACACACACACACACACACACACACACACACACACACACACTGTTAGCAGCTGGTGTCTGAAGCAGGTGAATCCTATATTCCCACAGAGGGAGACTTTGGCTCTCAGCATCTCCAATCCCGGGAGAGGAAAGAGGAGGAGAAGAGAGGAAAGAGGAGGAGGAGTGTGTAAAGAGGAGGTGAAAAGAGAAAAGAGGAGGAGAAGAGAGAAAAGAGGAGGTGAAAAGAGGAGAATAGAAGAGAAGAGAAGAGAGGAGATTATTCTGAAAATTTTAGCTCTTGGTGCTTCTAAATCCTGAACTTTACCTTATTTGGAGCAATTAAAACATGTTAATCTACTAACAATATTGGTGGAACAGTTAACCCTGTCCTTTCAATATAATGCTCCCATACAAAAGTATACGTAAAGAATTTACTCTTTTTATTTTATGGCTTTGCTTGCTTTTCCAAAGCCCTTATTTCACCCTTACCCCACTCATTTTTAATAAACAATAATTCTGCACACAGTCAAACTGACATACAGTCAATTTGTGTTAAATGAAGTGCATTTTGAATCATTTCACAGATAATAGTACAACAATCACAAGAACAATACGAGGAGAAATGAGTTGTAAAAAAATCTTGTCCAGTGATTCAACAAGTCCTAACTCTGACGAGGCCTGGTCATCCATTGTAACACACTCTTGGTTTTAGGAAACAGAACTGCCTTCATAAATGTTTCTGTTTCCGGTAGATGTTAACAAAACTTTGTCACACAAATAGGAAGAAAAATAATGCCTCTTTCTGAAAACACCTCTCTGCCACATTTGTCTGCTTGCTGAGACAAACAAAAAAATTCATTTTGATGACATGCATTACTAACTGTGCACATTCAGACACCGTCCACTATTATTCAAAGCCAATTTAACCTCTAGGAGTGATGGCTAACTTTCATGGGCTTCAGATGTAGCCTGAGCATTATGATTAAGGGTTTTTAACAACATCTCCCTTGTCCACGTGTTGAAATTGTTAAACAGCTATGAGGTGATACATAAGAGTGAACCCTAAGCTCCTGTTCATACAATTGAATAAAAACTAGAATTGTGTGTCAGGTTACTGCTGACAAATGTGATATCCAACATATTGTCACTTGCTCACAGATCCTGTATAACGGACAGAACCTGAAGCTGCAGACTTTGTAGATAACCGTAAACTGTGAATGAGCATCTGAAATCAAACCTTTGTGTAATTAATGTAATATTATCTTGTAACTTAACTTAATTAGAGGCATTTTTGAGTATAGTTTAGCAGTTGGATTGGCACTTTGCCCCTCTGACAGGTGTGGTTAGAAGCATGACTCTTAGCCCTCTCCCTCTGTCACATATACAGTATATTCCCATACTTTTTGGCAGTACACTGTATATGTGTGAATATACGGGGAATCTTCTGCTCCATGTAGATGGATTCATTTTCTCTGATTCATCTCAGCCCACAGTTCTCATGAGGAGATGAAAGCATAAACAAATCATACGTCGCTTGTTAATAACAACAGAAATGCTGTTCTGGCACGTAGCGACCAGCACTACTAATTAAACAAGTTTTTGTGTGTACGAATGCATGCACGCATGTGTGTGTGTGTGAGAGTCTGTGTTTTAGGTGCACAGGCATGTATGACTAGAGCCTTTCATTGTCATTTTCATTAGCGCTTTCTAATCACGGTAGCCGTGACAAACCTTGAGTTTCTCTAATCATTTTATCAAGGCGAGGGGGGCACATGCTAACAGAGGTGGGGCAGCATGAGAAAACACATTTATCATTAGAAGTGTTGAACACTGGCTGTGTGTATCTGTGTGTGTGTGTCTTCAGTGTGTGTGTAGGAATGTGTGTCATCATCAAAGTGTGCATGTCTGAGGTGTTAAACAGTGTAGTGTGTGTTGCAGCAGGGGGGGAGGGGTGGTGTTGGGTCGTTTATCACTGTAATAACTGTACATCAGGACTTTGTCTGCCTGTGTTAATGTATGCTGCAGGTTCACACAGAATCAGGACGTAATCAATGCAAGTGATAAATATGATTAGAAGTGATTAATGATGATTAATGAAGGCCTCATCTCCATTAGCTTCTCTCAAAATCACACCAACCTTACAGCTCCTGTCACATAAACCGATTGTGCGAGTGTGTAAGTGTGCATGTGAGCGTGTGCGAGCAGCTCCTTCCAGTGCCCAATCAAGCAAATCATCTGCTATAGAGCATTTAAATCAATTCAGCTGAAGAAGAACTTCTTGAAAATCAGCCGTGCCTTTGACTAAGAACACAAACAGAAATCAGGATGAATGAGCGGGGCCCGCCAATCACACTGATTATACTGACGCCGTATCACAGCACTGACCGGAGTCTTTTGGGGCTCTCCGCAGCAGCTGGGCCGGGGGTGGACTTGCGTTTGCGGGGGCGGCCAGGCCCCCGGCGGGCAGGGCTACGAGTCGTCTCCTCTTTCCTGCAGAGAGGAAGACAAGTAGGAGGGAGGTGGAGGAGGAGGAGGAAGGAGAGAAGGATCAAAGATGAAGTCCGGACAGCAGAAGGAAGCCTGTATCGGCTGCAGGTCAAACTGCATTAAGAATGAGCAGGCTGCGAGTCCTGATAAATCAGGAGGATGCAGCATCACGGCAAAAAAAGTGAATGCTGGAATGCACACCTCGATCTAGACAAAAGGAAGTGTGTGTGTGAGTGTGCGCGTGCATGTGTGTGTATGTGTGTGTGCTCACTGGTGGTCGTGTTTCCTCTGTAGCTTGGCCAGTTCCCTCTGTTTCTCTTTGTAGCGGCGCTGTAGCTCAGCCAGCTGGACACGCATGGCCAGCTCCTCCCCTCCCATCGTCTCCATGGAGCCCTTCACTGGGCACACCTGACACACACACAGAGAAAACACACACACACGCACATACACAAAAACAAAAGGCAGGGGAATTTCAATGCTTTGCAGACGGAGTTGTACAACACTCATTGCATATGTTAAGAGGCCAGCTTGTGTTTGGGGCAGCTCATTGAATTTATTTGATGGATTCTTTTTTTTTTTTTTTTTTTACAGGAGGCTGATGAGTTTGATCTTTGCAGATTTTTATGTATGTCAACCAACTGCATTAAAATGACAAAGAAAAGGTTTGCAGAGATCTCCCATGGTGGGCCATTTAGGAACCGTTGTGATAAACTGATTTAATAAGAGAGGGAAATAAACATTCAAGTTTTATAACATGTACTAACTTTAGCGATTTAAAATTAAATGTTCGGAAACGGATTGGAAAGTAAAGGTTCCTAAAGTAAAAAAATTATTTATTTATCGTCCATCTCCATCCTTTTTCCATGAGTACTTTGTTTGCTGAACACAAACACGCTCGGAATAAAGCCTCACCGGCTCATGGCGAGGCGTCCAGCTGCACTTCCTACGCAGGTTCAGCCTTTTCCTGATTGGGCACTGCTGGTTTGTGCCTACATCCATGGCCCCTCCCCCCATTTCCAAGGCACGGGCTGCTGCCAGCGTTGCCAGACTGTGGAGGTCAAAGGTCAGCATGTCTTCACCTGTGAGGGCAGAGGGATCATTCAAGGTTTTGATTGGCGCGTCTCACAGCGGCTGACACGCTGTTGTAAAGTATGTTGTGAGCAGAACAGATTTATTCGTGGGGCGATGAAATGGCGCCTTGAAAAGTGGTGATATTTATGATATTAGGTGCGTAGTTTATTTGATGTATACTTGTGTTGCTGCTTAATCGTACGCACAAACACACACACAGACGCACACACATACAGGGGGGAGCGTTGAAGAACGATCTCTACATCTGTCACTGTCATTAACTCTGTCATTGTCACAGCGGCGGCGGTGGATGAAACAGAATATTCATGAGACTGTACACACACACAAACACACACCTATGCAAATACGACATTCTGAACACACACATATGTGAACCTAGAATATTTTTGCTGAGCTGCGCAGACATGAGCAAAATGCAAGAGTGTGTGTGAGGAAGAAATGGAGAGAAGGAGAGCAACCGGCAGAAGAAGAGGGAGGAGGAAGAAGAGGTGTGCAAGAAGAGAGGGGAGGGGGGGAGCTAAAGGGAGGAGAAGCAATAAGAGGCAAAGTGTTTATTGAGCTATCTATTTATTCTCCTACATCTCCTCATTATGGACATGGACAGAATCCAATTTCCCCTCCAAGGAGAGGAGAGGAGAGGAAAAGAAAGGAGGAAAGGAAAGGAAAAAGGGGAGGAGACATTTTACTGGATCACTGTCTCTATGCACTAGAGCTGCAAGGCCTTCTCTGACATCTGACATGATTAAAACCCATATGAGAGAGTGTGTGAGGGATGGGGACCGAACTACAGCAAGCAGAGAAGAAGAGAAAAAAGCGGGAAGGATGGAGTGAAAAGAAAAAAAAAACGAGGGTGTGAAGGAGAGAACAAATAGATGTGAAAATGGCAAGAAAAAGCAAGCGGTATGGAGCTGAGAGATGTGTCTTTGTCCTGTCCCGGCTGGCAGAGGTCAACACCATCTCATCTGTCAGACCCCCTGAGCCAATGGCACACTCTGGTTACCCTGACAGGATGACATCACCGCTGACATCACTACGCCTAGTTTAGTATCCTGGGGAATGGCCGCAATCGATACGTACCTTCCGCCACACAGTAATAACACCACACAGGGGGGTGTAATGAGAGGCAGCGCAGGGAGTTTGAAGGGGAAAAACAAAAACAGGGAGGAAAATTAAAAACCATTACAGTTCATATGGGTGTAGTCATCATTAGAGGCCATTAAGAAAGTTTATTGAGCTGAAATTTTAATATAAAGGAAATGTGAGGGAATAAAAGCAGTGATGACAAAAACCAGCCCCACTGCCTGTGTGTAAGTAGAAGTAATGGTGCTAATTCATACAGGAGGGGGCTGTCTCTCTTGATTCCTTAATCTGTAATTGCAATCTCAGAGGAGCGGCTGAGATATCCTTCCGCGTCAAGGAGCGGCATAAATGCATCTGTCTGGGATCGGTTTCATCTCCCAAACACATTCAAGACGACAAAAAACGCCATCAGCTGTATTAATAACGTTCCATGCAGCGAGGCCGGAGCGCATTTTTAAATAAATGTGTTGCAATTTAGAGAACGTTTTCCACGCCAGGACAGGACTTATTGATTTCACACCTATTACACATGCTAACCACGTGCGCACACATGTAAACAAATGCACGCTCACACACACATGCAGGGCGACTTATGATTTTTACACTTATTAATTCCGTCAACAAGGCTTGCAGAGGCAGGATTTACACACAAGATTACATTGGTTTAATAAATAAATAAAAGAAGAAGGAGAAGCAGGTGAGGGGGAAAAATAACAAAGAGGGAGGAGGAGAGGCGGGAGGAGGCGCAGGCAGGGAGCAGGCAGCCTGCTGGAGAGACACATAGACACTGATGGAGGAGAGCAGGGATTCATCTGGGATTACTTAACAGCTTACACACACACTCGCCGGCCGTGCATGCACGCACACAAACGCAGGCGAGCGAACACACACAGATGCTGGCATAAATAAAAACACTTTCTCTCAGAGGGACGAGAGGAAAATAGGAGCGCTTACAGGAGAAGTGTTTTAAAGGAAAGGGTCTAATTAGCAAAGCAAGACGCCAGAGCCTGAGGGACACGACGGGCAGAGTGTGGCTGAATGTGGCTGAAAGTGTGTGTATGTGCATGTGTGTGTGTATGTTTGTGTGTCCAGGCTTGTGTCTGAAGCTCAGCATGTTTGTCCATCTATGGGTCCCCCTCAACACTCACACACACACACACCTATCCCTGAGGTAAAAAAAACAAAAGTCCCAAGTCTAAGCTGAAAAAGGAAACAGGATAGTAAGCAGGGAAAAGAGTGTGCGCATTTGTGTGTGTCTCCACATCTGTCTCCCAGACATGCTTTTTTTGTGGTTTGCTGTAAGTGTGTATGTGTTTATTTAGGCAAGAGAGATGTAGTGTTTGATCCTTGATGTGATTTTTAAAAGCTTTCTGATTACATTTTTACTCCAAATTCCATGTTTTAAGTAAAAACTGTCCAAAATGTCTGGGTTTTTATGAGTTCAATTTAAAATTTGGTAAAAACGCTGCAGAATATAATCAGAGCAGATCCCACTCCTGCTTTATTGACAGAATGAAGGCCTCAGAAAGAGGATAAGCAAACATTTTTAACAAACTCACCCTCAGTGCCTTTCTCTCTGCTGTCCCTGCTTCTCTGTTGGATCTCCAGTTCTGCCAGTTCTCCCAGTATCTCCATACCATGGTGAGGTGGGGGGCTAGGGGCCTGAGCAGCAGGTGCAGGTGGGTACAAGGCATCTCTGGTGGCGCACAGAGCTGCAGCAATCAGGAGCTCCAGGCTCCACATGTAGGCACCCTGGAGCTGAGCCGCTGAGCTCAATGAGGGAGGAAGGTCGAGGTTCGAGGAAGTAGAGGGAGCAGGAGAGTCACTGGTGAGCTTCACTAAATCCTCCACTGGACTCATCTCACTGCCCTTCTCTTCCTCCACATCCTCGACCACCTCCACATTCTCTCCATCCTCCTCCCTCTCCCTCTCCTCCTCTTCTACAGGCACAGACACTTTACATTCTGTTGGTTCAGGCCCTGTTTTCTCCTCCTCCATGTCCTCTTTTCCATCACTACTGTCATCCTCCTGCTCTTTGGATAGTTGGGGCTCCTCCAGGCCGGCCTTCTGGCCCGGGCAACCCAGAGAGAGTGCTACTTTTAGGGCTTTGCCTGTGGCTGTGGCCAGGCAGGCTTGATCTGTGGGAGGGAGCGGAGTGGGGGAAGGGCATGGCGACAATCCAGAAATCCTGCTCTCAGGCTCAGGGAAGGAGCATCCTTTCACTTCTAGCGTCCTTTCTTCCTTCTCTTCTTCTGAAACTCCGCTCTGGGATTCCACCGCTTCACAGTCTCTCTTATCCTCTTCCTCCCTTCTCTCCTCCTTTTTGGAGAGAGGCTGGATGTGGCACGGATGTGGGAGGGGCTTAGAGTCAGGCTGGGCTGGCTCCGCCTCCACTGTGGCCTCAGCCAATCGAGCCTCAGGAAGTGAGGGCCCGGCTTTGTAACCCATGGTGATTGGAGGATAGGTGTAAACAGGTGGCAGATCTAAAGAGGAAAAAGAAAATAAAGGTTAAATAATCATAAAATGTTGACAAAGTTCTGCTCAAAGATGTGTCCTCAGGAAATAGATCCTGAACTCTTTAAGTCAGGCTTTTAAAATTCATTGCTATTCTATTCAGGCAGACAGGATGAAGCACACCATTACAGTTGGCATAATAAACTGACAGTAGGGTGCCTGTGTGTACAGTGCGTGCGTGTGTGCGTGCGTGTGTGTGAGTGAGTGTATAGATCTTTGTCCTATATTGATGACACCCTGCCGTTCTCCTGTGATTGCAGCGTCGGCCCTGTCACCCTCGCGCTCTTATTATTGATGGTATCCCTCCGCCCCCAGACAACACAGCCAGATGAATGCGTATTCTTCCGCCTGTACTTCTCAAGGACCTTCTGAAGGATAAGGAGGGTCTGTCTGAAGATTTCACTGACCTTCCTCTTGTGACACACATGGGAACGCTGGCAGGTCACACACTCGCACACATACACTGAGTGCCCATATGCTTTCTGTGACCTTAATGACTGACCTGCGCGCTGTCCCTCTTTAGCTTGTGCAGATAAAAATTGCACGCACATACACACACACACTCAAGGACGCACAGAGCGAGGGATCAGCCATGCTTCAAACAATTTCTGCAAAATCAAAAGAATACCACGCTTCAAAGACCAGCAGCACCCTCAATCTCTCGTCGTCTTCTTTTCTCTCTCACTTCATCTCTGCATTTTTGTCTATCCCTGGTCCCTCCCTCTCCTGTTTTTCTGTCTTTGGTGTTCAAACTGCAGACAAAACTCTTCTATATATGAAGAAATTAATGAACTGACCTGGTTCAAGAGATTGTGGGTAGTCCTGAGGTGGCTGCCCCTCCCCCCTCTCACTCCCCCTCTCCAGGCCTTTGGACAGGTGTGATGGAGCAGGGCTGAGTGCAGGGGAGCGCGGTGCCGCTGCAGCTGGGCTCGGTGCAGGGGTGAGGGGGTTTGGCGGATGCGATCGCCTGGACGGGGAGTGGTAGCAGGGCGACTGACGGCTGCTGGGACACATCCCGGGAGACGGCGTGGGCGTTTTGGGTGGAGGGGGCGTGTGAGAGAAGGGTTTGGCAACATGAGAGGAGGTGGTGGATGAAGAGGAGGATGGAGTCCTGGATGCTGAAGATTCATGTGGAGTGTCCTCTATAGTGATGGCATGCTCCTCGTGTTTTCTCTGTAGGAGAGGCAGAATGATGGTAAGCTTCTTCGAACACGAACCATTCTGGTGGTCTACTAGGTAAAAAGACTTGATTCTGATTGGTCGAATCCCCCATAATAATGGTAATTAAATCTCAAAAGCAAAAAGTAACACCAGAAACAACCTGATCCTACACATTTTATCAAATCAATCAGTACGTTTCACTTCTGCCTGATGACACTGTGGCAAAAGAGTTAGTTGGTTGTTTCAGGCTGGACTTGAGTCAGTAAATGATGATACTTAATGGGCAGATGTGACAGCAACTGGGCTATTTTTTTATCGTTAAAACAAATCAATATTTTATGTTGACTTGTTTATTTCTTTAGTTGGTGCTGGGTTATATTAAATAGAAAATGTGGTTATGCAAATTAAAATCCTGACAGGAGAAAAATATTAGCAAGAGGAACTTCAGGCCTTTAAAAAAGCAGCTCTTTGTGTACTTTCTGTGGAAATGTGGCTTGAGTCAGCGTCATTGTTTGATCACCAAATAATCTGGCATTAGATAGAGTAGAAGCCCCACACCAAGCCTTTTACTGAAGCCTGTTGCCAACATACTGATGAACTTCATGCCTTCAGAATTTTCTGCTCTGTGTGATTTTGCGAGCACTCTTTTTCGGCATTGTGAAATCAGACTTTCTGTACACAGTCAAACATATCATCTCTTGTTTTTTTTCTAACTACACAAAACAAGGAAGACAGATTGATGTACAAATTCCCAATATTTCAACACTTCTCCTTTTGTGCTTTGCTTTCACAATAATATCTTAACAGTATTTCATAACTTGTTAATAAAATGCAACCTATCTCTGAATAGGAATCAGTTACAGTCGAGATGATTTTACCTGTCCTAAAGAGTGCCGCTGCATGTGCTCCATGGCCCGCTGCTGCTGCTGGTGCTGATGCTGCAGGGCATAAAGCTCCTGTTGCCGTAGGAACGAGGAACGGGAGTAGACAGGATGATGCTGCAGGTGGGAGGGAGGGCCTCTGCCTCCGTATACAGGGGGCCAAAGACCTGACTGCTCCAGGACGTCTAGAGTAAAAACAGAGATATAGACAGAAGAATGAAGGCGTGTTTTGGCCTTTTGTGTCAGTGAGAACTGCAACTTTTAATACATGTGAATCTGGCAGAGTTTGTTCTCTTTTTATGCGTAATGACAGTGATCTCTGGAAATACACATTCTCTTTAAGCCCAACCCTAGCCATATATGACTTTAGTTACACACATAGCTAAACACAAACACACACACATCCACACATCCCTCCTTGGCTGCCTTGTCGCTGGGAACCTTTGTTCTGTGAGATTAGCCTGAGTGGGCTAATGTTTCCCAGGGGAAGGGTTCAGTGGATGCACTTCCCCTCTCCGCAGGAACTCCCACGGAGCGAGGCGAGAGAGGGAGGCGGGAGATAATTAAATTTCACAGCCTGTTTGCAAAGCAGCGTTGACACACTCTCACACAAACACACTCACACTCCTTTCTCTCTCTTGAAATATCTGAGATGTGCAACACAACCCCTAACACTGAGCCATGTCTCATGTTGTTCCAGACATGAACACAGCTAACTAAAGATGACCACACATACACTTTTTACACACACAAAGTCCAGTCCAAACCCACCAGCGCTCGCCACAGAAGAGACGAACAGCAGTTCAAATGGTTTGCATAACGCTGGGCACATGGGGAGGGGGCGATGGAATAGCTGCTCCCATTAACGAAGCTATAAAACACGGTCCCACTGACAGAGGGACTTAGTTGAGCATTATATTATGATTAGCCAATGATACTAAAACTCTGGGAGAGAAATGGCAGCAGCTCTGATGGTACAAATGGAGAGAAAAGGCGGAGAGCGGTGAAGAAAGCTATGAGTGTGTGCTCTGCTGCGTGTGTGTGTGTGTGAGTGGTCTTGTTGTGAGCGGCTGCCTTACTTACCAAGAGGGTGATGAGGCCCAGCTTCAGTCGGAAGAACCACCAGAGGGGAGTTAGGGTCTTGGGTGAGTGACCCCAGGACGGGCTGCAGGGGGCTGGGCAGACCTGGAGGGAAGCCGGGGGTCATTCCGACATGACTCAGACCTGAAATCAAGAAACACATCTGATCCAGTCAAATAAGGGTAGCATTTAAATAAAAAGTTGGCCAGTCCAGGGGACACTGGAGTTCTGCACAAGTGGGTATGTGGGTGAGTGACAAAAAAAGCTCCACCCCTTTGCCTGTTTCTAGACTGATCTGAAGTCAGCACGTTTAATATGATAGTTGACATAGTTGGAGCTTGAAATGCTTCTACAGACAGGGAGGGGTAAAGTCACAGAAGCTACGTCCATGCTTTCTTTAGTCTATGATTTTAATATTGGCTCTAAAATGGGTACTTGGCTTTTGGAGCCAGCTTGAAATGGAAATTCAAGGAATGATACTTTTTACACTTGTCCATTTACTTCCTTTTTCAACACTCGGATTGCCTCCAGACAACATTCCTTAGAAGTTTAAGACAAAGGTCTATGGAGGAACAGAAATTTAAGACTAAAACAAACAAAAATAGACTCAATATTAAATCCAAGCAAGTATCCCATGATCAAATAACATATGGAGACGGTTAGAGCGTAACGTTTGAATTAAATCCATACAATCTTCCAATCCACCCACCATATGAATGTCCCATCCAGAGAGAGGGACTCCCTGTCCTCTGCATCCAGTGGTGGTGAGCTGGGTGAGCATGCACAGCAGGATCCGCCCCCAACTGACTGGCCCCTCCAGGAACCAAAAGGTGAGAGGTCAGGTCACCGTGGCAACTACTAGAGGGGTGAATTCTGGCAAACTCCACGCGATCCTTATTATCCCTGTAGTGGCGATAGGCGGGTGAACTTTGTCATTATCTTGATTATCCCTCTCATTGTCATCATCACCATCACCATCATTACGATCATTATCTTCATCCTTGTCATCTTCATTACCACCACTACCATTATGACCATCAAGAAAAGGAAATATGATGGCAATGGGAACAGCCATCATCTTGAGCCCGGTCTATGAGTAATCATTATATGTTTTCTCCCCTAATATGACTACATAATAAGAGCCAGCTACATCAGAGACATCTGTATTAGCGCCTGTAACATTAATGCACCGCATCTCGTCTTAGAGAGAAAGTGAGAGAGAGAGGGAGAGAGAGAATGAGGGGAACAGAAATACCACATCAAAGGGTGAGGAGAGTAAATGGAGAGAGGGGATGAGAGAGAGGGAGAGAGGGGAAGAAGAGCCTCAGTGTGAGAGAGAATAAAAGACGGGCAGCTTATCAGATGAGAGAAAGAATAAAAAGATGCTGCTATGTATGTGTGTCTATGTGTGTCTGTATGTGTTTTTATGGGTAAGTGTTTGTGAGTATTAGTGTACCTGATGATCATCTCTCTGTCTCGGTCCAAGTGATGAAGGCTGATCTGCTCCTCTGTCATCCTCTTCCTCTCCTCTGCCTCTCGACCAAGAGGATACACAGGACGTGACACCCCTAAACACAATTACAAATACTATCATACACCAATAAAAACAAAAACTAGTAGTAATACTTCATGAAAACTCTACCCATAAAGTCATATGGATGTTATATTTTACTGATCACTGCACTACAGGAACTTAACATTTGTTGACAGGGGTGTGTCTGATGTTTGGTCTGTGGTGGCATGCCCCCACTGAATCTAATTGGCCACCCCAGGTGGACTGACATTATTTTGGACTGTAAGAGAGTATTTGCTCTGTTCAAAGTGGTACTTCTGTTAAAACTACCAAAATGGACTCAACTGTAACTTTTCTACTCTTGGTACTTGACACTTTGATTTGTAAAGATGCATTCTCTCTTTTTTTACATCTAAAAAGACAAAAACATACAGTAACTTATTGGGTTGTTATTCAAACAGTAACTATGATGTAAACTGTCAAAGCTAAGACAGATATTGTAAATACTGTAAAATTTAGTGTGTGAGACACACGTTTAATTCCTTTTTTCATCTTAAAAGTGAGAAGCATCCATTATACCTGTGCAACCAATTTACCATTATAAATGCAGAGAGGTATGTCTTATTGTGTCACCATCCAAGAAGATGGTGCATGGTGAACCAGCTAAAGTGCACAGCAAGCTGGACACATATTGAGGTAGACCAGTCTAACTACACCATTTTGGAAATTTTTAACCCTGTGTTACGTGTCAATCATGTCATTGCAAAACACAATGGTTTACTGTTTCCCAGTCAATAATCCTTGCGGAGTATACTGTTTAGGATTCAATGTCAAAGCCTTAGACGCTTAAAGACTCTCTTAAAAATTGAGAGTAAAAAATGAGATGAGTGTTAATTCTTTCTTTGAATAAATCTGTGAGCACAGGAGAAGCTTAACTTCACTCAGTGAAATGAACATATATGATGTCTGACCTTTCATGCTGGGCAGCACCCTGCCCTGTCTGCTGTGTCCAGGGGTGTTGTCTGGGGAACGATGAGGGGGCCTGGCTACAGCTACTGCAATACCCACAGGAGGCTGTCGCACCTCCCCCTCGCCTGCTTCCCCTGCCTCTTTACCGCCTCTGTCACCCCTCTCTCCCTCGTTAGTGGAGCCTCGGCGAGGAGGGAGTGACTGTTTGGGAGATTCTTGTGGGGAGGTGTTGCTTTTAGCCCCTCCTCTGTCCCCCTTCTCTGATCTCTCTCCACCCTGTTTGAGGCAGCCTAGACCCCCAAAGGGGCCCCGCTGTGGCAGGAGCAAAGGCTGCTGGGAGCTGTAGTTCATCAGATTTTTCATGGCGCTGCCGTCATCCTCCGTGGCATGAGTGGAGGAGCGGGATTGAAGAGGATGGGGTTGAGAATGGGTTTGGTTGTGGTCACTGTTTGGAGCTCTGCTGTTAAGCCCTCTTGCTTCGTCACTGATGTCTGTTGCATGGTGGGAGCTTTTTCTCTGGTCCTCTTGGTAGCCTCCTCGTGCCCCCCATGAAGATGCTGTTGGACCTCCCTCTCTTACCCTCTCTTCTGTGCTCGTTCCATGCTGCTGATGCCGTATCCGTGCAACCTTCTGCCCCTCTCTTTGAGCAGATACCCCTGATCCCACCCTCCCATCAGATTGAGCACCTGAATTGGAACAGTCCCTAAAGGGAGGAGTGCTTGTGTCAGGGCCATTTTTGGTTGTACCCTGTCCTGCACCAGTGTGTGTCCCTTGCCCATCAAGAGGGATTGATGGACGGTACACATCGTCCACAACCTCCACATCTCTGTAGGACGAAGATGTGTCTCTGCTGCAGGACCGCAGTTCAGGCTGAGAGCTCATATTGGAGTTGGATTTGTGGACATGCTGTGTCTGTTGGCTCCAGTCTGGAGGTTTGTCTGCTTTGCCGTATCCCAGCTGCTGCTGGTGTGTCTGGGATTTGTCTTTCTTTTGGCAACTGCTGAGTCTACTGAGATGATTAGAGGGACTTTCATACGATCCCTCTCCACTCTTGTCATTTCCCTTTCCCCCACCTCCTCCTGCTCCTCGACAGTCGGTTGTTGCCAGGTCTCCCACTGGGCCCACAGAGGGAACGTAAGTCGGGCCGATGACTTTTCCCTCACGAGTGGACCCTCCAGCAGTGGACACTGGATCTTTGGAGGGTGTCAGTGTAAGAGGAGCTGGAGGACAATAAAAATCAGGGTGGGCATGATGGTGTGCAGGGTGTAGCCATCCTCCCCCGACCGCAGAGCCCATGTGCAAGGCATGGGGAGGAGGTGGGGGAGGGGGAGGCATAGAGTAAGAGGGCAAAGAGTGCGTTGATGGAGGTGCCAGTATGCCTGTAACTGCAGTTGCACCTCTTCTCATACATTCATTCGAGGAAGATGAGGATTCGCTGATTCTCATCTCCCCATTAATGGGTCCATCCTTAGAGCATCGCCTTCCACCCCCAGATGGAGGTCTTCCCACTCCTCCACCACTGCAACTACTTAGCGCTCCCCCCTTACCTCCAGAGCCAGTCTCTACACCTGAACCACCCGACAGTTTACAGGAACTCATATGTTTTGTCTCCTGATTGCCTGAGTCACTGTCTCTGTAGTCCTTGTGACGCTCCAGAGGGTGTCTCTGCTCCTCTTCCCTACTCTGTGGTGTGAGGTGAGGAAGGAGACCATGGTGTGGGTGAGTGTAGGCTTGGTGGCTGAGTCCGGATGGAGTGGTGGCAGAGTTTGTCTGATGAAGATGGTGATGGTGGAGCTGATGTTGTTTGTCTTTGCTCTCCTGGTGCCGCTCCTTGCTGCTTGAACGCTCCTTCATCTTCGACACGCTCGACGCTCCTTTCTCTGCTACATCCTTGGTGCTCTTCCCGCCTCCTACTCCCCCATTGTCTGTCTCTCGGCTGCAGGAGCCAAGTGGGTGGCCCGGGGCTGTCCTGGAGAGCGGAGGAAGGCTGTGACTGGTGGAAAGTAAAGGGGGCTGTGGAGGAAGACCTCGCAGGTAGAAGTGATCTGGGAAAAGAAAGGAGAGGGCTTAAATTGGTTACTTAATGCTGTGTCTCACAAAGTGGTCCAGTTTGGATTGGTACAGTTTGGTCCAGCCTTGTACAGTCGCCCCATGTCGTACCGTACCGTACCGTACTAGACTGAAACATACACCTTGATGGAAACGCAACTTAAGTTTGAAGTTTGTAGAGTTCCAACCTAGCTGCAGAGTAAGTGTTAAAATCATTACTTTTTTGACAGTTTTACCAACAAGACTACATTCAAGAGTTTTTCTATGATGTATGAAGGAAGAGGAAACTCAATCTTGGGTTACCAGCTGTTCTTACTCCTGTGGTGAGTGCTGATGAGGCAGTTTCAAGAGTATATGAGGCTTTTTCACACACCAACACCTACCTTTTTGAGTTTCATAGAAGCGGTGCGGTCCGTAGAGACCGTTGCTATGGTGATCCAAGGGACTCATGGGGAGAAAAGGAGAAGCAAGACTTCCTGAATAGCCGGGGTACCCTGTCAGAGGGAGGGAGAGAGAGGAAGAATTGATGTTTCTCCGCAGCGCTGACATTCAGCAGCCCTCTAAACAAACAGTTTATCTCGACGATCTATCATGAAACGGGGCCATTTTAGGAAAACAGAGAGAAAATATGGCCAGTTTGTGCTACTTTCGCCATAAATGCGCTTTTTGCAAAAACACGCCACATGAGTTGACATTATTTACAGTGGACAAAGTGGTGACAAAAACCACAGCCGACAGCTACTGCCAAGTGTTTGCAGCTTTTAACCTGATGGAATTTGCTCTTCTACTAAACACATTTTCCCAAACCCAAGACAAATAGTGTGAAGCATCGCAACCCCCCTTCTCAAAACACACACACACACACACACACACACACACACACACACACACACACACACACACACACACACACACACACACACACACACACACACACACACACACACACATACAGTCCTCCCAGGAGGTCACGGGGAGGTGAATGGTTGTTCCACTCTGTTCCTTGTCTTCAAGGACATTGAACTGCACCGTGGGATAGAGGAGGTTTTGGTGGTTGTGTTGAAGGGGGCGGATTGATGTAGAGATGGGTGAGGGTCAGTGTGTGTGTATGTGTGTGTGGTGGTTGAGAGGGGGTGTTATGGGGGGGGGGCTCAGCAAAACCATCACAGATGTACACACAATTATTTCTGCAAAGACACAACATAGGAGGCACACAAGTCCACATTAAGGGGCCAAAAGGCTTGGATTTTGTGTGTGTGTGTGTGTGTGTGTGTAACCAGCAGCTGGTTTCATGCCCCACAGAGTGTCCTTGCCGGCCCGTTAATTGGCAGCCGTTAAAAGTTTAACGGTGGTGGCCAAAGTAAACAGCACTCCATAAAAACTCATCCTACGCATTCCACAGTCGCACTGCAAAACCACCAACACCCCCTCACTGCTCCCAGCATGTGTGTGTGCATGAGACTCAGTGTGTGCATGCTGCAATGTAAATGCAGAATTTGCACACTCCTGTGAGTGTGAGTGTGTGTGTGTGTGCATGTGATTACTCTGACTGGTTAACAACCAGTGAATCTAAATGGCGACAATTAGCCAAAAGGCTCTATCAGCCATCTAAAGCCAATCCCCTGGGTAATGATGAGTGATAAAACTCATAGGGGAGGAGAGGGGGGAGGAGAGGGGAACAAAGACGACAGTGGGACATGGTGAAAATGGAAAGGAGAGAAGGAAGGGAAAAAGAGGTAAAGGAGGTCAGTGATTGAACAAACGATGTAAAGACAGAAGTAAAGGGGACAACAGAGGAATAGGGCTGTCAATATGAAAAGCCCCCAATCTGGTGCTGCTAAGAGGCGTATGGTGAGGGGAGAGGGGAGTTTGTGTTGCAGAGTGAGTGTGTGTGTCTGAGGGAGGGAGGGAGAGGGGAGGGATGGAGGAGGGATTGAAGATGAAGGAGGAAGTGAAAGGGAAGTGGAGAGCTTTGAGATGGATGAGATGAGAGGAAAGAGGAAAGAGGGAGGTAAGGAGAAGAGTGAGAGCACATGGGGGGGACAAAAAACAAGGACAGGTGCGGACAAGGGAGACTGAGCGAGAGTGATGGGATAGGGGTGTGTGAGAAAGAGTGAGAAAGACATAGTGGGAAAGAGGAAAAGAAAGAAGACTGTGTGCACGGGGGAATATGTGCTGCTTCTCAAACAACTGTGCATTTCCTCGTGAATATGTCTCATCTGTGACAATGTGTGTGTGTGTGTGTGTGTGTGTGTGTGTGTGTGTGTGTGTGTGTGTGTGTGTGTCAGCCAGGTTTTCTTCTCTCTGTTGCTGGCTACGCTCCACTCTCTGGACCGTAGCCAGCTGGCAGACCGCCTACTGGAGCTCCCTGGCTTGAATTCTTAAAAACAATCATTTGTAGTGCGTGCGCGTGTGCGTGCGTGTGAGTGTATATATTTGTGTGTGTGTTTGAGTGTGTTCAGACATCAAAGCTTAGCCACACAGATGCAAAATCTGTCTGATAGACACACACTCTCCCTCCGCACACACACAGTCTTGCTCCCTTTTTCCCTGATGCTGCTCATTCTCGTTCTCACATTGAAGCCCTGCCCTCGACTCCTTCTATGAATCTGATTTAAGGCAGTCACTTCGGGCGACATTAGTGCTCATTTTCAGGGCTTAACTGTTGCTATTTATCGCCGGATGAGCTGTAAATGAGGCAGTTGTACAAACAAAACTCGTGTCTCCTTTCAAGCTTTAAAGCTGCATCAGAAGAGATTTCCCTCGTAAGAATGTGTTATGAGCTTAATTCACAAATTTAGCCTGTGGAGTAGAAGTGTCTTCACTACACAAGTAAGAGGTACAAGTTGAATTCAGATGTGTCCTCTTCATAAACAAGTCATGATAGGTTTAAACTAAAAGAATTAAAACTTAAAAACCTGTCTCATTAACAGCAGCCTCTTTAGACAAGGTTGTACTCAATATTATTTGCTTTTGGGTAAAAAAGGTCAGTTTTTGTTTAGAGCACTAACAATTTTACAGCTCAGAACTTCAGAACTGAAAATATATTTAAAAAAGCATCAAGCCCAGGGGTTGCAAGTTAGACTATAGAGCCCGTGCTGCACAGTTAGCATCTTTTTTTTCTGTTGTAGCAGAAACATGCTTCACATAAGTGTTCATGTCACGTCCCACACCGGCAGGATGCTGAAAGTCGCTATGAACTGTGAATTATTAATTAATCTATTGATAACACATGTCGTTTCTCTGTGACGACGTGTTAAAGCTCCGCATTTTCAGTATGCTTTGGTTTTGTGAGCTCCTGTGGACTTTGGTATTTTGGCTTCACAATTCAGAACAGCGTGGCGGTGCAGAGTCCTTTCAATAAACAGTCACTGATTTGACACAATACTGAGATTGGATGGGAGCACTATCAACAGCAGTAGTGATAGATTGATTTATAACTTGACATAATCAGCATCATATCTGTATCAGCCCTCATGATCACCAGTTTATTTCCTCAAATAAAAACACAATTTCCCCATCACCAATGACAGCATATCAAATTCAAACATGACTTTCTTTTTTAATTCATACCCAAATATTTACCATATAACTGTTTCCTTTCTCCAAAGTCCCTCTACTGAGGAAAAGTTTTTCTGACTACATTTCTTTGACAAAAGAAGTCACTGTAGTCTATCTATTTTGTTTCTCATTTTTTAGTATCAATGATTTGTTGTTTTTTGTCATAAAATCAACAAGTACAACATTGATATATCATCCAACCTGCTCTCACGTAAACTGTTTCAGCATTGGCCTTTGAAAAACTGAAATCGGTCACCCTCTATACTAGGGATGGGTGATTTGGTCTCAAATCAATAACACGATATATTGAGCAGTTCACATCGATCATGATAAATTGACGATAACTGCTCCACAAGCTGCTCACCTCCTCACACATTAACTTCGTCTACTTCAGCTGCCGCTACAACTACTCACCTGTGTTTCCTTTTTTTTTACGGACTGGATGGGGTGGAGTCATGTCTCTGACGTAGGACAGTGTCTTAAAGGGACATGAGACCATAGCCTAACTACACACATCCAAAACCAACTTTTATTTATTTATTTATTTTTTTGACATCGTATATATTGACATGGGCAAAATGATGCCGGTTATTGTTGCAAATTTCGGTATTGGTAAATTTTCGGTTTATCGCCCAGCCCTACTCTAAATAGCACTGTACAACAATAACAACAGCCACTAAATGTATCACACTGCCTCAGGTGCCTCTACTGTGTTCACAGTATACAGGTTTATGCACATGACAAGAAGTTGTTGGTCTACGAATAATTGAATGAATGATGAATGATAATCTGTTGTTGCTTATAGATGTTAACGTCTGTATGCTGGGGGCTTCAGTTTGGCTCAGTAGGTAGAGAAGGTGCCTCATGTATGAAAGCTTAAATCACACACTGGTTATAGGATCATTTAACAGTACATACAGGGTTGATGTGTGTCATCCTCCATCCTGTCCCCACACATCCTGCATCTTTCAAGCTGTCTTAACACATAAAGACTACAAAACACCTTACAAACAAAAAAACCTTCTATATGCTGTTACAATATCACACTTCTGGTTGTGTTGTTGCAGTAAACATAAGCACAGCTTTACCTTATACCTATTACCAAATCACAGCTGTGCTTATATTGAGTGTGACAGCTCGACCTAGAGTGAGACGCTACATCACACTGCATCACATGGAAATATTATTATGTCTGTTATCAATGTACACAAGAAGTCTGGCTTGTTTCCGTCTCATTCCTTCGACACAACAGTCTCACGTGTGATTTTGTCTCACATTTTGTGAAAAACTGGTGAGACGTGAAATTCTGTTTCTGACCGTTTTCAGTTAGTTGAGAAATACAGCCTGTGGCGGAAGCTGTTTCTGTCTTTTCGGGGGTTATCTCTATAGACCCGTCTTGCTGTCAGACGAGAAATCCTCTTCTGCACACGCACACAGACACAAAACGCACACATGCACGTGCAATTCTGAGCACACACCTACCTGAAAGGGACAGATAACTAAGTTAAGCTCATTTTCTGACCACAAACGGTTAACAGTCGAAAGAGGACATGATGCGTGTGGATGCGCACATTTTTGTGTGCGTGTGTGTGTCTGATCAGGAAGGGGGCCGTTGGAGGTCGGTTAGCCCAGAAGGGGCCCTGAGGGTGGGGCTGCGGTCAGAGGGGGTGGGGGCTGTGAAGAGGGAGAGGATGGTGGAAATGGGGGTAAGTTTCAGTCTGTGCTCCCATATGTGTACATGTGAGTGTGTGTGTGTGTGTGTGTGTGTGTGTTTGTATTGTGTGTATAAAGGGGGAGTGCAGGAGCTCATGAAACTTAAAACTCTCTCTGAAAGAGAGTCGGCGTCTGAGATGAGTGAGTGAGTGGAGGGGTAGAGATTCACAGATGCCGGAGTGGGTTGTTGCATTACTAGAGTTTGTTGTTTTGTTTTTTTCCCCTGCATAATGGTGCTTGTGTGTGTGTCTGTGTGTGTTTGTGCGTTTACAGGTTAGGTGAGAGGAAAAGGAAGCGGTAGGTTTTTGTCCTGCACCTGTTTTAAAAAGCAATGCACTTCTTGAGGTCTGAAAAAGAAAACAACCACAAAAACAAAGCCACATGCTTGCTGACACACACATACGTACACATGCAGACGTGTGTGTTGAGTGTGTGTGGGTGTGTTTCTATAAGTAGCATCATCTGAGGCATCACTGCTGCGTGTGTTTGGCCTCAGCTCAGCGTTGGTTAAACCACTTAATGGCTCCATCTCGATCTAATCCCAAACCAAGACCCTGGATTAACCAGAGACCCGAGCACTCGGCGGTGCATCCTGCATGTGTGTGTGTGTGTGTGTCTGTCTGTGTGTGTGTCTTACCTTCATGTGAATGGGGGAACCAGATAGGGGAAGCCCTCGAATGGGGTCCAGCCCTGTAGGAGGGGGAAGAAGGGGAGGCAGCAGGTCCCGAGGGGTGAGAAGGGTGGGAGGGCGGGGACCCCAGACTGCTGGCCAGGAAGGAACCCATGAAGGAAGCACCTGAGGGAGACAGAGGCTGGAGGTTAGGGGTGTCACTGCGCTTTTGTGTGGGAGGTGGAATGAAGTGAAAATATGCAAGCAACACCACAGAAGAAGAAGTCAGAGACGCCAAATCTGGACAACATAACAGCTATCTGCTCACTTCACTTTTTTTTAGTTTGAACTGTCTTATTTCAAAACTCTCCGTGTGTACATCTGCTCGATATCCTTGACAATGTCTACGGTTTCTTTTTCAGCCTCGATGCATGTGTCAATTGTTGTTTGCAAACACTTCACTGAGAAAAACCACAAGGCCCTGGACATATTCATCTTCAAAATGTGACACAAAACAGCGCTGAAACCAATGCCTCCTCTACATCAGCGCAAGAATTCAGCTATTGTGTCAAACATAAAGCACGATCAAGCCAGAATGAATAAATATCTGGACCTGCATGGTCTTAAAGCCGTTGAGAAACTTATGCGTCTGCTCCAGGTAGATGACTCTGTGGCATTACTATCATACCTCCTTGTTTAGTATCATGATAAATATAATGAAGGCAGAATGAATGCTGCCATGAGGACTTTACAAAGCCTTCAAACTCAGGCTCGGGTTAGTGATATGATGTGCCAAAGATGACCAAATTAATTGCTCACTTTTTCACGAGGAGAACGTTTTCTTCCTGAGAGCTTGTGTTTTTTATGAGCTGTGTTTATTATGACTGGCTGAAAGGCCACTTAAATAAGAATTAAGGATTTGGAGTAAAAAGGGAAAGGAGAAAAATGTCCTCTTAAAGATGCAAGACAGAGAGAGAGAGAGTTCGGGGCTGTTAGAATACACAGCATCTTTTCCTGACTTTCAGCACTTTTTTTAAACTTCTCACGCCCTTATGTTTTTTTTTAACCACCAAACCATCCACAAACATTACACCGGGATACAATAAGGAACCACGAATGAAAGCGTAGTTCCATCTCTTTAACTAAGATGTTCGGTGTCATCCTGTGAGCACACACACACACGCTTCAGTTTGGCTCTGCTTGAACGTTTCTCCACTTATCAGCGTGCTCTCATTTAGCAGAACAACCCGAACAGTTGTAGGGGAAGGAGGAAACAAATCCACGGGGAGCCAGGTAATTAGTCACTGGATGGAGGGAGAGAGAGAGACGGAGAGAGAAAAAGAGAGAGAAAGAGGTGGTGGGTTGACTCGTTCCCCATAAATGCCGCCTCGCATCAGAGACAATTACCACAACCACAATAGTCTGTATTTGACTCACACACACACACACACACACAGACAAATACACACACACAAATACACACATGTGCGTTACCCTTATTTCAACCACGACCCGACGCCCTAACAACCACAACCACAAGGACCTTCAACTGCCTGCCAATCTGTCACACACATACACACATACACGCACACACACACACACAAGAGAATAAGATGAAGCGTGGGGCGGGGGGGTATTAAAAGATGGATCACAAAACTCTGTGTGTGTGTGTGCGCGTGCATGTGTGTTTATACAGCTGGATCTAAAGCATCAAAAAGAAGAGATCTCTCAATCTTCTGCCTCTGATATTTTCACTCTCGGCAGTCATAATAAATTTCGAGGAAGTAAAAAAAAAAAAAAAGATCGTCCAGAACGTTCCCTTCTAGACATTTATTTTCCCTCTTTTTATCCGTCTTTCTCTCACTCCCTCTATTTCTCAGACAGGATATTTTTACAGTACTCCTTCTTCTTTTTTTACTCTAAATCCTCTCCTCTTGTTCGACGTTGGATCAGTGGCCTTTCAGCCAGTCATAATAAAACACAGCTCATACACGACTCAGGCTGGTTTCACAAGCCCCCCTGGCAGTGCAGACTCTCACACACATCAAGTCTGAAACACACACACACACACATGCACGCACACACACACTGAGCTCACTGTACCAGACAATAGAAAAAAAAAAGCCATTTTCAGCTGAGCAGCCATGCATTTTTCAAATTACTCCAGCATCTTAAAGTGTCTCAAACAGGCTGTAAAAGTTGACTCCTATTGAAGAAGACATCTAGAAAATTAGTTACACTGATTTCAAACAAAAGTGATATTGATAAGCCAGTTAAAGATATAAATGCTTTGAATTCCTCGTCGATTTTTGTCCCACAGCTGTTCTTAAATCTCCACCCTTCCCCCCAATTTCCCCATCTTTTTTCCATTTAGAAATTCCTTTCCTTTCCTCCTCTTTCCTGTCACCTCCTCTCCCGCCCCTCGCTGTCTGTTTTCTGTTGGCGATTCGAAGAGAAAATCATATTTGTCCGCTCCCTCTGGCCGGCTGATATGGAAAACCATCTCAGAGAGGCCAGCTGCTAACGTAAACCTTATTTCTGTCCCTGAATTTTTTTGTAGTTTTTCCTCCTTGTCTTCTTTTCCTGCCCTCTATTTCCGCCTTTGTTTTATCCCGCTCCACACATTCCCTTTCCATCTGTCGCTGTTACATCCTTAGACACAGAAACGATGAATGCAAACACACAAATTACCAACATTTCATGAGATGAATCAAAGGAAAGAGAAAACAAACAAACAACAAACTGACTCGACTCATCAGTGAGTTTGATTTTCTGCATTATGGTTGTCAAAAATTCACCCCTGACCCAGCTGACTTCATGATTATGCAGCTTATTTCTACATATGCATATGTTATTTACCATCAATACAGGCTGCTGTCTGAGACAACAGCCCCATTCAGTCTCCATAGTGGTAATTAAAGTAGAAAATGTGCTCGTATGCCTCCCATTTTTTCCCAGTTGGCATCAGGACTTGGAAAAGTGTGTCAACACACAGGCAGCGAATCCTCCAATGTTGACAATCCAAGGTAATAAAAATCCAAATTATGACTTTCTATTCACGCTAATACAGTCAGCTGTACTTACAGTGAGTGAAATCTGCTTTAGTTTATTCATGATTGACTGTAATGTGATTTGCTGTGGGGGAAATCCACTCAAAAACACTTAAACACTCTTTTTTTTTAAAAAAGAAAGCAAGCACTGGAAACGTGCCTTGCTTTTCTGGGCAGGTTTCGCTACTTGGCATATTTTTGGTATTCTCATGGATAACGGGGCCAAACATACATTTAGGGATGTCGTCGTGTTTCCAGAGAGAGAGTTTGATAGCAGCAAATCTGGAGACTCAACAGTATAAACGTCAGGATTTGGTGTCAGCGCTTCAGACTTTTAACAGCCGGAGCTTCTGAGACGCCATTTTACAGAGATGTTTCACAGTCAAAGCGGCAGGAATATCCCAAAAAAGGCATAAAAATGTGGAATTCTTCACAGAGTGGAGCTTTTAACAGGGAAAACTGTCAAACTTTTGCAGCTTTAAGGGATGATTGAAACAAAACCTATGAAAGAGGAGGAATATTTAAGGTTAAAAATGATTTCAGTTAGCCTAAATTTTACAAGAAGTGCTACATGTTTTGAGATTCGTCATGTTTCACACATCTGACTTTTTTGTGCAATGTTCACAGGATACTGAAATGGTCAGGGTGTGATGTTGACAAGGTATTGCCTTTGTGTATTATTGGACCCATTCACAGTTGTAGAAAGAGTGGGGAAAAAAACAGGAATTAAGCAACAATTGTCATCACCACTGTTCACTTTCTGAACTTTTATCTGCTGCGCTCACTGCTCACACATCGACTCAGCAAAACAACTTAGGGACATTTTTCTTCTTGCCAGCAGGAAGAAAAAATCAGGTAGAGTCAGCTGTTACCTTCACAACCAGAAAATCTTTTAGAAATTTTCAGAAGTGTAGTGCAGATGTTTATACAGGTTTAAAAAAAAAGGAGTAGAAAATCAAGGTAATCTTATTATTCTTGGATCACAACAGCTCTGAACTTGTCTGTTAATAGTATGTAGAGTGCGAGCAAGGGTGTCAGAAAACGTGTCTGTAAAAATCTCCAGGTTTGTGAGTTCATTCTCGGCAGAAATCTAAAGTGAAAAGAAACAGAGACACAGATAAGAGGCCAGATCCTCCCCAAGGTTTTTCACTGCCCTGAAGAGAGAAAGGGAGGAGGAAGGGGAGGAAGAAAGGGAGGAGGAAGAAGGAAAGAAAGGGAGGGCGAGGAGGGATACAGTAGAAATGAGATTAAAATGAGAAAGCAATGGGATCAAAAAATTCTAACGGTGTGATATTGTTTGCTGCAGTTCTCTGAATGGACTACTGATTAATTCAAACATAGACACACACACATACACACACCCATACACACACACACACACACCTAGAAGGATGACGAGTTCAATCGATCTGCATCCGATTGAAGATCAATATGCTCTCGTGTTCCATTGTCACATTTGCCAATTAACAAAAGCCTCTGTCCACACACTGATATACTGAACTTAGCCACACACACACAAACACACACACACAAATTTTCTCTTTTCAGGACTCTGCTGCTGCTGGTGACTACTGAGAGAGCCTGACAGTGCAATCTCGGAGTGTGTCTGCGTGCATGTGGGTGTGTAAGTGTGTGTGCCTGCGTGTGTGTGTGAGTGTGTGTCAGAGGTTCTGACTCTCGTTAGCTTGGCTGTTACGCTTATTGCCGTACACTTGGCAACCTCTCGTCAGTCCGACCCTTTCATAAGCCTCCAACCACCAAGGGCCCTGGCACCGAGCCTTCAATCTGTGTGTCTCATTGAGTGTGTGTGTGTGAGTGTGTGCGTGCATGTGTGTGTTTGAGAGAGAGAGGGAGTGCGTATACTTATGTGTGTACTCCTGTGTGTGTGTGTGTGTGTGTGTGTGTGTGTGTGAGAGAGAGAGAGAGAGAGAAAGTGTGTGTGTGTGTGTGTAGGGGCAGGAGTCAAGCCAGACCTTTCTGATCTGTTTTGACACCACTGAATTGCACAAGTGACAGGGCTACTCAAACAAGGCGGTGGTGGAAGGCGCTCAGACACACACATATAAACACTCACACACACACACAGATGCACACAAAGGTCCGTAAAAGCATTATGGCACTGGGGACACAAACACATTGAAAGTGTGAGTAAGCGGCCGAGCGGTGCTTACAAAGAAAACGTTCAGGGGGAGAAAAGGAGTCCTTTTGCTCGACTAGATCCAGATAGCATTTTCCTTCTGCTCTATCTTATTATTCATCAATTGACTCATTCATGTTAGAGAGAGCAGGGTGTGCGAGCAAAGCATGGCATGTCGCCTGGGATGAGCGGCTGCACTGAATCACATTACGGCGGGAAGAAGAGAGAGAGAGGACAGAGAAGGAGAGAGAGAAAGAGTGGAGGGGAAAAATGAGATGAAAGAGCTACAAATGAGAGATTTCCCTGTGAGCCGCATAAATCAGCAGACTATGAACAGCACAGCTCAAAGCCTGACTCCCAAGCTGCGGACCAGAGCCCCACCATCCACACACACACACACACACACACACACACACACACACACACACACACGCTCTACTACCATCTCTCTGCATGCACAAAGCTACTGGAGTTACATGCCAATCTTACTGCACCTACACTTGTGCGTTTATACCATCAAAAGCCTGGAAGGATGTTAAAATGCACGCTATCTGCAAAGACAGCAAATGCATTACAAAAAAAGGACAGGGAAGAAAATGTGCAACATTGCACCTCGTGTCAGCCGAGTCTTAAAATAAAAAAATAAATCTTGTTATTTCCCATCAGTGGACTAGAACTTGCCCCAGCAGTAAACTGTAAGTGAAAAGGAAAAAGTTCCTGTACTTGACCACAGACTTTTTGGACCTGACACACCCACCCACATGCACACCCACATCAGCAGGAAGGACCATATTTGGTCACGGAGAGCCAAAACTCACAGCACATGCAGGATTCTTAGGAAGCAGGAAGGAGGGAGGGGGGCTGGTGGTTGTCGGAGTAAGTTTTTCCATGTTTTACTTAAGAAAACAGGAGGAATTTGGGGAAACGAGGTCATACAAGAGCGGTGCTGCTGCCTGGGTCAGAATCACACACACACACACACACACACACACACACACACACACACACACACACACACACACACACACACACACACACACACAGTCAGGCTAATTAAAAGCATAAGGTGGCTGATATTTCAGGAAAGCCTGCAGTAAAGGCCAAACTTCATTTTTGCGTGATGTGTGTGTGCGCATGGCTTACATTTGTGAGAGTAACAGCAACCAAGAAGTTACATACAAACTAACCAGGTACACATGTAATTCTACATGACTTACACAATCAACACTTATCTACATATACTGCTTTTTGATACCATATTACACCTTACACTACATTGATAATATTTTTCAGATTCAGCAGTTAATGAGCCAAACATAATCCTCATGACAGAAACCAAGAAATAAAAACAGATCTGGACGTCCAGCTTGACATGCAACGACTGTGGTTCTTATATTTTCACCGCATTTCTTCTCATAACCACTGAAAAGTGACGCCATGACACTGTTAAGCACAGAGCCAGCTTACAAACATACATCGACTTTCACAAATTTCACAAAGAAAACTGCGTTGAGTGTTATGTGGGAGTGTAAAAAAACTGCACTTCCCAGGGTGTCCACTTAAAGACAGCTTTAAAAGCCAAAGAATTCAGATTAGACTTCATGACATTGCCAACATCACAGTAGAAATAAACACATACAGTCTGATATAAAGTAAATGGTCTCATTGGCTATAGGCTGACCCTTCTTCTGAGAAGTGGCATCGATAGGAGAACATTTATCTTCAATGCAGTCTATTAAATAAAGTAACAGAAACTGAACATGAGACTTACTCACAGCAAATATTTAGAAATCATTATTAGGCTGCGTTGTGTTAATCCAGCTGGTAGCAGCTTCTTCCGTATTTGGCAACACACATAGGGAAGCAGAAATATACTCCTCATTGTTCTCTGGCCAAAAATTATTCAGTTTCACAACCTCAGGCGCTTAAAGGGCTTTGCTTACATGAAGTTTAGGCCTCCTCAATGGGTGTATTAAGTCCTAACAGGTGAACGACCAGCGTCCGTTTTCCCCGCCCCCTTTCCAGCAGGCCCGCTGTTCATGTTAACCACAGGGCACGCCCACAAATATCTAATAATCCAATCACAACTTTCAAAAAAACCGCGAAATCTGAACCCAACCTCTGGTGAAAAAAAACAACAAACAGATCTCAGAGCCACCAATCTGCAGCAGTCCAAAGAACAGCAACTACAGGCGTAACTTTGCTCACCTGTTTGTGCTCGCGCATTAAAGATCTGGAGCATAACTTCCGGTATCAGGAGGAGGAACGGTCCGGTGAGGAGTGTGTTGCCAATATCACCGAGTCGGGAGATATTGACTCAACGGAGTGTATCTCGACAGAGTTTACCGGCCTCAGAGGAGCAAAAGTCGTCGCTGCAGACCTGTCTGACTGAGGGAACCCCGGTACCGTGAGTACAGACTCTCTGTGTTCGCGGTTTGATTGTTGTTCATCAGTAACCTAGTATTACAGAAAGCGTTTCTTGGTTTTGCTGTGTGGTCCAAGGTAAAACCCGGAGCGGATCTGTTGAGCTGTGTGTTTTTTCTGTTGATGAACTGGATTGGACTGAATTGTGGCACTTTGGGGAAACAGGCACGGATTTTTGGGAACTCTGAACTGGGGCCGTACATGAGTTTGTTTGTGTGGCACACACATAGACTGTATATAAGATATTATATATAAGATATATAAGATATCTTATATACAGTCTATGGGCACACACAAAACGGAATGAAGTTGCAGTCTTTGTTTTGGCTTGTGCTTGGCTGCTTTTTTTAATTTACTTTGTATCGTGTTACAGCAACTACAACATACAAACTGATGATACATTAGCGTTATTCTCATAGTTTGTTTTCTGTGCCTGTAAAGTGGTAGAAAACGTAGTCTCTATGATAAAGGTGGAAAATTTGTGGAGTCAGTGATCACTAAAGGTGTGTCAATATTGAAAACTGGTAGAACCCTATAAAATCTTCACTATGACTTAATGTAAACCAGTTTTCAATGATTTGACTGTCATTGTATTTAAATATTGTCAACAAACACAAGTTTGATTCATAATTTTCAGATTTATTATAGTGCTGCAAGGGGGACAAAATGGGCGATTTTAGGGGTATTTTTCATAATCATTTCATTGTCGTACAGGGAATCAAGTTTACTCAAAGACATCATTTCAATCTGTTTTCACAAAAGAAAGCCTATTTGAGGCCATTAATGTGCTGCGTGATGTGAACAAGAAGGTTTAGTGATCGGAAGACAGCAGTTGTAATATTCCCTGCAGAACAATACAAGACTGCACAGGTATATACAGTTTTTCTCTGGCTATGAATGTAAATTATCTCAGAGTGTTGTAAAAATTGATGACCAAGCAGCAGATCTGTGATGCTAGAAATCGCCTAAGTGCAGAAAACTGCAGTTTCTCACTTGTCCACTTGTGGTGGGCTACGAAAGCTAAAAAATTTGGTCCTATGCTCAATTTTACAAAGCAAATATTTGCATCCTGGTACAAAAATTGTTCTCAGTTGTTCACTAGTGGCCCAAACGTGATGATATTATAACGATACTCGGGCCACGGTACGATATTATCACGATACTTGGGCCACGATACAATATTTTGCAATACAGTGAGTATTGCGATACAATATCTTGCAATTCATACATTTTTTTAACTGTTTAGCTAATTTTGCATTTGGCTTTCCTTTATGTTTGTCTTATTTACACTGTATTTCATTCTCGTGTAACAAATCTTGCAAACCTTATATATATTTGTTGTACTAACTGCTTTATGATGTCAACTCTGCCAACCTCACTGGTCAAACAGTTGATTTTATTTGTCCATTTTCATATTTGACTTTACATAAGCAATAAATTTAAAAAAAATCCATACTTGGTAAATGAGACGATACGATATATCACCAGACAAAATATCGCAATACTATGCTGTATCGATTTTTTTCTCCCACCCCTAATTGATACAGTGTGTGGTTGTTAATTTATATTCCAGCTGCTGAGACAATTCAAAGGCTAGGATTTACACTTAATTTTAAAATTCTATGAGGCATGCCTGTGTTGACTGGCAGGTGGGGGTATTGGGGACAACTGCATCAGTGTTTTATATAGAAGAGACTAAATTGAATAGACTTCAGTGTCTGACAGACAGTGATAAGTGAAAATGGCTCTCAACAGATCTAATTCATCCTCACTTGAACTCAGAAATACTGTATTTCCCTTCTTTACAAGAGATGAGATGAGAATTTGAAATAGCAGTGAGTGAACACCTCATGCTTAGGAGACAAAGCCAGTTTTGACTGTTTTTTTAATAACTGGCATTATCATGTTTCAAAAGTGTTTTCAACTACAGACATTTTACATATTTTAGTCATCTTAAAGTTAGCTTTCAAAAAATTTGTTTTTCTACTTTCTTACTAATACAAATGACATAAACCAGGCAGTATATACTTATTATGGCTTAATTTGACTCATTTTTATAAAGGAATTCATTTTTCAAAACTGAAACCCCTCACGCTATTTATTTCCGTGAAGGTTTCAGATCTGGCCTCAGATTTGGAGCAGCGCTGCAGCTTCAGCTAAAGTTAGCTCAAACTCCAGTGGAAACAAACACACCTACGCAGCAGTAGCGAAGCAGCAGGGCGGTTACTGCACAGAGAACAACATCCAGCAGCAGACCCATGTTTAGCTGTATCCATATCAAGCATGCAACCTGCTGGAGTGTCCTTGAGCAAGACACTGAATCTTACTAGCAACCCTCTCAGCTGGGAAAAGTAAATTTCCAACCACAGTGTGTGTTGTAGAAGCCATCCACAGCGCTTCCTTCAATCCCACACAGCGTAGAAACACATCTCTGTATGACTGGAGCAGGATGTGTGTGTGCGTCTATGTATAACTGTGTCAATGTGTGTGTGTGTTGAACCACGCCGCTGTGTATCACCCTCCATCATCGTGAGCTGAGGGGTTGTGGTTCCTAGAGAAGCACTTTACTTAAATTAGACCCTCAACGGCTCGACATGCAGGTGTCAGCGTGTGGAAATGTGTGTGTGTATGTACAGTAAGTGTGTGTGTGTGTGTGTGGGCGTCAGACAGTCAGCGTGTGCCTGTGTGTGTGTGTGTATGTGTGTGTGAGACAAGAGAGAATAGCGGGATCAGCAGACAGCGAACACGAGAGAGCCAGCAGAGGAGGAGGAGAGAGGGAGAGGGAGGGAGAGAGAGAGATGTATATAAAGAGAGAGAAAGCAGGTGAGAATAACCCAGTGTGACCTTATTTCAGCATGGCTTTTCCATTCTTTATATTCCCTCATTGCTGTAATATTTACACAGGAATAAAAGATTATTGGAGAGATCCACAGAGAGGAAATAAAGAGGAGGGAGAGAGGAGAGGAAAGGGAAATAATCCAAATAGAACTGGCTCATGGAGGAGAGGAATAAGGATATTAGAGCTGCATCAAGCAATTATTTTTCTCTATAAATCTTCTTGTTGTATTCTTAATTATTTAGTTAATGATTTAAAAATGAAACAACAAAAAAAGAAGCGCAAAGCTGCTCCTCAAAATTTCCAAAGCCCTGAGGTGATGTTTTCAGATTTAGTGCTTTTCAAACTGACACTGAAAAGATTTTCTATTGTCAATAATATAAAAAAAACGACAGAGGCTTCATATTTCCCATTTGAGGAACTGAAACTGGCAAGTTTTTTGTGTTTTCACCTGACAAAGTGATTGAATTTTGGATGGAGCAATCAAGAAAGAAGCATTTAGTTTGGTCCCATTTTATCATTTTAGTTTTACCATTGGTTAAGAAAAGGGAATAAGATCAAATCAGCTAAAAACAAAAACAGCTGAAAGAATACCACATTATTTTAAAAGACAGGCTGTGATTTAAGAAAAATTATGGGAAGTTTGATGGAATTGAAATTGTGAACAAGAGTGTGTAATAATTTGGCATTACATTCAGACACAGAAGTAATTGATTATCCTCCTAAAGCTCAGGAGAGTGTTTTTGCACTTCAAAATAAAACCTTCACTCTATGTATGAATGCTAAACATAAACGCAAACACACCTGAACAGTTTTTTTTTTAATTCAGGAGCTCTGACCCAAGTTTCTCAAAGTGGCCTGATTCCTCATCTCCCTTATTGGTTGAATTTTTCCCTGTCGGATGAGGGTCGAGGTGAGATTGAGTCTCAGGAAGCAAAACATGATATCAGTGGAAGGTTTGGAAGCTTCGGTGTAACATTAACAACAGGACGTCAGGCAAACTAAACGAGACATTGGCTAATGAGAGTGACTGTGTTTATGTTAATGCTTTTACATGCAATCTGATGGATGTGAGGACATCTCTGCTCTTCCTATCTTTTAAAATGATGCTCCTTCAGCCTTTATGCTTTTATAAACCCTGCTATATGTTGCTCTATCAATAGCACCAATTTGCACCAAGAGCATGATATAAAACATTACCCTCGCCCACCTGCTTGCTGTGAATTTTCTCATTTAATCCCATATATTGAATTTTAATTAACAGGAATTAATTAATACTTCCTGTTTGTTTAGAAATATGCACATACTGAGTGTCTGTGGTTAAATTTGGCCGCCATGCTAATGATGATAAAAGTTGGGGTTTGTATGTAACTACATCAGGGTCAGCCATGATGTGTGGGCATAATTACGCCTCCATGCTTCTGTTTTGGCTGTGTTATAAACTTATCAACAAATCTACATATAGTGTAAAGCTGTTTTTGATGTTTATCAGAGCGCTGCTGTTTGATTCAATGTGCCACTAGTGTCATCTGTTGTCCATGTATTTGTTCATTGGCTGGTTTGCACTGCATAAATTGTCCGTTTAAAATAATCTGTTAGGGTTGCATGTTTAAGTCTGTGCAAACAAATTCTGCGCTTCTCTTCAGGATAAGAGGGAAACCCCCAAAATTTGCTTTAAGACCCATTACAGTACTGCTAAGCGTCTGTTTTTTTTACACTAAAAGAGCATCAAATTACAGTAAGATAATGTCATAAAAATTATAAAATCAGAGTAACAACTCCCCATGCTTCATATATGAATGTGTTGCTTTGGATATGAGAAGTGAAATCCATTGTAGTCATATTCAGTGATGTTCTTAATAATTTAGCTTTGGCAATAAAATTAACAGCCATGCAAGAGCTTATTTGGTTTAAGGCAAACAGACAGAAATGAAACAAATGCAAGCGCAGATAAAGCAGACAAGAAAAATACTAAGACATTTTAATGAAGCAAGTCATACAAACTCTAACACACACACCAAGACAGCAGTAAATACACACTCCCAAGATTCACACACACACACACATAACACGTCTCTATATTATGCATGCACACATTCTTCCAAGCATTACAAAAACACACATCAAAACGAGCGGGAAAGACAGTAGGCGGTTATTAAAGAGACAAAAGAGAAAAGTAGAGAGATGGAGAAGAGACACTTTAGCAGCAATCAAAGATGAAGAAAAGAAGAATCGGAGGGGAGAGAGAGAGAGAGAGAGGAGAGAGAGAGAGAGAGAGAGAGACAGAGAGGGCACAGTGAAAGTAAAGAGACATATGCACTGAAAGAAAATGAAGGAGAGTTTGCTTCTAATCAGCACGGATGCAAAATTTAGACAGGCACACACAGAGGCACAACAGTCCCAGTAGGATTAGGACCTCAGAGCAGCGTGCATGAATGTGTGAATGTAAATGTGTGTGTGTGTGTGTTTGTGTGTGTGGTGTGCACGTCCCACGAGACTGATTAGCCATGAATGACTGATGACGGATCTTTGTTTCTCTCTCTCTCTCTCCCTTTCTCTCTCTCTCTCCAGTGCTCTTTCCTTTTTTTTGTCCTCACTACTCTCAGTTCAGGCAAGAGCATGGGAGAGGATACTCACACACTCACACACACACACAAACATACAAAGCTGCACATGGCTCCATGTATATTCAACGAAGGCTCCTGAATATACTTAATGCTTTCATGTGTGTCTCTGTGTAACGATCCATGCTGTTCCACACAGCTGCTTCACTTTTTTCTCACTCTCTTACCCCCCATAACACACACACACACATATGCACACACTGTCACACAAACACACACAGTGAAATTAACCTATTTCCCATTTAAGAGCACATTAGCTTTCTCTCACACCAAATACTCAATCTTCTCCGTCAGTGCGACAGCAGCAGTGTGAGTCAGAAGTCCCCTCAATGGATGTAGGCTTCAGGAGGCCGTCCGACCACTCCGCCTTCTCTAACCTCACCTCCGCATGAACCTACAGCCCCCTCCATCCATCTGAGCCCCTGACAGCAAAACAAACTGGACATAGACCCGCTTGAAAGGACGCCATTACAATATGAAAGAGCCAAACAGAGCTGAAATGAATCGAAAAGAGGACTTGAAAACACAACAGCCCAAAGAGGAAAAAAGAGCCCCGACCGAGTCAAACGAGTCAGCTCGAGTGACGATGAGTCAGGAGTAAATCTGACCCGGGGCTCTGTCTCAGGTGTCAGTAACCGTGGCGGTAAGGGTTGCCGTGGTTCTAGGGGTGCAGACCTGTGGATGTGGAGAGGCTGTGACATCATGTCTGTCCCTCCTCTCCTGCTAAGTGATGTCACCTCTCTGTCATGTTGCATAAATAGGGGGATCGCCTCGACCCCTCTGAAGAATAGAGTCATTAAAAGCAGAGAATTACAGTGCCTGCAAACACACTCACATATACTTTATGTACACACAACAATTTATGCGTCCACTATTTTTTCTTTTTTATGCATTTCCAACATTGAAAGCTTCTCTCCAGATTCCTCGTTACATCCTTTAATTGAAACTCACTCACTTTTTCTCTCACAAACTTCCTGCTGCAATTTCACGGTCACTTTCTGAGTGTTTGTATTTTTTATTATTATTTTTTGTTGTTATTAAAAGCCACTCCATCAGTGAACACACTCAACACACACACATCCATCTGAGCACATGCAACTACTTGTAAAACCCCAAGTACCTGCTTTCTTCTGTCATTTCTGTCTTGTGTCTTTTTATGCATGCATACAAAACCTCACACAATGCTCCTAAATGAACAATCACACACAGAAAAACACAAATTTGTACAAACAGAATTTTGTCTTCGAGGTACAATTCAAAATAGATGCATGTAACACCCTCTACACCCCAAACACATCTGTGTGTACACAAATCCTTTCTTTCTTTCTCAATAATCTCTCCACTTTTTCCTCCATTTGTATCCTGTACTCTTTTTGCAGCAGCCACAATACCCACATAACACTTCTTATGAAGACTCACACTGATGTACACACAAATTGCTGCTCACTCTTCACATATCTTGTGTCTACATTTTTGTTTCATTCTGACACTGAGACCAAGTGGCCACATATTCATTAAAAAAAGCACTCTTACATTTAATCTTTAAATGAACGTACACATACACAGAAACACACACTCTTTTTCTGTGCCTTCATCTTTCTTTTACCATATGTGGTACTTAGCTTGATAAATTTGAGTTAAAGTATCCACATATTCCCATAAAACCACCATATATTGAATCCTAATGGGATACCAGGAGTCATCTGACATCTTGTATCTTTCACATGCGTAACTAATATAATTTCAAATACTGACATATTAACAGTGCACACCTTAAATTGGTCAGTGACTTGTTAAAAAACATCAGAGTACAGCACACAAACTAAGGAATCCTTTTATTTTAATTGTTGTACCACACTCTTGTTTATTCTTTCAGTTCTTAGGTTTTTTTATGTTATACCTGTATTTGTTAATATTACTCCATTCTTACTATATTATACATGAATGCAGCCGAACAATGACTCAGTTTGCAAGTCTGCAGTATACGCTCTTTGTGTCATAGTTAAATTATCACATGAGATGCCTCCAATAAGCTAAGCATACAGGTGCAGCTAATGACAGCAATGTAATGAAGCAATGGCAGCACAAAACCGGTACAGCACTTTACTTGCCCCAGACATGTGGTTGAAATTAAGTCAAAGAAATGAACTCCAGCGCTTGCTAAATGAGTAGCGACTGACTGCAGGTCAGTCAACACTGTGAGAGACTTCATTGCGTTCATTTGATTCCCCTAATAAAGACCCTGTTGTGGAGCTAAACACAAAAACGGGTTTGACATGCAAAGTCAGGAATGATTGGCAGGTGGAATTATGTCAGTGGTCTAAATTCAAAATGAATGATCAGCCCTGCTCTGGACTTAATCACTCATTCAACCCTGAAACCAGGCCAGTCCTCCAACACAGAGACATGCAGCAGTTGAGCACAAATGTCCTCTTGCAGTTTTGCTTTTTCATGCATTTGTTTCATGAATCCCACAAAAAGTAGAAACAAAGTAAGTCTCAGATGAGCATACACGAGTTTAGGCACAGAAACATCCTGCTTGTTTCACTCGTCTTATGCATTTGTTTAATTTATCTAATTCCATGCAGCCACATGTTCACATACAGCGCCTTGTAGTGAATCCTTAAGTCAACACATTTACACACACACAGGCACACAGGCTTTCACCAACACCTACGCATTTATGTGCACAAAAAAAAACTTGATTTTCTTTCATACATCTCATCTTTTTCTTGAAATCTGGTAATGGAAAAGAAGAAGCCACATATTCATTTATGCACCAAAAGTACCTGCTTATTTTCCACAAATCTTGTCACTTTTCTTGCATTTGATTCATGAATTCCAGCCTCAACAGTCGCACATTTACCCAGCATACCTTATATTGAATCCTTAAATGAACACACACACACAGACACACACCCACCCAGCAACCCCTCCTCCTGCACAGAGTAAGAAGCTGTTTTAGCCTTGTGTTTTGCGGGCTGTTTAAAATGTCATTTTTCTCTCGTTTCTCTGACTTCAAAAGGCGCCGCACTGAGCTCTCACTCCCTCTTGCCAAATCCTCCAATCGTTTCTGATTTAGTGAGTTGGCCGTGGGCCGAGCAGCACCGGGACGGGCCCGTTAACAACCGGCCGAGTGGAGGGGGGAAAGTGGGGGAGGCAAGAAAAGAGAGAGGACTCTATGGGGGGAGAAACAAATGAGGCAATGTAGGAAAAGGAGAGGAAGCAGGCTGAAATTGAGACAGAAATAGGAGGAGTGTTGAGAGGGGCGAGGAGGAGATGGATGCATGGGGAGTTGGATATAAGAGGAGGGGGGAATCGATTGAGAGGGAAAAGAAGGGGGAGAGAGGGGAGGAACATGGCTGCGAGGAGGAAGGAGGGCCACTCGAAAAGGCGAGAGGAACAGAGAGGAGGGGAAGTGAAAGAGGAAAGCAGAAGGAGTGGAGGAAGAGGGAGGGCGAGCATGTGGTCAGAGAGCAGAGAGGAAGACGAGACGGGTGGAGGAGAGGCCTGGCCTTGTGACGGACAGCAGAAGAAGAAGAAGAAGAGGGAGAGAGAGAAAGGAGGGCACATGGACACAGGAAGTCTGGCGCTCTCCATTCACATGCCAAGTCATCAGATGGTGGTGTGTGTTCACACCCCGGAGATGTCGCAACCAAACGCACCCGGCTCCCTTCAAATCACCGCTACCGACAATAAGCAGCTGTTCACATGTTGGAGGAGAGCTGGAGGAGAGACAAAAGTCTTCTGTCACTGCGGCAAATGTGCTTCAGAACAGACACACACTTCACTCCAAACTCCAACATCAAATAGAGTTTCACTAAATATATTCACTTTTTTTTTTATCTTTGGCCTTTTAGACGACTCGGTCACAGTTACTGCAGGGTCAATCTGATTAGAAACAGTCAGACATTTAAATTATGAGCCACAAGTTTGCTGGAAATATCAAAGAATACACAAGAGTCTAATTTGTAATGGAAATCATTTTAATGACTTTGCTTAATGACTTAATGACTTAATGCCTTTAATGCGTCAACAATTTCCTGAAGTCGGACTCATTTAACTGGTCTCTCTGGCAGTGCTGCATATTTTATTTTATGTTCACATAAGTGCAGTGCTGGTGTGGGTGTTAAATCAGTTTTTAATGTTTTTAAGTTGACAAAAAAAACTTAATTTTGTATAATTTGTTTGGCGTGTCGGTGCTTAGAGCATGCCTTTGAATAAACATTATTTCTAATGCATGCCACAAGTCACTCCCCAATACAGTTATACAATTGTGCTTTTTGGTTATTTTCAGCAAAAGATTATACTTTGATTTTTTATTTTTAACTATTATGTTTCGTAGAAGGGGCATAAGAAAATATTTTTGCTTTCGTGGGTCATAAAGAGGCATTATCAGTCTGTTTCACGACCAGTCAAAAACTCCTCACAGGAGCTTTAAAACGTTCAGATACATCTATTTTGAGTCTGATACAGTCTAAAAGGGTTTTCTACTCATGAGTATGGAGCAGGGCTGCATAGTTAATTGCAATTTCATCATTACGGCAAACTGCAATGAACAGGGAGTTGGTTTTGCTTAGCAGTATAATCACGTGTTAGTTCAGCTCACTCAGTTGAGCAGCACACCAAGGCCACGGTCCTCATTGCGTTGGCTGAGGGTTTGACTTCAGATCCTATCGCTGCTTGGCTTATGTTATCCCTCTCTCTCTCTCTCTTTCACAACATTTCCTGTCTCCTCTCAGCTGTCCCATCAGATGAAGGTAAAAAGCTTAAAAACTTCTCCTGGAAAGGGAAAAAAAGACTCCCTATGTATGGAAGCTATAGTTCTTGACGTGGGACCAGTGTCTGTTAGTCGCATGTGATTTCCCTGATTTTCCTGTCTCGGTTTCCCTCTCTGTTCAACAACTTATCCTCATTATCAAGCAAGAAAAAGCCCCAAAAGAATGTAAAAGAGAATTGAAATAAACACAGAAAAAGTGTGAATTCATTCCAGTTAACGTATGCAATGCTTTTTCACACAGTTTGGTGAAAGTCTGGCTTTGAGGCTGTGGTTTAACACCTATTAGATGCTTAAAGATGAAGATCCAAATTTGCAGTCTGCTAAGATTAATCGATCAATCAGAAATATTGTTCTCTTATGTTCTCTTCTACCATTCAAAGTAAGTCAAACACTAAAGGGTTGGTGCACACTGTCCAAAATATTAATCTTTTAGATGTTATTAAAAATCAGGTTACATTGACTTTACACTCCCCTCCTATCTCTCGTCCAATCAAATCTTGCCTGTCTGCATCCTCCACCAGCTGCCTCCTCGCAGGGGGTCGTCTTGCACTCAGCACCCGAGGATGTGCCCCCCTGTGCCCGAGCTGGGTACGGTGCCGTCGAGGTGCAGCATAGAGGGGAGGGGTCTGTCTGAGGCTCATCCACTGCTGACTCATCTCACACACACACATACACACAAATATACACACACAAAGACGCACACATCTCCCCCTTCCTCTCTCACTCTCGCTCTCTCTTGCTTTCACTCGCTCGCACACTCGCAGCGGAGGCGGTAGGCTGAGGAGTCGGGGATGGCGGCCAGTGGGTGCCGTCAGGCGGTGGTAATCTGACCGGATTACCAACCAGGTGGAAACATTCAGCCTCTCGACTCCCTCTGCTCCTCCTTCTCCTCCTCCTCGTCTTCCCCTGCTCCATCCCTCCATCATTTCCATGCTTGTATGGAAATGATGAGGTGCTATTCTTAACTGATACACTTAAACATATTACACCCACACGTGGTTACGGGTTTTAACAAAGTTCTACCTTTATTACTTCACACAAAGACTAACACACACACATAGTCATCATGTTTTCTCTCTGCGTCATGCAACTTCTCTGTGTGTGAAGGTGTGTGTGTGTGTTTGTGTGCAGGTAGGAGGGTGAGGGGGCGTGTCTGGTCTGTGCTACCACGACGATCAAAGCATAGGCCGAGAAAACTTCCAAAGAGAGGAGAGACATGACTGACAGCATCATAATGAATGGACTGAGCTGCTGCATGCGTCACACACACACACACACAGATACACACATCATCTGCAAAGAAATCTAGAATCTAACTGCAGGATCATGTTCTTCATTAACAAGACTGAACTGAGAGCCAGAAGACAAGTTGACAGAGGCATGAAAAAAGAAAAGAGAAGCAAAAGCAAAGCCAAAAAGAGAAAAGTAGTAGCAGAAAGGTTATATAGTCTACCCAAAACATCCTGAATGTGGTTTCTCAAAGCAGAAAACACAAGCAACCAGAGAGAGAAAACCTTTTAAGGCTTGTGTGTGTGTCTGTGTGGTTGGCTGTGCAGCTGTGAATGTGTGCACACATGTTACATGAATGTAGGCCCTTCCGTCTGCATTACTAGGTCACACACAAACACACTCCCTAACACATACACGGCCATGTAAACAAAAACCGTCTGCTGTCTGGGAAGTAACACACCTGTTCAATGACAAGCTCTGCCACGCCCTCCATAATACTGCACACCTGTGCTACTGCAGGCTAAACCTAACCCTAATCTCACATACACACACACATACACACGTTTGCACAACGACTGCCCAGGGGCTAACATCACTGAAAAAGGGGAAGAAACAGGGAGAGAGAAAGTAATGAAAGCAAAGGGAGGGGAAAGAGAGACAAAAGGCCTTCCCACTGCTCCTATCAGTAATCTAAACGTCTGTGTAATATCATTGTGAGGTTTTATCAAACAGGGGCTGCGTCTTATGGCGTTGGTATGCGCCTGTCATTCCATCACCTTGTCAAGCGCGACCATATTCAAGCAGACACCATGCTGATCTAAATAAGAGGCTTCGGCAAATTGATGGATTTCACGTTTTCTGGGAAATGAAGAAACGGGCGGAATGAGAGTTTTTTCTTTTCTTTTTTTGAATATCTGTAAGCGATACACTCTGTGTTGTCTAGCGAGACTAGAAAATGTGTGTGTGTGTGTGTGTGTGTGTGTGTGTGTGTGTGTGTGTGTGTCTTTCCAAAGATCTGAAACACACACACCCTCCCACCGTAAGCCCCCCTCCTGCCCTGGTACGGCCAACCCCACATCATATCTACCCCCTGTGCTGAGGCCTAGGGCCAGGCATACAGCTTTCTGAATCTCTGAGGGGGGCAAGCACAAAGGTAACCCCCATCCTAACCTCCCAGCAAACACACACTCTTGCACACACAGAAACGTATCCCAGCCCCCATCCCAAAACAACAATCCTCTATGCCCATCATGTCAGTCAAAACCCCATCAGGGACATGCATGGAGAGTCTGGATATCTGGAATCTCAATACAGTGTCATGCACCTTGAGACCCAGTGAGAGGCCCTCTTGAATATATTTCAATAGCATTATCACCCTGCATTACTACGCCTTTTTCCCTTTCAACGTCACAGAATCATTTTTAAATTGGCGCACAATACATGTCAGAAAGAGGCAGTTTTAGTCAAAGTGGAGGATTATCTGTTTAAATTGATATGAAAGGTAGACAAGAGCATCTCTCGACTTAAAATATTACATATTTTTGATCAAAAATATTAAGTTAAAGTTGAGGGAGAAATGATGTTCAGTGTCTTATAAAATATACAAAATATTTTATCAACTAAGAATCAACTCTACATCTGGTATTGATTTATAATGATTTAATCCTACTATATTATAGAACAGTAGTTCTGTAAATTTATTAGTATGCATTATATTATAATGTAGCCTACACATGCTTTACACGATGATAGTGTATTTTTTGTGCATAAAATTTTCCATAACATAACAAGCCTGCTGTCAACAATATATGATAGTTAGGTTCAATTTAAAGTAATATTCAAAAAAATGGAAATTGGAAAATTTTGAAAATCGAAATGTGTCAGAGCCTCATAAAAGGTTCAACAAAAGAAACTCATTAAAATACACATTAAGGTGTGGGGGGAAATTATTAGATTCGAAGATAAAACTTAACTCTTAGTTTAGGAGTCACAGGGAGTGTGAGAACATTTCTAGAGATAAAACAGGCACATATAATGTTATTTTTGTGGACCATCTTCAAATGAAGCGGCTGTAAACAAACCTCTAGTACAGAACCGGTCCAGTTTTCCGTCGACAAACATGGCGCCGAGTTCAACGTCCACACCGGAAATGGTCGTATTTTGTCAAATTTGTCGTGTTCAAATGTTAAACTGGATCTTGACTTTACATCGTTTTTGGCTGTTGTGTATAACTAATGAATATGCAAATAGCAGTGCGCAGAAGATGTGTGTCTCCAACACACAGCAGATGATTTCATTCATAGAGCAGAGTCTTAACGTCTATTTAAAGAAAGCACCGCAATAGCAAACGATAATTAATGAGATTTCTCATTGGGCGCGTTTACATACATTCATCCAGTTAGTTACTGTATGACTCTTAGCCAAGGCTCTCTTTCATTCTCTACACACACAATCCACCCCCCACCCCCACCCCTCATATTGAGACAGGATACCAAAGCTACTTGTTAAATCTAATGCATGCACTGTCAACCCATTCGCACCCCGTCACGTCCCTGCTCAATATAGAAACCGGATTTTCTGGTATTACCCGCACCTCCATTAGCCAGTGGTCCCCTTCCTCTCCAAAACCACCACAACCCTCATTTTGGGACCAATACGACCCCAACACCAGGAGAACCACCATGCTCCTTTTGCCTCAGAGCCACTTTGGAAACATGGGACTATGCAGCTTAACAGCTTTAATTTATTGTTTAATGGGAAATATAAGCAGTTGAATTACCTAATTCTAATTAATTACATCAAATGCCGTGATTACTTCTTTACTAATTGATGAAGCCATATAAATCTATGACAAGATTACGCTTAATAATCCCTGGGTGATAAAGGGAATAATCCTGGAAAATTCAAGAAATTATGACAGGTCGTTTAGTCCAAGACGAAAAAAGTAGTGTGCCGTAAATTTCAAGTTAATCTAATTTTTCTTAAAGGTGGAAATTTTACTTCTTGATCCAAGTTTCGCTTTTACGCGAGACTAAAAAACCGTACTGATAAATTATATTTATTTTTATGTTACACACATAAAGCAGCCATGCCATAAACAGTTCATTAAATTAAGTAAAACATAAAACTCACATCTGTTGATTTCTAAATGTCCACAAAGTCAGAGCAATTTCCCTCCGCAGTAAATTCTAGTCCGTCCCAAAGAGCTCCAAGCTTTCCCAAGTTTGTAATATGCAGAACATATGCTTTAAACAAAAGAGAGTAACTGGGTGTTTTTGAAAGCACACTTGTCATTCACACACTTTAAAAGAGCTGCATCCAAAACTGACCTGAGTGCGGACCCATGGAGAGGTGGGAGGAGTAGTATTTCCCGGGCTGGAAGTGAGCGGGGTGCTGCACGGAGCCGTGGCCGCCTGGCGCCATCCGAGACGCGGCGCTGTGAACCAGCGCGCTCCGCTCCGTCAGGAGGTGGTGCGGAGGAGCGAAATCTCGGCTTTCCATCCCGGTTTTAGAAGCGATAAATCCCAAATCCCAAAGTAAAATCCGGAGGCACCGAAGGTCTCAGGCACCCAGATGCAAATAATCCCTTTTATGAACTTAGGGCTCCCCTCGCATTGAGCGGAGTTTTGGCTTTGCAGGGTAGAAACTGAGTCCCCGTCATGTCCTACAAAAGAGAGAGCAGGAGACGCGTCAAAGCGCTGACAATGATTAACCAGGCAGCAATGTGGAGCTGAAGAAAAGACTGGAGTGAGAGACAGTCGCTGTTCATGTTTAGACAAACAACAAAAGCCATTCAAATTACACCAAAAACCGATTGAAAAGGACCCAATCTGCACAGAACTATCACTACGTTTGCTCCATTTTTCCGGTGTCTTTACCGCGATTTACTCCAGCATTGGCAAGTCTCTCCTGTAGAAAAAAGGTGGTTGCACTGACTTTATGTGGTTTTACCCTTCACTATATATCACTACCCCTAACAGAGAAGTCTTTGCAACCCCCTTCCTCCTCCTTCTCCTCCTCCTCTTCATACTGTGACCAAACACGATGCAAATAACGCACACGGGAGCTTTTCTTTATCAGCGCAAAGAATGGAGAGGAAAGGGGGGAGATTTGGCTCAGGTACAAACAAATGGTGCATATACAGTACAAGAGTTCACAGCGGTAAAAAGCCTCTCTCGATGAAGGACGAGTTGTTAAGTCTTTAGAGGGGAACAAGGGCTGGTCATAAACAAGCTGGACCTCGAGGGCTCCTGTACAGAAAAACAGGGGGAAAAAAAGCTTTTGCAAAAGTCTTATGAGCGAGAACACTTCCACGCAGGATTTTATTTCATAATCATACAAGAGAGAGAAAAACACATCTGTACTTTTCGTATGTTTTTGCTTATTTATTTACTAATTTATTGGTGTTTAAACTTTCTGTTGGTTTACATTTCTTTTAACATTCAGTTCTCTTAAAAGGAAGTGTACAAATATTTGTCACACGGCCGCTTCCCTGTGTGGCAGTAAATTCTTTATTTCTGTAATTAAAGAAAAACGCATGGAAACGTGTGATTGATAAGAGCAGCCTTGCGCACACATACGCACACATTCCGTCCTGTGATCAATAGTTTGATGAACGACGTTAATGGATAAAATGTGACTTTTCTGATTTCCCTTTAAAATCTAGTCTCTTAACCCTGCTCCCCTTAAATTTTTAGTATTATTGTGATCTTGCCCCTTTGTTCCCAAGATTATCATTTGTGTTGTTGTTTTTTTAATAGAAACGGCCATGAATCAGCTATTTTTATCCACCTTACGCCTTCTGGCAATGGCAAACCCCATGCATCTCTGCTACATTTACAGTATATGTAGGCTACACTGTAATCACAAACACAAATCACATCACCTTTCTGCTCCAGAGCGAAAGAGCGAGGCAATAAACAGTGAAATAGACTCGGAAAATCATCGACTTTATATGTATGCCTTATAGCCCAGGCCATTTACTTAAATAGGGCTCCATGTGACGCTCAGATAGGGAGAGAAAGAGAGGGAGAGAGGCAAACACACACACACACACCTCAGTAGTCCATCTATTAGGCCTTTCAATGCATGGCACGTCCATCTAGCGCTGTGTAGATGCTGATAGCACCTCCCAGGAATCAACGATAAAGGAACAAAGAAAATATCAAATGCTCTGGTGGACCAGGGACTTATGAAGTGCAGGAGAATATGGGCTGCATGAGCTTGGACTGAAGCCTCCTTTACGCGCACACACACTCAAGGACTCAAAGTTTTAGGAATCGTGTTTGGATGGGGTGTCTCCAAAGTTTAGCTGCTCTAAAGGAGCCTGGAATTGTGAGCGTGTGCTGTGCGTAAAACACTCAAATGTTGATTGTTTCCTAAAGGTCCTCAAAAGATTTTTGCATTAAAGTCAGGATGCATTGTAATGTAGATATATTTCATGTTGCAATTGGGCAACGTAATATTTGAAAAGAGGAGGATAAGGGTTAAAAAGAGAGACATGCATGCTCCTGCTCGCGCACTGGAAGGCAAAATGGACTCTCTCCTGTCCCCTCGGCTGTGAGAAACAATAGCCCTTCTCCACGGGACATCAATCATACACCACTCTCGGCTGACATTTGTCTATACATTTTTAAATTTTCAGCCCGTAAACACACGTCCTCCGTGTTTACATTCCACGTCAACAGAGAGCCACTCAGGCCACATTTAACAAACCTGGATCTAAACCCTGTGTTATCGCGCGCCACGCAAACAAAACGACGTGAGTAGATCGTGCATAACAGTTTAGGAGAAAAATTGTCATTTGTGTATCTGCTGTAGTGTGTGTGTGTGTGTGTGTGTGTGTGTGTGTGTGTGTGTGTGTGTGTGTGTGTGTGTGTGTGTGTGTGTGTGTGTAAGGCGTTCAGAACCCCGCATACACACACACCCCAAACTCTCACACACACACGCGCAACCCAAACACGCACACACACCTTCACCATCACTGCCCTGCAAAGGGTCAACTATCGCCGCGTGAAATCCTCCAACAAAAGTATTCAATCCTGCTCAAAACGACATCACAAGAGCTCATCAGGAATGGCAGGAAATCTATTAACAGTCGCGTTTTTCAGATTCAGAGTAATTCAGTTTTCAGATTTTAAAAATGCGTTGTTGGTGTTTGGCTGAAATCTGGATGTGTGCGCTTTTGGACAAAAGATAAAAGGAAATCAAAAGGCATTCACTTCCGAAGTGGCACAGGTTCAGAGGCCAGCTCATTGCCTTCAACAATTTAGCAATAAAGTAAAGTCACAGAGAATAACCAGGACCGTAAATCTGGGTGTTCAGAGGCCGACTAAACAGGAGAGACAAGCCGGGCCGAGCGGAAGACAGCCCGGCGTCTGCACAGCCGTCATACCGAGAGAGGGGGAGACATAGGGGAGGGAGCACTGCAGTTTGCAATAAAACTGCCTCAGTCTTTCTCTCTCCCAAACACATTCTCACGAGCTTACACACAATAGGAAAGGAACAAAGAATAAACTACAATTTATTCTCTATAAGACTACAGGCGTGAGGAAGCGGGATAAAAAAAACTAGAGGGTCTGAATAGAGGAGGAATTAGAAACACACAAGTAATTTGACTGTGAAGAGAGGTCAAAGCAGAAAGTGACACACACACACACACACACACACACACACACACACACACACACACACACACACACGCCGAAAAGCTCGGAGCTCTAGACTGGACAGAAAACAGTGGAATAAATCTGTAAAAATTACCGTAATACTCAGACAAATGTAGCTTCAAATAATAAAAAACATCATCCCAGAATGAGGTCTGTCCTAAAGTAGCCTAATTGTTCAGTGAGATTTAAAAGGGTCATCACAGGCTTTATGTTTACTATTTTCTTACTCCAAATGAATGACAGTAAATAAAAGTGGGGCAGGCTTTAAAAAAAGAAGCAACCCTTTCAAAATAAAAGGGAAAATTTGTATTATATCCCCAGCATGCAGCACTGGATGTAAAATCGACATTCAGCACAATCACTTCAGATTATAAAAACAGTTGTAACATAATTTGCTACTCACTGGTAAGTTATATCCATTGCTCGGCAAGTGGTGTAGAATGAAAGAGAAAGCAGAAAAATATTCAAAGTGTAAAATCCCCGAGTCGCAGAGGTGAAACATGTGGGATTGATTACATCCTATGCTGCTGCAGACTGAGCTGTGCACTCAGTTGAGGTATGGGAGAGACGCATCGTAGAAGTTCAGGCTTGTAGTGAATCGAGGCTCGTTCATGCAGCCGGAGACTCAGACACGCCGGGAGGAGGAGGAGGATGGAGGGGTGTGTGCACGGGGAGGGATGAACGCGCAGGCCTATTGGTTTGAGAACGACAATGTGAAAGCGTGCCCGTGAGGCGCCCCCTCCACCACCACCACCACCGCCGCCCCATCACCCTACCCTTTCCTACACACACCCCTACCTCCTCCTCCCCCCTTGGCGGTTAACACGGGCTCTCATTGGCCGATACTCCGAGCCAATCCGGAAGCAGCCGGAGCCGCGGAGCAAAAATCGGCGGGCGTTTGATTTGCAGCCCTTCGGCGCGCTGCGTGCACAAGCAAATGCGAGGAGACAGGCGGCACAGCTCGACGGAGAGGATCCGGAGCCGTGCAGCGCTGCCTCCACTTTCTGATCACTGGTGGAGAGCAAACAGCATCTAGCCTATTCCGTGTGATCCCAGCGCAGCTCAGTTCAAATGTGCTCTGAGTGGAGCGTTATTTTGCTCTGTGACAGCGATGATGTGATAGTTTTATTGATGCTCCTTTAGGGAAAATTCAGCCCACTGCATGTGTTTTGCTAAATAAATCCTTATTTGCCAAAATCTGTAAGGCATTTATTGGACATGCAGGCTGTGTTTGCAGTGTAAAACATTTGTGCACACCGAGAAAAGGGATGTTTATGGCTTTATGTTAGGTGTAAAGTGTAGTGCGAGTCAGGATACTGGTCTGTTGGGATACCTGGGGTAAATCTGAGAGGGGATTTCATGAAATCCAAGTCTCTGCGTCTTCTATGTGGTCAAATGATGCCCCAGTCGTGAAAATATGAAGATGATGGGGTATCTGGATGTTCTCTGTTGCAGCTCAGTTACAAAACAAAAGATGTATTATATGAGGTGTAACTCAAGCTCTAACATAATGTGAAGTAAGGGTTAATAAATAAATAAGCGCTTATATTTATATATGTAGTGAGAGGAGTACTTGAATATAACACATAGGGTAAGACCAGGCGACAGTGTATTCGAGGTTTCTCCATTTTATGACTGTATGTCTGTTTACCTGTCTCTGTGTGACACACACATCCACACACGGGCAAATTGAATCACTGCGTAATTTGAAAGCATTACTGTCCCCGGGGTTAGCCTCGCGCACGGTTCACTAATTTAGCCAATTAAAAGTGGAAGGATATGGGCTTGTGTATTTCCATGTCGAAATATATGAGCTGCTATAGGCTAATATTCCCGTCCAGGTTTGTTTATATGTGGAGGCAAAGGGTTAAAACCAAAGGGCTTCGGCTCCACGAGGCTCCCGATTGGCTGGCACGTTGCCAGAGTGCTGTCAATCACCGAGTGTAAACAAGGCTCTGATTGGCTGCTGGCCAGTCCGCACTGGGCTGCCTGAAAAAAGCAATTACTGCCCCTGCGGTTTCAAGGCGGCCCCGCGCTGAACGATGAAAGGAGATAAGGAGGGGCGGTTTCAAGGCGCTCCCCACGGCGAACCCCGTTGGCCCCAGAGCAAAAGGAGAGTCAAGAGTGACTAAATCAAAGGGAATACGGTAAAAGGGGGGAAATTACACGTTGTATTAAACGTAGAGGCTAGATTCGTGGACTGGTGCAATAACAACTTTGTGTTTAGAAAATGGAGAAGAGAAACGGCAACACGAAGAGGAGAGAAGAGGGAAACCTACAGCGCTGCGTCTGAGGAGCTTCATTTACACGAAGGAAATAAAGTTTCTCTCGACAAAAGAGACGGTGGAAAGAGAGGATAGATCTGTTCAGAGAGAGAATTGTGATATTTCTTCACCGACACTTTTAAACACTGACAGTAGGCTACTGCTTTGTCAAGTCTCGGACGTATTTTGCTGTTGCGCCTTAAACAATGACCAAACTTTTCTTTTTGCAGAGTTCAGTAACTTAGTAGTCATTTCCTTTGTATTTTTATTATTATCTTTTGGACGTGTAATCTTCAATGGACACTCATTCTTAAGAGAACATTTGGTCATTAATTGTTTATGACAACATTTAGGTTCAGCCCCCCATTCATTCAAGATGTAGAGATTCTGATAACTTTTTTATTGCCTGACTAAAATCTGAAAAAACAAAACACAACACCTTTTTTATTTACTTCACAATTAGGGCCTATAAGTGGAAAATTAAATATAGAATTTTATTGTTAGGTACGCTTTTCTATTAGCCTATTATAACGTAACATTTATGTTGCATGAAAAATTATATAAGTGCACATAAAATATTGTCCAAATTAAATTCATCATATGGAAAAATACAATTGATAGGGAGATGTAAAAATTAAGTATACTGACAACTTTTCTTCAGCCGTACATCCAGATAACATAAAAAATAAACAGTGTATTTTGGCTGAACTTGTCCAGAACTGACAGCAGTCTAAATGCAACCAATAAGGTGTAAAAACTGTTCAAACCCAATGTCATTAAGAGTCCAAACGGGACCGGGTGCTATGCTTTGGTCCAGCCCCTAACATAACACATTGGACAAAGGAGAGCAGAGCTGGTCTAGAGCTGCAAAACAACCTTCTCACTAAGACCTTATGCACGTTAAAAAGATGGGAGCGATATTGGACGTTTTCACATTTATGGCAAAATTAATTGGGACATTTATGAATTGAGTGAAATTACTCCACAGTGAGAAAGTGTTCGTCTGTGATCAGATAATCCTATCTCTCTTTTGCTCCTCACACAGCAGCAGCCTACATTCCTAAACCGAAGCCCAATGCTCTGCAATGGGCTACAGCCACCACGTGTCCGCACACACACACACACACACACACACACACACATGCAACAGACAAAAACACACATGCATCTATATGTCCACCAAATTTCTGCAGCCTCCACCCCCTACATACACACACGCACACACACAAAGAACAAACGTCAATATTTTTAAAGCCTAATTGTGCTTTATATACAGACACCAAGATACGCCAGGATTATCGTTGTTGGATTAGATTTTTCTGAGATGACAAAAATAAGGAACACAAGAAGCGCCTTGTGTGCAACTCCATCCAGGACGCACCAAAAAATTATCAGCAAAATGTAAATTTGTGGCAAAAATTAAACAATAGCATTAAAGACCAAAAAAGGTACCACGTTTAACATGGAGCTAAGAAGTTTAATTGATAGTGGCCATTGCATTATGCGAATTTACAAATGTGCTTTTATGAATCAATCATAGTTTATTGATCAGTATGGAAGAAAAATGGATTCAGGTGTAGCGTACAACTTACACTTGTGTTTTTAAGGGTTTTACCTCAGCCATAACTTTAAACAAAGTGCCACTTGTACATTTTAGCAACTCAAGATAAGAATTAGAGGATAAACTCAAATAGTGTAAACATGATGTGAACAGGATTGTACATATTTATTTGTTAATGTCTGCGTGTCCCTCTTCTCTCCCCAAACAGCGTTGCCCTCAGCACTAATGACAGAGGGACAATAAAGGATCCTGTTCCGCAGCTCACAAAAGGGGTCCGCCACTTAAAACAGAAATCTGCATTTAATTTATTTAGTGACAAGGAAAAGCCTTTTATAGCCTGATTTTTATTGGTTCTTTTTCACTTAAAAGGTGGGGGCTGGGTGTGTGTGCGTTGATGAGTGTGTGGAGAGAAAGCATAACACACACACACACACACACACACACACACATGAACACACACACGAACTCTCTCTCTCTCTCTCTCTCTCTCTCTCTCTCACACACACACACACACACCAGTCTCCTCTGGTCCGTGTGCCAGCGCGAGCTACCCTATACGGCGGGGGGCGCGCGGATAATTAATGCGGATTGACTGATTGCTCTTGAAACAGACCGGTCCTGCGCGCGGATTGTCCTCGAGCAATGAAGCGTTCCTGACTGACACTTTCCACCTTCCCTTCTTCGCTTCCTTCTTCCCTTTCTTTTCTCCCTCCCCCTATTTCTTCGCTCGCACTGGAACGGTGCGCAAGACTCTTCCTCTGCCGCGAGGAGACTCACAGCCCAGCCATTTATGCGCAAGACAGACCGGTCAGTTTTCTGCTCCGGACATGTCAAGAATTAAGAAAAAATACATTACAAAATGAAATTTTGAAAATTCTGAATGAAATAATTCAGTTGCCTTACAACCATTATTTCCAGGTGGATTTAAGGTTAATTATATGTTTATTCCAACTTGAAATCCACCTCTGTCAGAGTTATGAGGAGTTACGTGTCCACTGAAAAGAGGTGTACAAGCCATTTTCCGCACATTAAAAAGTGCATTTCAAGTGGGCGCCATACCCTCCCCTGCATCCCCGGCATTAATTGAATAAACTTTTGAACGTCTAAGCAGAACCACATGAAAAAAAACATAATTCACAGTCAACGGGAAACACATTGGCGAGGCTGCTTTTAAATGAGCTCCAAATGGAGAGCTGTCTCCACGGGAGGCCCTCCATACAGGGGCAACCATCCTACTCTCACCAGATATTCCTGATCGCCCTTTAATGATGCGAATTTCCCCAAACAGAGGCTGTGCAGTATGTAGACGCCCCGGCTATCTAAAGGTGGCGTAACCCCACGAGACATTAGAGCTATATTAGAATAGAAAAACACGCGAGATGTGGCTACTGCCAAGCTTTATGGAAAACAAGAGTGTTCTGTGCGCTTTGGGCGTGTAGCAGTGGTGATGTGGGAGCATTTTTTGGGGCCAAAACACTGTAAATATGGACCTCAACAAACAACGATGGCAGCTATAACCACATAGAAGAAGAAGACAGACATGATGGAGTCAGCAATGGAGTGGACACACAAACATCATGACCTTTTTCGTCTGTGTGTGCGCGCGCAGGGCAGGCAGCTATTTTGGATCAGATTCTGACAGACAGAGGGGTTGATTTAAAACAAATGAGAACTACATAAAAGCTTCATCACCTTTTGATGAAGACGATGGTAGTGCAGTAGAGGAAGGAGATGATGGCACCAAATGAGTTGTTGTCACGCAGACATATTCCCGGTTGCAACCACCAGAACCACTATCAGCATACGCCATCAGCACGTGCAGGTGGAGGCTTTAATTATCATTACCATTTGAACGTAAACAGCCGTAACGTGCCGTCCCGCGCTGTTTGTGCTCTGAGCTTTATGTGAGGTTTATATTCAGGCAGGGAGGAGAAGATAATGTTAACAGCCAGCGAGCTGAGCAGCACGTGAGATGTTGATATTATACACGCAAATAATGGGATTAAATAAATCGTGTGCCTGACGTGTGACAGCGTTTTGTGTCTCCCAAAATGTCCATCTCTGCCAGCATGTGTGGCTCTACATACACACACAGGAAAGCACACACTCTGGAGGAAATGAAAGTCAACCTATCTGTTTTTTTTTCTTGTATCCAAGCAGCAACGATCATAAAAGCTGACTTGTGAAATTGGAAAGCAAATGTTGGAAGTGTAATGACAGCGTAACAACAGTGTAATAACAGTGTGATACTCGGGATCTTCACTTAGGGCCAGGGGTCAAGAGGTCAGCTGACCCTCCGCGGTTCAGCTCAAGAATTGTAACTGCGTCTCCTAACAAAAACAAAGTCTTATTTAGTAAGAAAGCTCTTTATATGACTCATAAATGCAACAGCAACCCTCGGCGTTTGTAATTGACGCAGCAAGAAGAAAATAAAAAGATGACAGAAAAGTTCCTGAGAATGAATTTTTTTAACTGAAGTCGTCTGTATTTCTAAATACAGTTTGTTAAGCATACTTTTTCACCAGAATACGTAGTTCATTTTATAAAAAAAATCATATAACTTCATTTGGAGTTGTGCTTATCTGAAGCAGCAGCGTGCGTAAAAAAGAAGAAACATTTAGAACTAAACTGACAATGTCACAGAAGCTCAAAGTGTTATCAACCACAAAAGAGGAAAAAAATGAATAAGTAGGATGTCACAGATTTGATCTAGCTACTGTAAAACTTCATGGAATTAAAACTACAAGTTCCATTTAAAATTTATAAAATATGGAAAATCTCAAATGTTTTAATCCACAAGCATATTTTTCTGATCTGCCCAGATTACACTACAGCGTTTAAATAAATTATTTTTTAGACTGAAAAGTATCATTGAAATATAATGATATAAATAAACTTGTAATAGATAGTAAAGAAGGCAAACATTTGATGAAATCCCTGGCACAGATGAGTTTTAGTATTGTATTGGTTTTGGTAAACGCTGTTATTGTATTTTAACTTAATGCAGCCCCGTAATTCTCATCAAGTGCAGGGATAAATAGGCTACGTGTAAATAAAATAGAGTAAATAGAGTTTTTACAGTTAAATCGAAGGGAAAAAAGGTTCAGAGGTCAAAATTACGCAAAAGACGGTCCCCAGCAATATCTATATCAAAGTTTTATCAAATCCATCTCCTCAGTCTTTATCATTGCTTTTTCAATCTAAGACAGAAATCACAAACAAGACCTGAAAAAGATCTGCGTCATCTCTCACGGACGGCTACATCGCCAACAGCACCTACTGTACGATGGTGTGTGTGCGTGAATGTGCGCGCGCGTGACACCGATCTGCAGCGACTTGGTATCCTCATACAGTGTCACAGTGTAACTTAATATAACACAAGTAAGCCTGACACACTGTAACACCCAACTGTAGAGCCGCTCAACCAAAGGGAGCTACACTTTACATGCTTCAATCACCGCGCGTGTGTGTGTGTATGCGTGTGTTTGTATGCGTGTGTTTGTGTGTGTAAGAGAGAGAGAGAGCCGATAAATTGGCACAGACCTCTTCAAGAGGCCCCAACCGATGACACTTTAAACGTTATAATGGAAATAATGTGAAAGTAAAGGCTCCAGATTTCCACTGCGAAGCTTGGATAAATTATGTCAGTGTCTGTCTAATAAATTAAAAGGATTAAATTAAAAATCATTCTCATTGGTTACAGTGAAGTTATAAAAGACATGAAAGTGAATGCACAAACTTTTTTAGAGTTATGCCCATAAATGAAAACAGTCGCTTACCCTTAAGGCGTGTGATCAACCTTTTAGACTCATTAAAATATGCTAAAAGTATTTTTCTAGGGTTCAAATTGGAGCCCATAGTCAGCCGATTGAACACACGACGTACGTTAAATACTTCTCTGGCTTCACTTATCCCAAAGTCGAGACTTTTTTAGTGTCATAGCTCCAAAAACCCCCGAATGCAATGTTTGAAAATTCTCTCGCTGAATGAATAAATAACAACACAGTGAATAAATTCAAATACATACCTAGTAAACGACCGTCTCCGTCAAAATTATATCAGTGGCTTTAAGTAAAATTTCAACGACAACAAAAAAGACTCTTTCTTGACAACTCGGGAGTAAAAACACTCCCTCTCCTATCCACGCTGTATCCGGACCTTTCACATGTAAAGACTTAAATAGCTCTCCGCTTCCTCACACGTTAACTCTCTGCTGGATTTATCCACTCGGGGGTTTTTCCCGTCTACAAGCTCCGGATCCTGCAGATGCGAGTCTCCATGAGGCTGTATAACTGCAAATTTATGTCTGGATGACGCGTCTCCTCTCTCTCTCTCCCTCTCTCTCACTCAGTCTACCTCCCTCTCGTTCTCTCTCCCCCACAAAGCAGCCGAATGGCACATATTAAATTAGAAATTAGAAACTCTCCCTCTTATTCCTATATCTTCTCTCTGTCTCTCTACTCTACAAGGGAGCTTTCTTGCATTTGTAGTTTTTTTTTCCTAATCAGGGGAGGGGGCAGGGGGACACCACCAAGAGAGCTTACTACACACAAGGAGTATACCCACTCCAGTCTGGACCACCAAACATATACAGTATAACCTTAAAATAGAATTCAGGCACTTTTACGCACCAAGACTCATCCACACACGCACCATTTTGTGGCCAGAATTCTATTACTTTTGTTTAACTTGTGCATATGTGATTTTGCAGATCCATATAGAAATACTGAGGATGGTAAAACGAGGCCTTAATCAGTCCTTTCACGCACTTTGTCCGGACTTAACAAGATTTTTACAAAAGTTTCATCCAAGTGAACCCCAGGGTTTTTGAGTGAGAGGGAGAGATCGTTTCTTGTCTCCAAACTTTAATTGTGTGATTTTAGAGAGCAGGGAGTTCAGATTTATTTAAAGATCTTGAAAATAAAAACTGCAAACACTTGGTCTTAGAAAATTCTACTGATTTAAGTTAAAATTTGTGTAAATTTCGGAGGTCAGAGTTTACCCACCTCTTATAAAATCACCAGCAGCAGTAAGGTCTGCTATATTTAGATGCCCTACCGAGTTTCTGAGGCATTTTGTTCAAGGGATGTCTGGCCGGTCGACACGCGGGATCAATTGTGAGAGAACACCATAAACATTTAGCACAGGCGTTAAAGAGTCCACAGCTTTTTTTCTGCGCGTTTCGCCCCGCAGCCTCTGATCAAGTCCAAACGATCCGGACAAGCCCGTGCGTAAAAGTGAGTTTATCTCTGCTGATCGCTCCGCGGAAAGTGAAGCTCGGTGTGCTTCGGTGTTTCGCTCTGGAATAAAGACTCAAAAGAAGTGATTGCAATCAGTTACTGCAGTAAAACACACAAACACACAGTTTCCACTCGCGTTTTACTAAAGGTGTGTAAAAAAAGCGAACCACAGGAAGAATCTGCAGTTTGGTAATCGTGTAAAAAACACGGAGGTAATGTTTGGGAGTCCTCTTCCCTCCTTTCTTCCCAAACGGGACCTCAGCCTCGTCTTTCTCCTCTGTTCCTCTCCCCCCCTGCAGCCCCCACAGGCTGCCCTCGTGGGTCACCGCTTCAGGAGCACCACGTCACCACGTTAACCCCTGCATCGCCGCGTCCGGGTGCAGAAGCGGGGGCCGGGTGCCCCGTGGGGTTCTGAAGAAGGGGGGATGAGGTGGCGGAGGTAGAGGGGGGTAGAATCTCAATTGGGGTGTGGGGACCCCAGGGCGCCCCTGAGAGGCGGGTCCGGGAGGTCTGAGGGAAAATGAGGAACAGGTTTCCGTCAATTTATTTCAATTCAGTGGAAACGCAGCCTGCTACAGCGTCTATTAGAATAACTGCTGTAATTAGTCTGCAGGGGTTTACTCATTGTTGTTTTTCATCCAGAGGTCCTAAAAACTACAAATCAGCTCCTCAGAAACTACAAATTTTAATGGACTGATTCAGTTCTTAATTCTTAATTTAATGAAATTAGAGACAAAAAAAACTTGAGAGAGAAAACAGACTCCCTTTCCCATTTCATTTAATAAAAATGTTAAAATAATTCCTTTGTCAAAACAAGAAAATTCCCATCAACCCTCCAGATGTTGCCAATGATTCATATCCCTGATTTAATTTTCAAACCAAACACTATGTGAATTATTTTCGTTTCAGCTCACAGAATCCTTCCCTGGATCTGTTATTTATATTCAGAGGGTCAGCATACTGACATCAGACATTTCCATCCAACAACGAGAAATATGCTTTACCAGCCCCAACAGGCAAATCTACTTAAACAAACTCACAAAGTTCAAACTGAGCGATTCTTGCTCGGGCTGCTCCCCCCGAAAAACCAGCGCTGCCCTCATCACAGTGATGAAAAATAGAAACTGTTCTCAAGAACCAAAAGAAACAATACACACATAAATCCTTCCAATTTGGTTTTGGCTTTTGCCTTTGAAAGGATTTATGGGAAGGGGAAATGGGAGGGTCACGGAAGGCCACGCCCACTCAGGACCATGACCTTTATTTGTCTGTAAAATGGCCTGCTGTTGCTTTGTGGGTTTTGCTGTTAGTCAAACCCTAAATTACACTTTGATTGGAGTCTGGCTGAAGTACAATATTTTGTATTAAGATTTTAATCCAGATTATTCAACACGGGCTGTTTCCTCCTGAGGTGACAGCCAATTTGCACTGAATTTAAACACAGTGGCAGAATTTTTTCATGTATTTTGGCACTTTTAAGAAGGATTAGTCAAACATTGTGTCCTTTGAATTTTCTCAATCCTGTGTCTGTGATTTCAATATTTTTCAGATTATCCTCAGAAAGACCAACTACAAAAACTTCCTTTTTGTTTTTATGAATACAACTTATTACCCTCAATTCACTCACCAGGATGAGTCCCTTGATTTCAATAGTTATTCTCATTTTTATGGCATGTCGGATCCCCTGTATGTTGCGTTTCAAAGCTGTTTTTAAGTGCATGTAGTTCATTTGAACAGAGAGAAATGCGGTTTATGATCTGGACTCAAAGATTTATTGATCAAATAAATGCTGCTCTGCCTCACCAGTGCAGTCTGAAACCATGACTGAGAGGTAGGAGATGGGTTTATGTGATTATTATGATTATTAGTACAAGTAGTTGTTGTATTTTTATTATACAGTGTAAAAAGAGCCCAAAAAAATTAGTAAGCAGGCAGCATCAAGATTTTCACTGGATGAAAGATGATGTGTTGGGATAACTTTAGATCATTTCAGACTTGTTTGTGCTGTACTTGTATTTATAGAGTTTTTTTCTACATTGGCAGCTGTACAGTGATGCTATTCAAAGATATCCTGGATGTGTGGCATATCCGGGATATAATGACATTTAATTAAAAAATGTATATCTGGTCCAATTTAATTATAATTTGCATCTTTTGACTCATTTTCCTAATTTTTTTAGTTTTTTTTTAGGCTTTGGATGTGTCATTTCAACCGTACACGAACTTTTACTCAAACTAATGAACTGTGAGTTACTGTGACTAACTTTTTACAGTATGTGAAGAATAAGAGCAAACTCTTTCTGCCAGTAGTTGACACCCATTTGGCCTGTGCTGTCATAAAGGTCTTCGAGGTCTCCTGTGATTCATGCAGTCAAAAGATAAAAGCAGTATCTACTGGCTTTTGTGACAGGGTTTCTGCACCTGTATGCTTAGATTGTGGGCAGTGGAGAAATGTGTCTTTAAAAAAGCACAGCAGTGTTATTTTTCTCTCTGTGGCAGCAGGAAGCAGGAAGACACTGCAGCAGCTTAACTTCAATGTACACAGGAAGGAGAAAATCACACGTTTTTTAAAAAAAGGTAGATGTTAATTTGAACCTTATTGAAATCAACAAGTTAATGCCAAAAACTCAAAAATATACACAGCAGCCGATCTGGCATATGCCTGCAATTCTTAAACATTAAGAGCAACTTCAAATCCAAAAAAGCGTCCATAATCTTAAGTTTCAAGAAGAGTTTTATCATCAAATAGACTCTTGGTGGTTTGGTGCATTACCATAAGAACAGAAAAAGAGTGAAAAATAGGAACCAAGGTGAACTGAAGTCTAAAGTGATAAATAAAAAGTGATTTAACATAAAGATAAACAACATCCTTCTTCTTGAAACCCTCCGGTGTTTTTGCCATTGTAGCTGTGACACTCCTGGTCCCCGTCTTTCAACCGAAACCTCTGCTGTAAACACAAACTGGCCCTCTGCTGACCAGTTAAAGAGACGCCATCCACGCACTCACTCATCTGTCTACTTCAGCCCTGATGAAGGACAGTTCTGCTGCATTCAAACCGTCGCCTGCAGCCTGAAACACAACCCTCCTCTTCCCTCATTAGAAGGATCCCAAACATCGACGGTTTAAGGCTGAAACCTTTCTCTGCTCAGCACTCTGCTTGTGTTGGCTAAACACACCTTTAGTGAGATACTATCAAAGCTTTAAGGTGGTTTGGGTTCCTTCAAGTAGAGTGAATTACGTACATGCAACACCTGCTAAAACCAAGTTATGTATTCATGCCAAACTTTTTTTTTTTATTGTACTTTTCTATAATATGATATTCTGCGTTGTTTACCAAACTATCATTCTCAATGTGATTATGCAGTAAACACATTTACTCAGGAAACATCTGTAAGAGTCATTACAAACCCCAGCAGCTGTGGAAAAACACAATACTCGTCCTGTGGAACATTTGGCATGTGACAAGCCTCTTAAGCCGTGCGTTATGTTGCACACATATGGCGGTTATTGATAAACGTGGACAAATGTTGGAGATTCTGTATGTGATGCTTCTCATTTGCTGTGGTGTAATACAGTTGCTCACTCTTAACCCACTTTAGACACTGCATGTGTGTGCGTGTGGACCCCTGATATATGCGTGTGTGTGTGTGTGTGTGTGTGTGTGTGTGTGTGTGTGTGTGTGTGTGTGTGTGTGTGTGTGTGTGTGTGTGTGTGACACAGCTGTGACAGGTTAAGAATCAGATGCTAAACCTGTCTCTGGTTCCAATTTGAAGGCCTGCTCCTCTTCTTGGCAACTGGAAAACACTTCAAGGTGCCACCGGACCTGAAGATGGTGCCGCTTTTTAGCAGTTTGCACAGTCATGTGACTTTTGGAGAACGGACGCTGTTTGCCCCGGAGGCTGCGCACACACACACGTAGCAGCCTGCATGGAAACACACACACACATATACACACACATATGTTTATAGAGGCCCAGTGACCCCTTAGGTGAACATAGCTGCATAACTGAAACTGCCACAAAGGAGTGGGCAAAGAGAGCAAAGCATCATGGGAAATGGCTCTAAATTCTTTCATCTCAGCCCTTATACTGTAATGCATATCAGTCATAAAAGGGCGTTACATCACTGGACACAGTGGTCTCTTTATCTCGGACGGCCATGTAGGTCTTCATCTCTGTCCGTGAGTTATGGTGTGTGTGTGCATATTCTACGAGGCAGCATTAAACCGCAGCGCGCTAAAGTGACAAACAGAGACATCTCTTAAAAGTCATGCCCCCACGCCACTGCGCATCCATCCTCTCCTCTCTGAGCTTTTTTTTTTTTTTTTTTTTTTTTTTGCAGCTGCTAATGCTGCAGCCAGATCAGAAACAAAGCTAGCTTTGTGACCCCCCCAGCCCGGGTCCCCCTCCTCTCTGTCTGCTGACGCGTTCACTTGTTCTCTCTGTCACCCCCCAGCCCTTGTTCCACGTCCAATCTTTCATTAAAAACTTCTTTTCTTCCATTTATAATTTTTGTCCGCCCCCCTTCTTCTTCTTCTTTTTTTTCTCCTCCACATCTGCAGCAGCATCACGCGGTCCTGGCATGGCCGACCAGGGAGTCATGTGATCCCCACATTGAGGAGAAAAGGGAAGTGTGTGTTAGACCACGCTTTTTAGGCCCAGCTTGGAGGTCAAAGGTCAACTCTACACTGATCAGATCAGCTCCAGCCAGAGGGGTTGACTTACATTTAGCCTCTTCCTTTCTATTCACTATTATTTCTGTCTTTGCTTTCTCGGCCTCCAGCCTGACCCAGAGTCTCCTCTCAAAGCCTGAGGTTACTGTGAATAAATCCAGTATGTGAAAAATTTAACTACCAAGCTAAAAAATCATGGGAACATCAGGGCTTCAACAGACAACAAGATGCTAGAGGCGTGGAGCTGAAGCATCTATCTGTCCATTCACTGTGACGATGCTCAAAGAGAGAAAGTGTCATGGTTTCTCAGTATAAGATAAACAAAATGAGGACCTGCTGCAGTTTCCATAAGTATGATTTTTTGTTAAAAAGCAACTCACAGGTTCAATTTTTAATGAGATTAATGCTTAACCTGTCCAAAGAAAGACTGTTGACAGAAAATAAACTCAGCATTGTGTCAGTGTACATCAACAGAGAGACTCAGGGTGTCACTGCCTTAGTTCTGCATGGAGTCGTTGGCACTGAGTCTGAGTGGTCCTGTTGTATGGTGAGGCATTTTATTTATTAGTCTAAAATGTCATTTTGCCAGTCGTAATTATTGCATTTGTGCTGGTTGCACAGTCTCTAGCTCGACAGGACAAATGCTTGTGTTTCACTGACAGTTTTTGTGCCTGCAGGTGCGTTTTTGGGAAGTTCTGAAGAGATGTGACTTCAGTCTCATTGGTCATCTGCGACACTCACTTTGGTTAGATGAATTATGTTCCCAGTGAGATCATTCCCAGTCAGTGTTCAGGGATGAGATTTAGATGCCAGGACCGAGTGAAAGTGATGCCGGTCAGGTTCACTGTCTAAAACAATCATTGATTTCTCACAGATTTAGCTCGATAGAAACCCGAGCTCTGCATTAAAACTTTTGACTTTAAATGTTGGTTAGCTCCAAGTGTGTGGGTGCAAGACTAGGAATGCACCGATCAGATGTTTGAATCAGATATCAACTCCGATATTGACAAAATAGCTGGATCGGATATCTGATGAATGACGCCAATCCAGAGTTCCGATCCAGTCTTTTTTTTCTTTTAATTAATTTTTCTTTTAGTACATGAAAGTGTTACTTCTTTTTGCTATGTGCTAATGTGCAATTTGTTCATAAATAATATTAAGCAAATTTATATCTGTCTTTATTTGTAACTTTTTTTTTTTTAACAGGGCTGATGCCTTAACTCACAGAGCAAGGTATACAGTTCATTCATTCAACAGTAGTACTGGATCAGTATCGGATATCAGCCGATACACTCAGCCCAGGTATCGGTATAAGATTGGATCAGGAAAAAAATGGATCGGTGCATCTCTATACAAGACATCTATCAAAGAGATGCAGCATTTGATACATAAATAATGTAAGTAGCGTAGCTATCTTATGAAGCTTACAAGCTAATGGTGACATGGCATAATCCCTAGCTAACATTAGCTAGACTTAAGCCTCTTAAACACTACAATCCTGAAACAGTGCTTGGATGGCACTCCACCATCATTATGGCTTTGTACTTACGCACTGCACCCGGAAAGGCGTAACTGATACATTCATGTTTGTTAATTGCAAACAGATAGATATGCAGATGTGAAAAGTTGATATTTCACTCGTGCAGCCCACCTTGAAAATTTTCAGAAGGTTTTCCAAAATTTCTTGAAGATGTGAATACAGCTGTACCATCTTTTTTGAGATTGTAGTAATTATTGCCACTGGAGAAAAACGCTTGAAATACTAATAAACGTGCCCGTGATATGAGAGTTTGTAGTTTTTTAGATGACAACAGAACATTGTGTTGATGTTTGATTGTAATATTGATGTCCCAGTGTGTGATTTGACGTTGAATTACAGCGTTGAATACACACACTCAGTTGAGTACATGACAAGTTTGTGCAGAAACCAAGACGAGAAGCCTGCTGCAAAAATAAGACCATGCTTCAAAACAATGCAAGCTGCAAGCCCAGTGATTGGTCAGCTGGGTAGCATCCTATTTCCTGCATTCATAACATTTCCAGTAACCCTGTCCTCTGCCTAGACTGATTCAGCAGCTGCACATCTCATCTCCTCCAACCTCATCGCTCTCTCTCCTTTGCAATAATAACCATAAGATCAGCTGTTGCTCCAACTTCAACATGATTTGCTTGGATTTAGTCACCTAGTTTTCTATGAACAAACAAGCAGAAAAAGTAATAGACTTGGAAAGTGGTGATTTGACCTGTACAGCAATTGTACTTCCAAATAGAGTTCAGACACAGTATTGCAGAGTCATGCAGATGTTTCTGAGTATGTAGTCTATTTACAAGCCCAAACTAAACTTTGTAAGCAGAAAACAATTGGAAGAACACCTGCAGCAATCAATAATAGTAACTTGAAAGGGTGCTGCTTCACTGGTTATTAATAGTAGAGTAGATGGAATTTCAATGTTCTCTATTAATGATTCTCAGTCATTGCATAATTTTGCAATAAGTATATGACCAAACCAAATGTCAGCCAAATACCAGATGAATTTGTAGAAATGTACTGGAACATATTTTATATTTAAAACAACATTATTGTCTAATGCTTTCTAATTCTAATTTGAAGTTACTGGAAATGCAAATATGGGGAAAATTAGTGCAGATCAGCAATGTTAAATATAAGAGTTTGAGTGATTCTAATGCTTTTCGCATCATGACTTTGGACTTCCTCTAAAATGAGCGACAGGATTTGATGTATCAAAACTTTTTTTTAGTAGTCTTTTCTCTTAATATGTCATTTGAATGTGTCTCATAGAGATGTACAACAATAGTGCACCATCGTAAATTACAAGAGGGATTAAAAATTTGTTCTAAATCATTTTTAAAAAGTTTTTAAAAGTTATTCAGATCACATTCAACATTTATTTTGTGTCTCATCATAAGTTGACATCGATGGTTCAATGCAGGCTTTGTGTAATGGAAAACTTTAAATTCAGTGTGCAACCTGAGTCTACCTCTCTTTACTGTAAGGTCAGCCAAGGTCAGGTGCAGGTGCTATTATACAACTACAAACCGCTACAGGTGGAGCATCAGTAAGAACACTGTTATCCACTGTCATATGCTTTCTTTCTCACAGCAGCTCCACTGTACACTCTTTGTGGCTGATCATGGGACTGGAATAATGACTTTAAAAGTCTGGAAAATTAAATGAGCTGTTGAAAGGTCGCTGAGTAATATCTGGAGAAAAAAATGGATAGTTTATGGGATCATATTTTTTATAATCATACTGCTCTGTGTTGGGTTTTATTTCAACCAAATGCGGTCATAAGAAAACCCTAAATTGCTGTTTGGTTTTGAGAGCCTAGAGCTTATCCATGCAGCAGATAATGTCTTTTTAATTTGTTCTGATCACTGAAAGGAAAAAAGAGGCACAAATTGCTGACTTTAGCAAGTGAAGGGTGGTACCTTTAAATACTTTAGATTTTCTTACTCTGGCTGTACAGACACACTGACAACACCAGCTTCCTCCACTATCATCCATAACGTCAGATGTGTTTATGTGGCATGTTGTGGAGGACTTTTACATGAAGCACATGCATTAAAACATCCATCTTAGTTAAACGAAATGACTCCACCTCCTACTCCCTCCTCTCTTCGTCTCCTTCTTTTCTCCCCCAGCTGGCAACAAGTGGCCTCTCCCCGAGATGAATTTGTACATCCAATACAGTCTACTCCAGACATGCAGAATAAGGAGGGGCGAGGGTTTCACAAGTGGTGTTCAAGGCTGACAGGTATACATTCACCCAAAATAAAACAAGTGCATGCATGACATGCTCACTTTGAGGCTTCTTTTTCTCCTCTTCTCCCTCCACCTCCTCCTCGTCTTGATCAACCTCAGCAAGCCGGCTGCTGAAATAAAATTTTAGTGCCGTGGTAATGTTGCGAAGCAGCATGGCGCCACAGCTAATGGGGGATCATATCTACATCCATGTTAAACCTTGGCGTCTGTCATCATGTTGTGCTCGCTCTGCACAGGAAACGACGAGGCCCTGAAAGTTCAAATGTCTGCACATAAATAGAATTACAACAATGAGATATTTCTGCGTTATGGTCGTTTTACAGAGAGGTGGGGAAGGAGGTGTGGTTTTATCTACTGTGAGCCACAGTGGCTGTGGACTTGATTTAATTAAGGAAGGACTGTGAATACATACTCAGAAGTACATCATTAAAAGTGCTATGCAAGGTGTATGTAGTGTGCAGACAAGATGCCTAAATGTTTTTCAAACCAAATGCTGGGAAAGAGAGAGCGAGAGAAAGAGAGAGAGAGAGTGCATCATGTGAGCGCAGCATTATTAGGCCTTTCTGGGGAGTTATCCATTAATTCGGGGTTAAAGTCCATTTGCATCAAGACAAAGGGGACATGGGCCATCCATCTCAACGCTGAGGGGAAGGGGGTAACGGAGAGAGGAAGGGTGTGTGTGTGTGTGTGTGTGTGTGTGTTTGTGTGCATGTTTGTGTGTGTGTGTGAGGGAGGTGAAGCGTCCTCTTGCAGATAAATCTGTTGCCCTCAGGGGTGCGTTTACATAGGTGAGGACTGACTGTTGTGCAGGCTGAGAGTGATTTATCTGGAAATACCACCAGTAACACACACACACACACACACACACACACACCTATAGCTCTGCTCTCAATCAATTCCATCACTATGGATGAAGTAGTCTCTCACTTCCATTGTGTACACGTTCAGAATAACTCACAGCTGCACACTTGCATTCAAACATTTATGTGCACACAAACAGAGGACTTTAATACACAAACACACACACACTATGCAAGACAAATGTGTGTCTTTGACTCAAAAATGAGAGACAGAGGCTGGATCAGGTTGTTGATTTCATCTTGCGAAGTATTTTTCAAAACTGCAGCCGCAAACTCATCCTGCTAGCAGATCCTCCTTCCTCACACAGCCACAGAAAGGATTTCCTAGCAACGATAATAATGCGCGCGCGCACAACACGCACTCACGCAGACACCCACCCACACACACACACACACACACGCAGACACACTCACACAGGCTCAACGCGCTGGGGCTCCCTCCAGCTATCAGCGTGGGCTTCCCCCTCCTTCTCCCCCTCCTCCTCTTCTTCTCCCTCGCTGCTGCTCCGCCGTGAAGGGAAGGAGGGAGAGAAAGAAGAGAGAGCAACAGAGGGAGAGAGAAAGAGATCCCCTTTCCACAGCTCTCCCCTGGAAGCCCCAGCTGCTGGCTAGACTGCGCGGTTACACGGAGCGGAATGGCGCGGTTAGGATGTGGAGGTGTTCCGATTTGCGCCAAATCGTCCACGGAGCGACGGACTGGAAGGAGACATCAACCTGGGAGACAGAGAGAGCGTGTTTGCAGATCCCGTAAACGCAAAACGTCGCGGAATCAGCGGAAAACAGGTCCGTGTTTTCGCAGGGAGAGACCTAGCGCGTATGGGGGATGGGTGAGCTCGAAAAGGCACGGACCTCCAAGAAGTGCGCTTTTTATTCGGTGCGTAATGACACGGCGCGTCTCTACGATGGTTGTACCGACGTGTAGTTGACAATAAAGAGAGGGGAGGGGAGGGGGACTATGTTTGAGGATATACCGGCGAGAACCGAGCACGGTTTTAAATTCAGATACTACAACCGACACGGGAGCAAAGGCTACAGCCCCATTGCGCGTAAGACGACGCACATGGCACGCCCCCTTCTGCCCCTCGCTCCCTCCTTCGCCTCCTCCTCCCCCCTTCTCCTGCTCGCTGACAGGGAGGCGTTTGCTGCAGGGCGCCATTTTCAAAAGCCTTCTTTGCATAGGAGATTTATTTTGCTGCAGGAGGGATGCAGCCGCGCTGCCGTCTCATGTTTCACTCCGTTTCGACCAAGAAGAAGTGGAAGAACTGAAGAAGAGGAGAACAAAACTGGACTTTAAACTTTTTAAAAGACTTTTGGTTGTTGTAAAGGTGAGACATTTTATAATTTTGGGGTATAATTATTTACAGTATAAGCTCATACAACTGTAGGCTTTGTGAGTATGGATATGTTGTTTGTCCATTGATCATTTTTACAAAAATTGTGTTATACGAGTAGAAACAATTAAAATAATCTGCAAACTATATACAAAATTAATTTTCGATATTAAGTTAGTTATGGATATAGTTTAGATAAATTCTGCAAACGCAAAAAAGTAAAATTTATAAATTAAATGAATGAAAATTAGATATAATAAATGAGAAAAAAAAAAAGCTTTTATATAAACTTAACTGAAAAATTCTGATAAAAGTAGAAAATTTTTTTACCTTCTTTCCGTGAGACTTTTACACACTTAAGTGGCTTAGATGGCTACTTTAATTTATATATATATTTAAAAAAAAAACAGAAATTATATTGTAAATCAAATGCATTAATTTTGATAATACTTTAATGCAATTTGCCAATATTTTTGTCGGTTTTTAAGTGGTCATTGGAGATGCTGTGGTGCGTTCAAGGTGTAAAAATCCACACACTCAAACCTAAAAATCGATCAATCGTGGGGTGGGCGAGCCACAAACGCCATGTTGCGAGCCTTTGTGTGTGTGTGCGTATGTGTGTGTGTGTGTTGTATAATATTAATAGTTCTAAATTCAAATTATATAACCAATAAATTAATTCATATTTGTCTGACATTATAACATAAATTTAAATATTACTCTAATAAGAGAATATAAAGAGTTAAAACGTGATTGAATCGTACTAATACAAGCTGTAAAATAACATTTGTAATCCTCCACTGCTCTGTTACTCTTTTATTCATTATATTTTATTTATATTCAATATATGTTTAAGCTTAGGCTCAGAAAAGTGAACATTTTACTGTCTGATTATGGAGACATGCTTTGCTTTCTATAATTTCTCACGGTGACTGTTCTGCTCACTTTAAAGAACACGCTTTTAGTCCTCCTGATGATCTCAGCTCGAACATCAGCATCCCATTAAAACACCAGCATATTATCATTATTATCTTATTCGTACTTTTTATCTTTGCGTTTAAACGTTTTTTACAAAAAGCAGCTTTCACCTTTATCCACTGTCCGTGTGTCTGTTCCAGCGTGAACGCATTACTTAGCTACTCATAATGAAGAGCGACCAATGCTTTTGGATGTTTAAGCCGAAACACAGGGTCTATACTTGGAAAATCACGATTTAACGTGTATGGGTGTGTAGCTGTGTGTATGTGTGTGTATTTATGCTGTTGGAGTAATGAGGAGTGTGTGTGTGTGTGTGTGTGTGTGTGTGTGTGTGTGTGTGTGTGTGTGTGTGTGTGTGTGTGTGTGAGGCTAATTCAGAGTGACTGCAGCAGGATAGAGGACTCGTCTGTGGCAGGACGATGAGGCGATAATAACAACAATAACAACAAGAAAACACAAACTCTGAATTTTACCGTAATAGATGGAGAAGAGCGCAGGCTTAAACAATCAACATTTTTTTATATGTATGTACACTTTTTGTATTTCTCAAAAGCTTGATCAGTTTAAGAGACCACGTGACACATAAAAACTTCTGCGTTAGAAAAAATGAAACCGATTGTTTTTTTACGTAGCATATTGTATTACCGTAAATTATTTCGGTAATTTACAGTTTTATGTAGAATAAATAAAGATATTTCAATAAATAGGATTAAAGCAATGTATTATTTTCAAGTGTTAAATCGGCCAAAATTCAATTGAAATGGACAAAATGTGTGATTTATATATTTATAGTGTGCATCTATTAGGTAAATAAGGCAATAAAAACCTTAAAACTGGATGAAAAGCTGCTGTTGTATAAACCTAAATGACTTAATTTTTTCAATAATAGAAATTGGGTACTTCCAAAACGTGAATGAACACATGTAATGACAACTGCTTGATCAATTTCAATAATAAAATATGATATTTTATCATTTTGTTAATTTCAATGCGTTAATTTCTCAGAAATCTATCATTAAAAAACAAAGAAATCCCACAGCTTTGTCTTGTGTTAAATTAAATTTCTGGTATGTGTTGGTCTCGCTTTAATGAAAAATTTGAGATTATTCTATGATGTCACTTAATGCAGAAATATGAGATTTCTGTGTTGTTTTATGGTTAGGTCTTTTGTTCTGTTTTCAGTTGTGGCTTATTTGCGTACACATGGACTCTTGAGTGTCCTCTGTGCATATGTTATTATTTTACGTCTAATTTATCATTTAGAAATTTGCAAGACAAACAGGCCAGTGTTTGCATGTCTGTGTGAGTGTGTGTTAGTGTGTGCTCTTGCATGTCCTTGTGTGTTATCTATGCAAACTTTTTACCAAAGCTGCTGCAGAAAATTCTCTTAAACTGCAATAAATAAACTGAACGCCTTTGTATATTGAAATATGGGACAGGTGGGCTGTTGAAAACCATTGCATTGTAATATGTAGAAAAAACTGCAGGTACACCTTCATTTTTTATGAACAAGAGCAGCGAGGTATGTGGGGGATGTGTCCCTGCAGAGCTGGTTTCACGCAGTGAAAATGAAGAGAGGCCACGAAGTCCCAAATCCGAGGTCCTGTGACGTCAGAGGGTGGGTGCACTGGCCTGCTCGTTCCTCGTGCAGCTCTAATGGGCGTCATGCAGACAATCCATATCTCCATAATTGCATCGCAGACAATTAAGACGCAAATTAACAAAGTGGTGGGCACGTGAAGTGGAATAGAACAGAGTGCTGCGCGTGCAAAGTGTCCAATAATTTTAACAGGCGTTTACTCGAACAATCACACAACTCAGATAGGCAGGTAAACAGTGTTTTTTTTTCACATTAACTATTTATTAATTCTAGTGTGATTCAATGTTCAGATACATTTGAATATACTGCATTTGATGCTTTCCAGGACATAATTTTTTAAGAGCTGTTTGTTTACACAAGCTGTTTACTTTACCCACTTATTTTATTTAGCTGTCACATCTATTAAACAGGACTCCTAAAAAGTTCCACATCTAATCACAGAGAACACACAATGTGAATCTTCAGCCTCTCTTAAGAGGAGGGATGCCTATTTTTTTGCTACCAGTTGATTGTTTGTTAAGACAGAGGCGGTGCAGAGAGGAGGAGGGGAAGGCCCACATTTGTGGATCCCCCCCCCACACACACACACACACGCTCTCCACCCCCACTCCCACCCGGGATGGCCATAGTGAGAATCCCCCCTCCACCCTATAGTGAGAAAGGCACCCAGCTACGAAACACAATACAAACTCAATTAAATGTAGTCTCCGCTGCGATTTACTGCAATGAATGATAAATTGCTCTTCGTTCTCACACTGTAGGATCTCTGCAATTGCAATAATGGGCAGAATCGTTATGTAAAATATGCACAGGGCCCCTACATTTACCAAATTTAGTCCAGGAGGGGCAACTGACTGTCTGTCCATCTGCATCTTTTGTTCATCAAATTCCCGCTCAAATAACCAGGTTTGGGTCTAAAAGAGTGTGTTTAAGGTCAAACTGCTTCATGGGTTAAATAAGCACATTGTTACCAGAACGCAAAATAAAAACGAATCCACGTCTTTCACATATTGCGAGAATGCTGAATAATTTTGTGGCTGTCTAGCGTGAAATTAGTACATGCAGAAAAATGGTTTAGCAGTAAACAGTGTAAACTGTAATTACAAACAGGGAGAGGGAGAGAAAGAGGAGAGGAGAGGAGAGGAAGGGTCTCTACCTGCAGCTTTGAGGGCAGGAGAACAAAAACAGGTTAAACCTATTTATGAGCCCTTTTAGGCATGTTCACATATTAATGTTTGCTTTAGAGGACAGAGTTACATGGGGGCCCGCAAACAAGTTAGGGAGCCATCAAAGCCTTATCACACCGATTTAAATACCACAGAAATATGAGCAGTCAATGATTTGAATAAAATTCATGAAGGCAAATATTCATCCAAAAATTATAATACATATGAAGTATATGAATGATGGTATATTTTGTCTTACTGTAGCATGATTCATTATAAAATAGTTGAGTTCAGGAGCTATTTAAACAACTTTGTGTAAAGTAGAACTAAAATAATGTAGATATGACTCATAAGATGTTGACCACATCCAGACTTTTAGTTAATTAAAATACTGAAATGGGCTTTCCTTGTTCATGCTGTAACTGGTTATATTTACCCACATTAATTAAAAAACCTATAAGACAAAGGCTCGTTTTACTTTAAAAAAAAAGAGAAAAAAAACACAGTAAAATAAAAAATAACTGAAACATTCATCGCTGCTGGGGATATAACCCAAAGTGTGTGTTGCTGCTACACTGACCGCCAGTTTTTATCCTGCTGATTTATACTATGACTGCCTGATACAAGATTTACACAGCATACAGTTAAGGCTTTTATGTCACTGAGGAGAAATTCAGAGTTTAGAGTCTCACAGTAAAAACAGTTTTTAAGTTCTTAACACAGAGAGAGTCAAAAACTTCCTGTACTTATATATCTGTATATGTGCAAAATTTTATAAAATCTTGGACAAACAGGTCAGGAAGGTTTAATATCTTTAGTGTTATTACTGTAATCTGTGTGGCCAATTTGGGTTTTGGACATTTATTTGTTTTTGTAAAATTTCAACTTGAGTCCAGCAGTTTTTTTTGTTTGTTTGTTTGTTTGTTTTTTTTGGTGGTGCATCATGTTCAAGATAAGATACAATAACAACCATATTTATCCACGTAAAAAATTATCTACTCCAAAATTATTGAGCAAAATAAAAAAAACACCAAAGGGCATCAATGAACTGAAAACAATATGTAATGTAAATATTCCAAAAATATAAGGTGTACTTTATAACATATAATGAATAGATGAAATAAGTAGAGACCGTCCTTCAATACACATACAAACAGAAGTATGTGAAGTTAGGTCCTAAAGGTACAACATAAATGACTATGGGCCAGTAGTACTAGCAGAAATACTGTATTTAGAGTCAGCTCTTACACTAATCCAGCTCTGTTTTATGGATAACACAAAAACAAAATTAATTCAAGTAATTATACACACCATTGTAACCAATTTGCGTGTATGTTCAATGGACTTAAACTTGGTTTTTAAAATTAGAGATCAAGGCTCAAATTGAAATATAAGCCCTTTTTTTTACAGCCTTCAAGTCTATTATAGCCTCCCTCCCCCTCAAAAAATGAATTATTTTTTAACCATATTGAGTTAAGATTGCAAATACATTTTCAATTTTTAGTTTTTATGTTGCTTGACAGCAAAAATAAAAAATCTTTTAAATATATTTAATTGTACATTTTCTACAGCCGCCTGGTGAGTATGTAAATTCCTGCTGAGGCTTTTTTGGACGGCTCCTGGAGGAGAAGTGGGAACTGTTTAAAACCAGCGTTATTTTTGGTCACTGCATCGCAGCTCAAGAGTCAATCCACTCTTGAAAAGTTTCAGATCTGAAAGCAGAGACTTCATATTGTGTGTTCCCCCTCCCATCATCCTCTGCTCCCTTTGACACACTCGACGCATAGTTCAATTCTCTCCTGACGGAGGGCATAATACAACAAGCCCACTATTCATTTGTGAACAGATCTGCACATTCCTCTTTCTCTCCTTCTCTCTCTCGCTCTCTCTCCCCCACACACAATCACCCTACTACGCTGAAACACACTCATTTATTAGAACAGAGAAATCAATGCAGAATTACTGTACGCTCCCAGGGCTTCTTTTTAAATTTCTTTCGCAGCACATGATAGGAGCAAACGTGTTACAACTAGGGGCGAGGGGCGCGGAAAGACGAGACATTTACACCTTACAGGAATGTGAATTAAAAAAAAACGCTACCTGGAGTGAAAGTCAATTTGTGTTTATTTGGAGAATTTTAAACCTTAGAAGGAGATTCACAAACAAATCAAATACTACAATTCAAATCAGACGTGGCTACTGAACTCAGGCGTCAGTTTGCATCACAGAGAAGCCAATATTTAGCTTTTTGATCAGGATATCTGCATTTACAGCCAACTCTGAGAGCTGTGTATCATGGAGAAATATTGATTTTTGCAGCGTTGGCTTGAGCAAGACAGACACACTCACTCTCTCCTCCTCCTCCTCCTCCTCTTTTCTCCTCTTTATTCCATTAATCTCTGGGAGCGGTGTAAGATACTGGAGGGTTAGTGTAACATTGTGCAGCCCTAATATATTCCAGGCCTCACTTTGCCTGTGGCATCCATATGTTTAATTCCACTACAAATGTTTTGACAGCAAATGAAACTCGCTGCTTTTTTTGTGTGGAAAGAAACAGTTCAGAGTCTGCTTCTAGAGGGCTTCTTTCTCTTTTGTGTGTGTGTGAGTGAGTGTATATGTGTGTGTGTGTATGTGTGTGTGTGTGTGTGTCTCAAAAAAAGCAGCACAGTGATGCTTTATTTAATTGCTTGTGGACCACCTGGAGTTTCAACATTTCCTGTGGCTGTTTTCAGACCCCCTCAGGTCAGCTATATGTGCAGGGTCTAAAGCTGAAAAAAGACATGGATATAAAGTGTCACATGCAGTGTTGAAATAAAATTATTCTGCATGCGGTATCTTTTAAGCTGATTTATGATTTATGTTGTTGTCATGCTTGAAATTTATAATAAAGTATTTAAAACCTTCAAACTTTTTTTGGATTTGATTTTTTTACAGTGTACTTCTTATGTAGAAAAAGACAATAAACATCACGCGTATGACCTGCAGGTGTGTGTACGACAATGGACAACATCTTAGGGCTGTATTTGTTTCACACGCAAACTCTTGCACACACTCAGTAGATCAGGATCTGGTGAATATGAAAAGGTAAGATGTGAAGACGAGGAAGGAAGGAGGCTTATGAGGTCACCAGGAGAGAGAGAGGGGAGATGAGAGGATGGGAGACAGAGAGAGAGAGAGTGTGTGTGTATTTGTGTGTGTGTGTTGTGGCAGGGGGTTCCTGACGTGTGCTTCCGGAGCAGGATCGCCCATTCATCATTTTCACATGGTGGGTTTACTTTGCCAGTGATAGAGAAAGGGGTGAGGAGAATTAATGTGTGTGTGAGCGAGAGTGTGTGTGTGAGCGTTGGAGGAGGGGCACGTCAATTGAGAACAGGACGGATGGCCAAACCAGATGTGAAGGTGTGTGTGTGTGTGTGTGTGTGTATGTGTGTGCGTTCATGAGGCAGGGTGTGTCACAGGGTCAGATTTTACCCCCCTCTTTCTCCTCCCTCGTAGCTGACATACATGTCATACACCACCTACTCTCTTCCTCCCCCATTCTCACCTACATAAAATCACACAAACACACACTCACACACACACACATACGCAGCTGAGGCTCTACATTCCTCTACGGCACACAAAATCGCATGTATATTCTCAACACACACACACATCAGAGGAGGTGGAGCGGCATTTTCAGTTGAAGGTGTCTTGTTTTGGATGATGTCACTCTGCAGATTATGTGTGAGAGTGTGTGTGTGTGTGTGTTTGTGGGTTCAGAATCAGGTCAGGTGACATAATGCTGTCAAACAAACAGCTGCTGCCATGACAACAACAAAATATGCAACAGGCCTTTGTGGGAAAAAAGGAGCAAAAGATGGAAGAGGTCAGGCAAAATATCATGTCTTCCTTCAAAATAAAAGCATGATCAGTATTTTTTATTGTTAAGTGCCAACCACTTTGCTCTGTGGCTTTATTTTGAAAACCTAGGCCTTTCTGCTGACCTTTGACCTCCACCATCAGCTGGTATTGCTTTGGAAAGTGACAGGAGGAGTCCAAAAGGATGAGCCACAGCCTCCCCTGCTGGCCACATACCAAAACACACATACACACACGCAGACACACACACACACACTGCATCTGATCCTGGATCATCTGAGTCTGATTACCTGAACCAATTAAAGGATCCGTTTGATTAAAAGTCAGCAGCGAGGTGAGATTTGATGGAGGGTGTGTTTTTTTAATCCCTACAGGGGGGAAACAGTGAAGGGTGAGAGAGGGGACACCAAGGCGAGGTTGCCGCGGTAACTGGGGATTGGGAACACCTGTGGGATTCTGCGATACGTCATGTTATAGACATGCATGAATAATGTGGTCGTGCAGCTCAGACCTGCATGCAAGGTCGCTCTCTTTCGTCCTTCGAGTCTGTCTTCCTTTTTCTTACACACAAACACATGCATGAAAACACACACATAGACGCACACACACCCTTTCCTCTGACCTGGTTTGGGGTCACACAGAGGGGGATTGAAATGAGTTTCAAATGTTCACATTATTTATTATTGGGTATCATCTCACTGTACAAATCCCTTACAGATGTTAGCCTCTGGTGCACGTGTGTCTTTCAGTGTGTCTCTCTGTGTGTGTTTCTTGTTCTGAGGTGCGTGTGTGTGAGTGTGTGTGCGTTTAGGCAGACTACATAGTGATACTCTTAAAAGGAGGTTGGTATGCTAGTGATTGTAGAGGTCGGTGTGTACGCTGAGTGATGGCGCATCGTGTGTGTGTGTGTGTGTGTGTGTGTGTGTGTGTGTGTGTGTGTGTGTGTGTGTGTGTGTGTGTGTGTGTGTGTGTGTGTGTGTGTGTGTGTGTGTGTCGGGGGGAGGCTGAGGCTCTGAGTGACTGCAGGAGAAATGAGGGATGATCTTTATGTGGCAGCTTATTTGTTTTTAAATGCAGGAGGCTCAGAGGCCCCGAACTCGAGGCATCAAAGCACGGGGCAAGAGGGGCGTCCGTCACTGTACTGTCAGCCTGTACACCAAGGCAACTAGAGAAACTGCAACACCATGATGCCCCCCCCACCCCACCCCTTTTTTTTAAAGGAGTCTCTGTGGTCTCTTTGAATAATTATGAATTAAAATGAATCATAAATTATGTTGTTAAAGAAGATCTTGAAATAAGGTCAAAGAGGTTTTTTGCCCCTGATAACCTGCAAGTTTTTAATGAACAACATACTTAAATGAAATTTCATTCATTGTTGCCTTCGTTGTTTTCTATATTTTACATAATTGATTTTCTCACTTCATTTTATGGAGGTATATCTCAAGGAGATAACTGTGAAGTTACAGAGAACTTCAAAGGTGGTAATGTTTGCATCAAATTAAGCTGTCCTTAAAACCCCAAACACACACACACAGACACACACGCAAACACACCTTTTTTTAAACGCACGAATATTATTTAAATAATTTATTTATTTAATGATACACATTCAGATGGTTCACAGTGACACATGAGGAGACAGTTCAGTAAGTTTCCCAAATTTAAATTGGGGGATAAAAGAGACAAAAATCGATGAACACACAGAAAGAAAATTACAAAGACATAATGACTATGTGCATTAATTCACATATTTGTCAAATATTTATTTTACTCTACAAAATGTCCACATAGAAAAAATTTTGAAGTTTTCTCAGGATTTTATGTTATGCTGTATGTTGAACTTCAAAAAGGTCAATTTGACTAATGAATACAATTTTTAAAAAAATCAAGTAAATACACAGACTTATTTAAGTATGACAGTACTGATAGGGGTGCGGTTGTACCGGGGAATTTAACCACACCACCCCTGTATTTCTATAATCCTGGTTATAGTCTCCATAACGTTACAGAAATGCTGTGCATATTTCTTTTTACACCAAGGGATTAAAGGGTTAAGTAAATTCTTAAACTTCTTTGGTCAATAAAGCCTATAAAATCCTGAGGATTATCTCTGTAAGACATTATCAGAAAAATGAAAACAAGCCTGTTTTTCTTGGTAAATGGCACAACTCCAGCCGACCTTTCAGACCAACAGAGCATGTTTCAGGGACAGTGAGACCAGACTCATATCAGAACGTAAAGTACTCATAAGAAGGGGTGAGACAACATATAAATGTGGAGTTAAATGTAGTCTTTCTGATTTGTGCAATGCATCTAAATCTAAAAATAATACAGATTTTTAAAGAAATCTCCATTTAATTCACTGCATCACTTCTTCCTTTTATGGACGTATGGATTCTTAGATGTATCATTAAATGACTGTAAGACAATACATTAGCTATCCTAGAATTGCCGTATCCTGACAATATCATTACTGTGGGCCACATATCCTGGTTCTGTACCCCACTGTTTATTGTATTGTATCGCACTGCACTGTAACATACCACATTAAATCATATCATACTATACTGTACCATACTGTAGAGTACACCATGGTAGTGTGTTGCATCGTATAATATCTTAATGTATGATGCCAGATCAGATCGTATCAAATAATACGGAATAGTATAGTAGTGTTTACTTTTTATCGTATTGTAAAGTATAATACTATATATTTTTTTTGTGTTGTGTCGTATTCGGTTATTATGTATCGTATCATATTGTACTGTATTGTGCCTGACTGTATCACATCATATTGTACTGCATTGTGCCAATGTGACATATTGTTTTGTATGTCTCAAACTATTTCAAATAACTTTTTCCAGCTTTATAGATCAGGGGGAATCAAGCAAACTCTAACTTAACAAATAAGAGCACATTTATTTCTTGTGGGGTGAACTCAGTTTTACAAACAGCAGAGAAGAGTCTTTAAAATTGTCCTGAACTGAATTGGAGGTCTGCTCCTGATGAAGCTCTATGTAAAGGTCAGCGGTGAGGAGGATTCATTGGACACCCGGCTCGCCTCGGGACACAGGTCAGCTCCATCGTGGGCAGGACGGGACTGCTGACCTTTCTGATGTCAGTGCTGGGGTCTGATCTGTGTGTGAGTATGTGAGAGTGTGTGTGTGTATGTGTGTGTGTGTGAGTGAGTGGCCTGGGGGAGGATTGAAGGCATGTCATTTATAAATGTGGCCACATGTTGAGATGGGGGATACAAATCTCTTCTGCAATGAGGATTTTGGTTTTGGGGAAGCTTTATAGTTGGATATCTGCAAATAAATACGGAACACACACATACAGAGAGGAGGAGGAGGAGGAGGGGTTGGAGGGGGGGGCGTTGGTAGTTTGTAAAACACCTCGGGTTTCTGTTTTTGGCCCACACACTAGAGAGTCCTTGGCAGAAGCTAAATGGAGCAAAGTAAATAAAAGTGGCCATTATGTGCGGGCTCCAGTAAATAGCTGCTCTCTTGTCTCTCCGTGCTTCAAAAAGAGGGGCGGAAGATGCGATCACGAGGGAAGCCCGTGTCTTTTCTTCTGCAGCCACTATAGAGAGAGAGAGGAGGGGGCTCTCCACCTCTGCCCCCCCTTTCCTCCTCCTCCCCTTCTTCTTCTTTTACTTCTTTCTCTCTTTGCTTCCTGTTTCTCTCCTCTTCTTCGTCCTTCTCTTCTTCGCTTTTCGCCCGCCCAGTGCTTCTCAAACATGCAGGAAGGGGGGAGATCAATGGTGTCCTCAGAGAGAGAGAGAAAGAGAGAGAGAATTACACAGCTGAATTTTGATGAGAACAGAAGAAAGGAAGAGGAAAGGAGAGAACAAGTAGAGGCGGGGAAGGCATGTGAAAGGAGAGAGAGGGAAGAGGGATAGTATATCCTATGAGGGGGAAAAAGAAATGGGAGGAATGTGGAAAAGTATGTGGGAGAATGGACGGGTGTGAGCGAGCCTTGCAGTACTATTTGATTAAAAGATTCAGCAATAAAACTGCATTAAAATCACTGGAAACTAATCTTGA